TGTCCAATAAGCTTATTCAGGAGGAAGCGAGATTAAAGAAACAAGGAGTTCATTCTATTAACCTAGTGGGTCAAGGAGCCGGAAAGAGATTCAAACCAAAGTCCAAGAATTTTAAGAAGAAAGAACTCGCTAAAGTTTTACAGAGTTGCTAATGATGGAAGGAAGGGATAAAAGTTAGATAAATGCCATTTCGTAAGAAAGAAGGACATTATCGAAGGATTACCCAAAACGTAAGGTTTGGTTCGAAAAGAAAGGTATACATTATGTTTCGTATGCTTTGAATCAAACTTATCCGAAGTTCCTTCTAATACTTGGTGGTTTGATTCTGGCGCCACTACTCATGTTTCTAATATTATACGAGGATTTCTTATAATCCAAACCATAAGCCCCAATAGCAACTTTCTCGTTTATAGGGAACCGAATGAAGGCCTCAATTGAAAGTGTGAGGACTTACAGAGTTGACATTAGATACTCGGACATCACTTAGATCTAATGAACACTCTCTATGTACCTTCAATTTCTAGAAATTTAGTTTCTATTTCTAGACTTGATGCTAGTGGTTATACTTTTGAGGTTGGACATGGTTGTTTCAATTTGTATAAGAATAATTGCTTTATTGCTTACGCAATGCTTATGGATGGTTTATATAAATTGAAACTTGATGTTGGTTTATCTAAATCCTTATTTATTGTTAATCATAATGTTGGAATGAAACGGAGTTTGGCGAATGAACATTCCGCTTACTTGTGAAATAAACGTTTAGGTCATATATCAAAGAAAGGTTAGGAAGATTGATAAAGAATAAAATTCTACCGAATCTAGATTTTATCGATCTTGGCTTATGTGTGGAATGCATTAAGGGCAAGCAAACCAAACATAGTAAGAAAGGAGCCATAAGAAGCAGTCAGCTTTCGAAAATAATACACATCGATATTTATGGACCTTTTGACACTCCATCCTTTAATGGAGAAAAATACTTCATCACCTTTATAAATGACTTTTCACGGTATGGATATATCTATTTGTTGCATGAAAAATCTCAAGCTATAAATGCCCTCGAGGTGTTTGTAAAAAAGGTTGAAAGGCAATAAGATAAAAAAGTGAAAATTATAAGATCCGATAGAGGTGGTGAGTATTATAAAAAATATGATGAATCTGAACAAGTGTCTTGGTCCATTTGCTAAGTTCCTCGAAAGTCATGGCATATGTGCACAGTATACTATGCCCGACACACCGCAATAGAATGGTGTGGTAGAAAGGCAAAATAGAACATTAATGGATATGGTTAGGAGTATGATGAGTAGTTCCTCATTACCCAAACGTTTGTGGACGTATGCACTTAGAACTGCTATGTATCTGTTAAACAAGGTTCCTAGCAAGGCAGTTCCTAAAACTCCTTTCGAGTTATGGACTCGGAAGGAAACCTAGTTTAAGACACCTCGCATGTTTGGGGTTATCCATCGAAAGCATGAATTTATAATCTACATAAAAGAAAATTGGATTCTCGAGCGGTTAGTGGTTACTTTATTGGTTACCCAGAAAAATTCAAAGTGGTACAGTGTTTTACCGTGCGAACCACATTTCTAGAATTGTTGAAATAGCCAATGCCAAATTTTTAGAGAATGGTAAGGTTAGTGGGAGTGCTGAAAAACAAGTTGTGGATATTAATGAAATAAGGATTAATATTCCATTACCCATAAATGTTCTTAAATACACAACCACAACAAATGTTGTTCCTATTTTGGAAGATCAAAATAATCAAGAACAACATTTGGATAACGAAGAAGCACCCCATGAAGAAGCTAACTTACCATTAGCTCATGCAAATGAACCAATTGGTATAGCTTTAAATAGACCTATAAGGGTTAGAAGGTTGGTTATTTCGATGATTATGTGATTTATTTACAAGACTCGGATTTTGATTGTGGCATTGATAATGATACTCGTTTCGTTTTCACAAGCTATAGGTAGTGATAAGTCCGAAAGATGGATTGATGTTATGAAAGAAGAGTTGAAATCAATGACTCAAAACAATGTCCGGGATCTTGTAAACTTGCCATAAGGTTCTAAATGAGTTGGCTGCAAATGGGTTTTTAAGACCAAACGCGACTCGATTGGTAATGTTGAAAAATATAAAGCTAGACTTATTGCCAAAGGTTACACTCGAAAAGATGGCATTGATTATAAAGAGACCTTTTCACCTGTCTCAAATAAAGATTCATTGAGAATAATTTTAGCATTAGTGGCTCAATTTGATTTAGAGCTACATCGATGGATGTGAAAATGGCCTTTTTGAATGGGGATGTTGAGGAGGAAGTTTTTATGGATCAACCTCGAAGGTTTTTCCATCGAAGGTAAAGAAAGTATGGTGTGTAAATTGAAGAAGTCAATATATGGACTTAAACAAGCTTCCGTGCAATGGTATATTAAGTTCAATAATACCATTACCTCTTTCGGTTTTGAGAAAATCACTGTTGATCGGTGTATTTACCGAAAGATTAGTGAGAGTAAGTTTATATTTCTAGTTCCGTATGTTGATGACATTTTGCTTGCTGCTAATGACTTGGGTTTGTTGCATAAGACTAAAGAATTTCTTTCTAAGAGTTTTGAAATGAAAGTTATGGGAGAGGCATCCTATGTGATTGGAATTTCAATATTCCGTAAGAGATCGAAGGTTTTTTAAGATTGTCTCAAAAAACCTATATTGAGAAAATTCTTGAGAAATTTAATATGAGTAAGTGCTCGACAGGTGTAGTCCCTATTCAAAAAGAAGATAAATTTAGTCTTATGCAATGTCCAAAGAATGATGTGGAATGTAAGGAAATGGAAACAATTCCATATGCTTATGTTATAAGCAGCTTGATGTACCTACAAACCCGTACTAGACCCGACATCGGCTTTGCAGTAGGGATGTTGGGTAGATATCAAAGTAATCTTGGTATTGATCATTGGAAGGCCGCAAAGAAAGTGTTGAGATACCTTTAAGGAACAAAGGATTATATACTCACTTACAAGAGGTCCGATCACTTAGAAGTGATTGGATATTCGGATTTAGATTTTACTCGGGTGTGTTGATAGTAGAAAGTTAACGTTTGGCTATTTATTCCTATTAGCAGAAGGAGCAATCTCACGGGAAAGTGCCAAACAGTCTATCATTGCTTCATCCACTATGAAAGCAGAATTTGTAGCTTGTTACGAGGCTACAATTCATGCATTATGACTGCGAAACTTTATTTCGGGGCTTGAGGTTGTCGACACGATAAGCAAGCCGCTAAGAATTTATTGTGATAATTTTGCAGTAGTTTTTTCTCTAAAAATGACAAATACTCTAGAAGTGCAAAACACATGGAATTAAAATATTTTGTTGTTAAAGAGGAGATTCGAAACAAAGAATGTATATAGAACATATTAGAACGGATCTCATGGTTGCGGATTCTCTAACTAAGGGTTTACAACCAAAGACTTTCAAAGAACATATGCTTAGGATGAGTCTTGGTTGTATCGATGATTGATGATGATGTTTGATGATCATGTTTTAACACATTTGAGCTCAATAATGATATGTTTTTGAATTTTATATTTCTTATTTATTATATTTATGTATACATCATTGTTTGAATAAGAAATTTGTATGTATTTTCATAACAAGTATGTGGACTATATGTTGTTTATATGCAACTTATGAACCTAACATAATAAGTTCTTAATGTAGTGGTATATTGAAGGAAGTATACAACTATACCGTGTATGAACGCCATAATCCACATTATGTGATTTGTTGTGTTGAGGTGCTTAGGATGTTAACGGTTTATAAGATTTAATTTTTGCTAGCCTTATGTTATACTATTAAATGTAATGATGAAACATCCGGCCAAATGGAAGAATGTAAGAAATATGGCTCGATGTTATGGGCCATATTTTTGTAAGCCCACATTAAGTTGGTTTAGGGTTTTCTTAATTTAATAGTATGTTGAATATGGATCGTTAATTTAGTACTTGATAGACGTACAAGATTTAATATTAACAGGTATATAAACTAGTCCTCTCCCTATCCTAAAAAGGGTATGCGAGACAAAAACACAAAATACGTAATACACGTATTTTGGCTATCCATCAAGCCACTTGCTACGAAAAGAGGGTTAAGGGAGAGAAACTAATTTATAAGGTTTGTGATTGTTAAAAGCTCTCTCTACGTCATGTTGAATTCCGCTCAAGGTAAGTAACTTATTTGCTTCATCTATGAGATTATTATTATATTCAAAATCTTGAATAGGCATGAATGATTTATGTCTTGATAATTGTATGGTATGATTTATGTTTTGATCTTTATGAATGAAGTTTACAACGAAGGCCAGGGATTCATGCCCGATGAGAAAGCTATGAGAGGGGTTTTCAGCAACAAGAGAGGCCAGATTTTCAGAACTGTCATCAGCACTCTCATCGACAAAATCTAACTGGCTACATCTGTAATCTCATTCTGATAATTTGTTTTTCGTTTGAGCAGGTTATGGTCGTCCCCTTAATCTAACATCTGTTTATCGTAATATTTGATTATATCTGATCTGTTGTTGATTTACTACATTAAAAAATTTCTCATTTTTACATAGTAATCCCAACAAAATTACAAAACAACGAGATTTTATTTTACTTTTTTCTTTTCGGTTTATAAATAAATACCTACTGTTTTCATGTGAAAAAAGAAGGGAAAAAAATACAGGGTATTCATTCTATCAGTCGCCAGAATCAAATATCAAGTTATCAACACATCACTGCCCAAAAAAGTTCCATTGTGCTGGACTGAAGTGTTCAATCAGGGCAGCAAATAAAACGTCAAAATCCGCCACATACACGAGTGAGCCAATTTCAAATTGAATCCCTCTTCCACTGGGAATGGTACAAGGCCTACAGCTGCAAACAAAATAGAAAGCAATTCCCAGCGACCCCCGCAGCAGCAGCCTCCAACTTGTTCACAGTGCCAAAAATCCCATGTTAAACGGCATTTAAAAATCTTCCTTGTTAGGGCATTCCGATGCTCTGTGCCCCGACCGCCCACAATTAAAGCAAGAGCCTCCAAAGCTTCTGTTATGCACAATAAAGATGTCATTTCAATTTCTATATAATGGATGACTGAAACAACCTAACTTGTATGACCCAAGATGACCAAACCCTCAACCGCAAAAAACAGCAAAAGATAACAAACACAATAGGGGCAGAAAAGACAGATCATGACAGAAATGAAAAACGAAATCTAACAGTTGCCAACATCTTGTGTGTACCCAAATCTCATCCTATTGAGGTTACTGGATTCAACCAGGTGCCTTTTCCATTAGAAATTACCAAACAACATCACAGGGAAAGAATTAAACAGGAGCATAAGCAAGTATTGGCCAAGAGATGAACCCATTAAAGCTTTCATTGCTGTTGATATTGTGGCTTATGCTTTTCTTTTTATGCTTTTAAGGTTTAATCAGACTAGCAATATTGATAGGCAAAATAAACAACACCACCCCTCCCCCCATTAAAAAAAAAAAAAAAAAAAAAAGAAAGAAACCCAAGTTTGCTATGAGAAAAGTATATACCTATCCCGAGATGATGGCCTGCTTGAGCTTGATCTTCTACCACCTATCAGCCAATCATCTCCACTGCTTCTTGGCATCCGAGAAAAACTATTCTCATATCTGTTACTTCGACCACCACGCCTGTACATGCCTTCATCATCAGAATCTCTACCACTTCCCCAACCACGGGAAGATCTAAAACCACCTCTTTGGCCCCTAGGACCCCCTCTAGCAGGTCTATCCCTACTAGAAAACCTTCCATAAAAATCACTTGGAGGACCATCGTCTTGCAATGTAGGCAACTGCAGATGAAAATAAAAAGATTTTACTACTCTACCAGAGACATGATCTACAGATTTAGGCTGCATATGATCACATTGCAGCTAATTCAAGCAGTCTTTGTGTACATGTAGTAGCATCAATAATGAGTGACCAAAATCTAAAAAGAACCTTGGTGATCTTTGCAATAGTGTTTCCAGGTGGTAGTTGCTTAGTCAACAATCCTTTTGCAATCTCCTCTGGAAGATCAAAAACGGCTCCTTGAACCTGATATAAATACATTATATTTAAATTGTTTTGAAGAATACAATGAATCAAGAAGAAAAGAATCCACTGAACATATTCAAAACATTTCACAGAAACATACCCTTTCATCTGCAATTAGATGTATTTTTCCAACTTCGTCAGCTGCTGCAGGATAAACATCAGAAAGAAATCCAGTAACAGATCTAGCAGATAGAAACCCTCTAGAATAGGTTGGATCGCGCGTCAACTGCAACGTTGCCCATCCCTACAGATACAGGGGTCCGGTTCACATTACCAGCAAGATGCTAAAATAACTACAAAGGTTGTAGTCCACATATAATACTAAAGGAAACAAATATACTGCAACCATCCAAAGAAAAATTTAAAAACAGCAAATAGACAAGTTGTCAATCACGTAGAATAAACAAAATACAAAACTCTAATCATAACACCTGATGGATTGCACTTTTACCAGATTTCTAGAGTAGAAAAAGGATATAATGTACATGTTAATCACAAAGGAAATGCTACTAGAAGTTTGCAGCAGAAAATTTATGAGGAACAGATTCAGGAATATGCCAGGGCTTCATCCACAATTAAGCTAACAAGGTTCTGGACACTCAGGGGATTTAGTTGACACAATACTAGCATCCATGGAACATGATCACAGATGTTATGCCAAGTTATCTTCAGCAATATTGAGTAAAAATGTGAAAGAAAAGCCAGCAGTCCCACAAACCACTTGCATTGCAAAAGATGCACTTTTTGTGAGCAATTTCTTAGTAGTATTTAAACAGCAGCAGCAAGTTAAATAAATTACCGTCCAACTATAGACTAGCCTAATTAAAAAAGGAGGCAAGCAATCATTGCATGTAAGATCATGTTAAATGTGCAGCTTAAAAGCAAATTTCTTGAGCAACACCTACAAGAAAAATCAAGCCCTTGGTTATAAAATTTGAAATCTGATTGCTAGTTATTTACTTGTTCATGGCTAATGAGAGACCGAGATGAAGGAGGCCGAGAAAATCCACTCAAATGTGCTAGTGCAGCAGCAAGAGCACTTGTTCCTTTTTCTTCAATCAATTTCTGGGCAGTTGGGGTGAAAAACTCTACAGACTCGGGATGAACTCCATTTAGAGTAGCAACAACTTGCTCAGCTGATGACCCCAAAACCTCTTCAATAGCTGGTGGACTAACAAACTCAAACTTGCACCCTGCATCACGCTCTAGGGATCTGACGGTTCTCCTTTGATTGCTAGTGAACATCAAAATGGCAGTACCTTCCTTCCCTGCACGTCCAGTACGACCAGAGCGATGCACAAAAGTTTCTGGATCATTGGGAAGTTCATAGTGGATAATCTGGATAAAAGGGTCAACAAGGTCTCAAGTTTCTTAGCTGTTGAAATAAAAGCTGGGTGTCTGGCAAAAAAAAAAAAAAAAAAGTGGAGAAAAATTCCAATTGAAAGGGTCTTGTATCAAAAGTTATCAAAGTATTGAATATTGTATATCTAAACACATACTTTTCATAATGATTGATGCACATTGCTCCTGAGGATAAGCACGTCACTAAAATAACAACTCAACCTGTTACACTGAGATCTAATGGGATAAATTCCATATTCTATGAGTTCTCAGAGATATAAAATCTAATCTTCAATATTAATTGTGAAAGAATCAGTCTGTCAGTGTTTTTTTTTTTTTTAATATATATATAGAAAAGCTTGCTTTCTTCCTCTAATTCTTGCAGATTTTTAGAATGCATAAAACCAACTACCATAAAAATAAATCAGAAAATAACAAAAATAACAGAACTTTCTTTATGCAATCATTACCAAATCAACATTCGGGATATCAAGCCCACGAGATGCAACGTCTGTGGCAACAAGCACAGTGAACTTTCCCTGTCGAAAACCATTCAAAGTTCTCTCCCTCTGATGCTGAGATATATCTCCATGCAGTGCCTCAGAAGCTATACTGTTTGTTAATGCTGTAGAGACTTCATCAGCATCTCGTTTGGTCTGAGTAAAAATTATAGTCTTCCCGCCCTTTGCATAGACCTAAATATAATGGAAATTTTCGGTGCTTCAGAAACAACAGTTACCTCTGATTCTGAAATCACTTTGACCAATAATGAGTTCAATTATCACGAAGAAGTTGATAATGAATGAAATAATTCAATAGGAAAAATTTACTGATAACATAGATATTTTATTATAGAAGACAAAAGCTTGCCATTTAAAGTACCAATTTCCACTCAATAAAGGAATAGCAAAATCCTAGAAGGATTTTCTAAATTGATGGTATTCAAGTGCGTGCCTACAGAATTCTAGCATGGTTTTAGTAGCTTATCACGGAAGTCCTTCCCCAAGTTCAATTTTCCAAAGTCTGCTTCTTGAAAGGATCCTGTGACAATCCTCTAAAACATAGCAAACTAACAGAGTTGATTTAGAAGTCCTGGAATTTTTAAATATATTGTATATATTTTCTTAGGAAAAACAAAGTACAGGTGTGCAATGCCGAAAAATTGTTTTCCATTAGGATACGATAAGATGTTGACACCTCATACAGCACAGGGACAAAATGGAGATATTTTTAGTTTTAATTATTGAAAAGCAAGTAAATGGATTTTTTTAAAAAAAAAAAATGCAAAGACCTCTTCAGAACTCATGCAGACTTGGGCATCCATAGAAATTCTGACAACAAAGACATAAATAGATTTTGAATGATGGGACTACCAACTCATACCGTTACAAGATCACTAAGAATGGTCCGCTTTGAAGTTGCTGTGGCTGATATTGCATAAAGTTTGATTCCTTCTGCCAGCTTTTCTTCTTGTTCACCAACCTGTAAAAGAGGAAAGGAATGAGAACATGTTTTTAGGTTTAAATTCAATCACCAAGGTAAATCAGATAAATCTAACGATATTCTTGTTTACCCTCAAACTACAAGCACTAACTTAATCCATTTCTATTCTTTTTCCCTTTTCCATACCCAACTCCAAAAATTATTGTGCGCTAGAAAAGTCTTTTATTATCCAGTACCAAGAGCCACTTGCAATACCAAGAATCAAAGAACACACAGACATTAAAGAAGGAAAGGGAATATACCAAGTCAATCTGCAAAGGATTGTCCAAATATTTCCTTGCCAATTTTTTAACCCAGGTAGGCATAGTTGCAGAGAAAAGCATGCTCTGGCGCTTTGATGGTAGACTTTCTAAAATAACTTCCACATCCTCCTCAAATCCAAATGAAAGCATTTGATCAGCCTCATCGAGAACCAAATATTCAACCTCTCCCAATTTGAGGCTGTTACCTTTCAGTAGGTCGATGATTCGACCTGGAGTTCCAACCACAACATCAACCCCACGATAAAGAGCATTTTGCTGTGTGGCATAGGAAACCCCTCCATAGACACAAACAGTGTTCAAATAAGGTGCAGACTCTTTAATCTCTCTCTCAACTTGCTTTGCTAGCTCCCGAGTAGGAGCTAGAACCAAAAGTTTAGGAAGCCTGCCAGTTCGCCTGTAAAGAAGCAAACAAAAGACATTAGTTAATAAGCTCGTGAATCCACAGAATTAAAGTGAGACAGACATCGGCAGCAGGCATGGTGAGCAGCCACCTTTGTGAACCTCTTAGTTCAGCATCTTCAGTAAGGCGTTTAATGATTGGAATGCCAAAGGCTAATGTCTTGCCAGTCCCAGTCTTGGCACGAGCAATGAGATCTCGGCCTTCCAGAGCCGGAATTAAAACAGCTCTCTAAATCATTGAAAAGCAAAAGGATAAGTTAGTTCATAACAAAGGGATAAAAGCAGGATACAAGAAAGTAAACCAACTTAAATATCTCAAACAAGTAATGAACGAGGAAAATAAAGGACAGGACATTGCTGATATCTCAAATAACAACATGTATTAGTGCTGCAAAACAAAGAAAAGAGTGAACTAAGAAATATAAAGAGCAATGGAATGGAATAAATCCTAAAAAATAATTATAGGATAAAAATAATAGTAATAAACCAAACAACAAAAAAAAAAAAGGGGGAAAGAGGGAAGTACAGACTTGAATGGGGAAAAGGTGAGTAATTCCTCGACTCTGGAGGGTTTGGACAAGGCGGTGAGGCAAACCCAATTTAGAAACGTCAAGCTCGTCCTCACTAACAGTATTTTTATTATTATTATTTGGTTCAGTTTCAGAAGAGTCGTAATCGACAGCATCGTCGGAATCAGCATCAGCTTCAAAATCAGAAAACCCATCTAGCCTTTTGAAGGCCTCTTCGCTGAGGATGGAATTTGGGGTAGCGATAACACTAGGAGGAGTGAAGCTGCTGCTGCTGTTGCTATTAATAATAAGGCTGTGTTTAAAGCTAAGTTGGGTTTTGGCTATCAAAGAATTGAAGTGGGGAGGCCTTTCAGACAAAAAAGAAGCAGCAGAAGAAGAAGATGGTATAGCTGGTGACAAATTTGCGGCTGCTGTTGTTGTTGCTCTTCTACAACCATTAGTAGTAGTAGAATGGAAGATAGAAGAAACACCAATGACAGTCGAAGTAGAGGCCATTTCTTCTTCTTCTTAACTTCCTCCTCTAACACGCAAGGTGAGGAAGAGAGTGAGGAAATATAGAGATAATGAAAGAAGGGGATATTTTGGGGGTGTAGGCGGCGAGGGATTGTAGTAAGGAAGATAAGGCCGCTCTTCTCTAAAACGTATGGCCTTGCACACCTCCACCTCCTCTTCTGCTTGCTGCTTGCTGATATTTAGACAGGTTGAAGGATAGATGGATAGATATTTGTATTTTAGCCCAAAAAGGCCAAATTGATTCACGGATATTTCTTATGTGGGCTGACTCGGTGGCCAATTAAGCCTCGTTTTTTTCTTTTCTTTTCTTTTCTTTGTGTGGGCTGACTCGCTGGCCCATTAACCATCCTCTTTTTCTTTTCTTTTTGTGGGCTGACTCGCTGGCCCACTGACCCTCCTCTTTTTTCTTTTCTTTTCTTTTCTTTTTTGGGCTGACTCGCTGGCCCATTAACCATCCTCTTTTTTCTTTTCTTTTTGTGGGCTGACTCACTGGCCCATTAACCATCCTTATTTTTCTTTTCTTTTCTTTTTGAGCTTGACTTAACCCACCAGACGAAAAATAATTTTTTTCACATACCAAAGAAACATATCATATTGGACCTTAACACCACGTAGAATGAAATTAATGTCATAATTTATAATTAGATAATTTAATCTACAATAAATAGGGTTTTTCAATATTTTTATAAGTGATTTATTATTTATCTTTTCAAGAAATCTTATTCATGGAAAGTGAGATTAAATTTCCAATACCCAAAACTAGTAGGCTTAGCAGAAATGAAGAAGGGATAATGAAAGAAACCCTTATTACACTACAATTACTAACCATTTCTCCTCCAACTATAATTTAGAGCAACGAAGATGCCGTGCAACTGTGCAGACGTGGAGACATAATTAAGGGTGTTAATCAAGGTACAAAAAGGGCTCCGCTTCCTTTCTTATTTTCTTTTGGCCAAACTTCAATAATGCCCCCAACTATTGTATTAATGTCAATTTGTTTTTAAACAAAATTTTGCATCACGATAATTTTGATTTTTCAATTAGGATCTTCTATTGGAATTTCTTAATATAAACTGTTAATTTTTCTTGCAAACATAAAAAGAAATACCATTTGGATGGAAAGATTTAATTGAAAATTAACTTTTGTGACAAATTAACTATATGGTGAGGGTTTTTTTTTTTTTAAGTTCTTTTCTTTTTCTTACTATGACCTCCACCTTGTGTACTTCGCTGGCCAGTTGGTCCATTAACTAAATCCTGCTGTTTTTCTGATTATATAAAAAAAAAGAGAGCATATACTGGGGGAAAAAATAGCAATATACGCGGATTATCTAATAATTTAATTTAATATTTTTTTATTGATAATAGTTTAATTTTCTTCATTTCTTAATTACTAAGTTTGCTTTTAATGAATTTTTTTTATAAAAAAAGTCAAAATAAATAGATAAATATACTACTAAATAAATAAATAAGAAGTCGAGGAATGAAAGGAAGAAGAAAGATTAAAGAAATTGCAAAACGGAAATTGAAATTGCAATTCCCTCTCTCTCTATCTAGTAGCAATAAGAATCCTCTCCTCTCCTCTCCTCTCCTCTCCTCTCATCCGCTATTATCGCGTGCCAGTGCGGCAGTATCGTCAGCAGCGCTGCGTCTATCTCATCAAATCAAATCATTCAGTTGGTTATTTGGTTAATAAACGGAGCAACTCCTCCTTCCCTTTCCCTTCCCTCACACTCCGACTCTGTCAGTCAGATCTCCTTTCCCTAACTAATATCCTTGTTCTTCTGTAGGTCGGTTTCATTTCTTTCTCCAATTATCGTATTATTCATCAATTATCTGACTCATAAACTACCACTTTTACAGTTATTTGTTTATAATGAGACGAATTCATGCTTTTTTATTTTCTTCTTCTTATTATTCTTTTTTACAGAAATGATTCAGTCAGGGTTTGCGATTTCCAAAGCTACTCTTGCTCCAATTTTATGAGGATTACAACCATTTTATTATCTCATTGTTTCTGCTGAGGTTTGTATTTACTTCTTATACTCATTTCTCTCTCTTTTTTTTAATCGGTAACTATTTATTTATTATTATTTTGGATTGTTGTAGGCACACTTTATTGTGGTGGATTAGTTATTTTCCTTGCTTACAATGGCTGAATTGCTGCCAATTTACTTTAGCATCATTGCTTTCTTTTGCGCCTTGGGAGCCATGGTTTTGGCCATTTTCCACATCTACAGGCACCTTTTGAATTACACTGAACCTACTTATCAGAGATACATCGTCCGCATCATCTTTATGGTCCCGGTTTGTGCTTCTGTCTTACTTTCTGCTACTTTGTATATACTGATTAATTAATTAAGAAACATGGAGGGGGAAAAAAAGTAAGCTGGTCGTAGTGAAAGAGAGAGGTTTTATTAAATAACCAAGATACTAAATAATGGAACAATATGTGCATATATTCTAGCAGAATTTGTGTTTCTAATTTTTTTTTAAAAAAGTATGAGTAGAAAGAGGTTTTATTTAATAATCAAGATAGTATATGATGAAACAATCCATAATTTATTTGTTAAAAGGAAAAAAAACGTGGAGGTGATTTGTTATAGAATTTCTAGTTGTCTTTCACACAAAGACCAAATTAGTCACTAAAGTTATTGGAAGACTGAGATTTATCATAGTATGACTAGCACATTAACTGGGCAGACAGTAGAATAGGTTGGCTATTATTCTATGTATTTAGAACTTTCTTGTAGTGGAGTGAGTAGTAAATGAAGAAAAAATATTCTTTTTTCGTGAATACTCACTAGGAACAACTTTTTTTTTTTTTTGGTTCCACCATTTCCTGGTTATTTTAGAGTTTTTTTTTCCTGGTTTTCATTTAATAAAAATCTATCACCTTCAACAGTTAGTTTATTTTCAATAAATATATGTGAACGAATGGTCTCAAAATGAGCAGAAGATGTATTTTGTGCCTGTTAGTTCATTCACAAACTGTTTGTCCTGTTTCTTTAACTGTTTCTGGAAGTTGTGACAGAGAAAATTTTTCTTTGGTTAAATGTTCACAGGTTTATGCATTGATGTCTTTCTTGTCCCTTATTTTTCCAGAGAGTTCAATCTATTTCAATTCCATACTCGAAGTGTAAGTGTACATGTATTTGGTTTAATTATATAATTGCAGTAGCCTCTAAGTATTTATAATCAGTGTATATAAATCTGTATTGATATCCTGTGAGCAGAGACATCTTTCTTTGTATCATTTCCAAAAAAGTTGACAAAATGGGTGGATATGTAAAGGATATTCTTTCTTTTCCATCTTTGACGTGTAGAAAAAAAATATTGAGACATTTCCTTTCTCACAGCATTCAAAATGTCACACCATGTTTTCTATCAAAGTGGATCATAACAGCAAGCATCTGAAAATCATTCCCACTTGTTGGTTTATCTTTTTTATATTTTGCCTTTCCTTTTATTTCGCTTCAAATTACAAATGCATAGTTGAATTACACTTTCGGATATGCAGATTATCAGTTAGACATAAAGTGTAGATTATTGCAATTGTAGATCGAATCAGTAGGGCATTTAAGGTCTAAACACTAAGATTTTCTGGGAAAGAATGGTTGATTGCAAATATTGTGTGGTGATGGTGATGGTAGTGTTTTGGAATGCTGATGGTGGTGTGTAATGGCATGATGGTTGTGGTGGTAGTGTTACTATTAAGCTGGATGGCTTAGTGTCACTAGGAATCAACCCAAGGGTTCTTCTGAGGCCCACAAGCGGTCTGTCCGGGGATAGATCTGCATATCTAGCTGGTGTTTCATTTGAAAAGCTCTTGGGATGCCACTTTGGGCCATGGGGTCTTTTCTGTGTTCTGCAGAAGCATAGATTGACTACCTTCCCCTTCCTACCATCGTCTAACCAAGTTGTGACAGTAACCAGCTCAGTGTTTTTCTCCTTTCTTTGTGCTATCAATCCTTTCACTTGACATCAGTATTATTCATTGTTGTTCTACCTTATGTACCTTGGAATGAATGAGCAACCTTCTCCAGCATCCTACTATACCCCAAAAACTTAACGTAGATAAGTAGGCTCTTGTACTAATAATATTCACATTTCTGGGTTAAAACGCTTTATTTGTGCAGTATATATTGCATGAAGCATACATGCTAATGATATGTTAACTGTTTCAGTTATGAAGCTTGGGTCATTTATAATTTTCTGTCCTTGTGCCTGGCTTGGGTTGGTGGCCCTGGAGCAGTTGTGCTAAGTTTAAGTGGTCGGGCAATGAAGCCATCATGTTGTTTGATGACTTGTTGCTTTCCTCCCATACCGCTGGATGGGTGAGTTTCTCATTTTCTATGGCTTTGGGGCATGCACAAATCTCATTTTCTGTTTTGGTTAGAAAATATTTAATGGATAGTCTGCAGTCTTATCTTCTCCAAAGGTTGTTATCAGTAATTTCTGTCTGAGTTTGAGTTTTGATTCAACGCAGCCGTTTTATTCGGAGGTGCAAGCAGGGGTGTTTGCAGTTTGTGATTCTGAAGCCTTTCTTAGTTGCTGTTACACTCATACTTTATGCAAAAGGGAAATACAAGGATGGAAATTTCAGTCCTAAACAATCATATCTGTATCTCACCATTATATACACAATATCATATACTATGGCGTTGTATGCTTTGGCATTGTTTTATGTGGCGTGCAAAGATCTGCTTCAGCCTTTCAATCCAGTTCCAAAGTTTATCATCATCAAGTCTGTTGTTTTCTTGACATACTGGCAGGTAAAATTTTATTCACAGTTTGTTATCATTACGAAGCTTTATGGACTGATTGTTCAAAGTTTTATTTGCACATAATGTGCTTGTAGTTTGCATGCTATGTGCTATTTACGAAGAGCAGAGACAGAACATGATTCTTGTGTGTGTATTGAGGAACATTTTCAAGGGTATGCATATTGGACTTGAAAATGACTTGACCTGTGTGCAACCCTTTGCCTGGCTTCTTATCTGTTAAACTTGCTGCAAGTTTTAGTCTGACATGTCATATTTTTTACCCCACATGTCTGAGGACACATGTAATCAGCCTTTTCTGGCTGCTAAAGTCGTTCTGCTATTCGTAGAAAACTTTATTGTTTTTAGATCTTTTGGTGGCTTTTGCCTTTCCTATTCACTGTTTGTGCACAAGCTGCTGAGTTTTTACATTTTTTTATGCACAAATTGAGGAAGTTATGCCTGGTCACCGTAGAACAGTTCTGGTGCATCATAATAATGAACAAAATGAAAACAAAATAATACAGCGTATTGATGAAAACTTTAACTCATATCCTCAGGAAATCAAGTAGGTTAAATATCAATATAACTTTAGTACTTTTTTCAACTCTCAAACCTTTTCCATTGAAATCCCAACCCCCCCCCCCCCCCCCCCCCCCCCAAAACAAAAACACAGCTAACCATAAAGAAGACATATAATTACTTGATGTCTCTATTAAGAAAATTTCTAGAATACGATTGTCTTGACTCAATAGGACTAATCTACTAGGTGCGATCCAGAAATGATTTTTTATGCTAGGAAAGAAAATAAATTTCCTAGAAAAATCCATTTTCTTATTCTGATTTTCTTCCTGCATCAAATTCTGAACTACTAACTACAGCATGGATTCCCTTTTGTAAGAAAAGTATAATGTTGTTTAGGGCTGCAAACTTTCTCTTAGAACTGTAAGGGGATGTACTTGTTCACAATAGCCGTGTCTTCTCTTTGTCGTTTTTCTTCTTTGCAGTGTTTAGGTGTAGTGATACTGGTCTGCGATAGAAGCTTCGGCATGTAAAAATCTTTCATATGGCACTGCTAATGTTGCTTTTGATATAATCCCTTCATTATTAAGTCCTAGCATCCATCTGCTGTACCTCATTATTAGTAATTAGATTTGGGAGTCATCATCTTTTAAAACTCAATTCTCTTGAGGGGAAAAAAGTGAAAAAATTCTTTGTACTCCTTCCATATAGAGATGCATCTACAGTATTCTTTGACTGTCCTTTCTCATGTTAAATTTATTTGTAGAGAATAAAAAAATGGAGTAAAAAAAAATAAAGTGAGCTTGGTGATCTTCAAGTCATCTTTCTTTTTTTCTTTCTTTAGGGAGTTCTGGTTTTTCTTGCTGCAAAGTCTGGATTCATCAAGGATGCAGAAGAAGCTGCTCAGTTTCAGGATTTTATTATATGCGTTGAGATGCTTATAGCTGCTGTTGGTCATCTTTATGCATTTCCATACAAGGAGTATGCTGGTGCGAATATTGCTGGGTCGTGTGACCTGACACGTAGTCTTGCACATGCCTTGAAGTTGAATGACCTATACCATGACACTGTTCACCAGGTATGCCTGATGAATTTTTGTTTCTTCCCATGGATTCTTTCAAAAACCGTGCCTATGTCAATTTTAATGATTATTAAAATATTTGCAGTTTGCACCAACTTATCATGATTATGTGCTCTACAACCATACTGAGGGTGATGAGGGAACAAGAAAGTATCGTTCACGAACTTTTGTGCCAACTGGCCATGAGATGGATGTTGTGAGAAAAAACAAACTCATGTTTGGAAACAAGATGGATGAGGTTCAGCTATCCAGTCGCTCTTCCTCTGCCACAAGCACCCCCGAAAATGATACCTCGGTGCCCAATCCTGCACATTCTGATGCAATGAAATCTTCCCTTCTTATGGATGCTTCTGATTCTTTATCTGCATCTTATGACATGTCGCTTGTTGACATGGACTTCTCCAATTACCCTGCAAAAGTTGCTGCTGCAAATGAAACTGGGATAAGGTGACAAGAATGGGGGAACTGCAACAAATAAGTAAGAAAAGTATCCTTCAAACAAAGTTGAGGAATATGAGGCCCTTCTGCTTCAGGGAAACATTGTATGCAAAAATGTGTGCCATTATTGGTGTCAATTTACTCAACATTGTTTCATAGTCCTCGGTTCTCTATTTCCATTTGGTTTGAGCATTCCAGTTGCTGATGTCGGGCTCCCTTGATTGTGATTAATCGCCTGTTTATCAAGGGTTATCTACCTTTGTTGTTGGTTCTGCTTTGTAGATACATAACTTTTAGATGTCATCCTTAGAGGTTCTTCATGAAATTGGTTGAATTGTTTTTTACCCTTCGACTATCAATGATTGTCCATCACGCTCCCACTTGTGTTCTAGAAACTAAAGTTTTAGATATTACATTTGCAATGTGAAATTGGGTTGTGAACTTGTTTTTGCTGTTGCATATGCACGAAACTCAAGGCCATTATTTGAGTTGTGGATTTAACTCACCACTGCTTTTTACATTTTGGTTTGCCATCCTTGTCGTAACGGTTTTCATTGTGGCATCTATAGAGTAAAGGGTACTTTTAGCTTTTCTTGGTGTTGTCATGTCATTGGAAAAGGGTGCAAGGATTGGAAGTTTGATTCTGGATTCTACATATTTTATTTGCTATATATATAGCAAGGTTTATGCCCCATAAATTTGACCTTGTGACAAGAAACCAAGGTTTCCACAGTTCTACTTAATTTGACAGGAAATCATTCCTAATTGCGTGGGATGCTATGCTATTATAGTCATGCCTTTCATGAATGTTTCAATTTTGTCTTTCAAGGTAGATGAATTGATGATTCTAATTGTTGCACTTGATGATGGTACTGGGTAGAACAAATTAACCACCCACCCACGAATGATCCTTTTAATTTTTATTTTTTGAATCTATTACAGAAGAAGAGAAAGCACTTTTTGACTGTTGTGCCTGTTCAATTGGATGAGCTGAATTAGTTATTTGCCATGGTTGAAAGTTCCTTAATTATATATTGTTTTCGCAATTTAGATGATTTATTTATTTACTTATTTTGTTGGAACAAGTCTCCTGTAAGTATTATTTTAGATTTATGTGTATAGCTGGATTTGCTACAAGTCTTGGTTTGAAAGGCACTTCATTCATGGTAAGCTCAGAAGTACATGTTTAAGGTCGTGATTGTAGGTATCTAAAGTTGACAACAGATGATTCTTAACGAATCAAGATAAGACAATTTCCTGCTGGATGCTTAGACTTGCAAGGCAGGTTTTGTGCGCTGATAATGTTAGTAGCCATTTGTTATACCAGTCTTGATTATTTGATCTGTAATAATTCGGAGTCAAAACTTAGAGCGCTGAGCATTATTGACTAAGCTTTTCTGTCCCTTGTTGCGGCGATTGCATGCATGAAATGAATGCTTCTACTTCACACATCTTATGATTATTTGAGGATCATTATCATGGCATTATCTTGGTGGGCTTGAAAGAAAGCCATCCAGGAACAGTATTTACAACGGCGTGTGTGAATTGCAATGGGGAGGAAGGGATGAGTGGATTGCGTTGACCGAAAAAGGGCAGAGAAAAGAGAAGGTACTTGCTACTAAAACCTGGTTAGTGAGACAAGGACTAGTAGTAATTAATACTCATTTTAGTGAGATGGTGGTGGTTGATGATTACGACGGACAAGATGAATCCAAACCAATCCGTTCCCAGAACGATGCACCCAAATATTTCAAACCTAACCAGCCGTTGCCATCTGCATCACGCATCATAACTCTTTTTACGAAAAGAAAAAGGGCGAGAACAACACAAAAGGCACGTGACGCCCATCTTTATCCATCCATCCCTGCCCAACGTGTCCAAAGTATAAAAGTAGAAAGGAAAAGTCCGGCTTGGGTCCAGCTCCTGCCTACTGCGGCGGCGCACTGCGCGCGTGACACTAAACAACAATAAGCAAAGCCAACTTGTTATATACTTATATTCCCTTATAACGCAAGCCAAACAGCCCCCCTGGCTTCTCCCCCTTTCGCCCGCTCCCTTCATTTAATCAAATTTAATTTAATTTAATATGCACGTATTGACTTATTCCTTCTTTAAAAACTCTCGATCGCTTGTTTTATTTTAGATCGATCGTAGCCTCCTTTATCTTTCATGCACGCATAACCTGCAGGTAGAGGGATCACTGATATTCATGGCTCTAGTCATGAATCGCAACTACAGCTACAGTAGTGCTAGTCATAATATGGGGCCAACTCCACTGTTGAGGAGCAGGAGTAGCAGCAGTAGCGGTACTTGGAATGAGTTATTAGGAGGATATAGCAACAGTTCGGAGCATTACAGCAGCAGCTCGGTGATGATGATGGAGAAGAGACAGTTGTTTCTTAGAAGCTACCAGTTCTGTCGGAAAAGAAGCCTAGCAGAAAGGATCAAGGGGTCTTTGATTAGAGTCAAGAAAGTGGTGTGGCTGAAACTAAGATCTGCTCGTAAACTTAGAAGGTTGGTTTGGTCCAGACTCCGTAGTGCGTTCTACTATCGTCGCAGAAGAAGATTTCTTCGCCTCCTTAACCAGAATCATCACAACTCTTCCACCTGCACTTAATTTCTAGTAGGACTATAAAAATGTTAATTAAATTATTTTCTTGTGTTTTATGTTAGTAGTATTTGTTCAGGAAAAAAGAAATTGCATCTTCCTATTTTCTTTCTTTAGCCCGTGGATGATTTGGAATTGCTAGTTACTAGCATGTATGCCTGTAACCCTAGCTAGCCTAGGCTTTGGGAATATCGAAGGACTGAAATCTTCATTAGATTGATGTTTGATTAATTAAGACGCTCTTAGCTACGGTTTTAGGTTTATTTTAGTGGTAACACACATCCTTAATTATGTATAGGCGTGCGGAAAAATCTGAATTACTATTATTATTATATAATGCCTGTTGTTATTGCTCTTCTGCCATATAGCTGTGCCTGTAATTAACTCAGTTGTTCAAATTGTAATTAGTCTTGTAACTCCTGTGATTAAGTTCAGCACCGGTTACTCATTAAGCTTGCTGATCACCCCTTAATTAGAAAAACCTTTCCAGACATAATTAATAAAAGTAGTACTCCTTTTTCTTGTGTAATTAAGATGTATTGCTTCCTGTAACTCGACATATAATCGAGGAAATATATATATATATATATTTATTTATGTATAGCGTTAATTTAAGATTAGTAGCTTCGGGGAAAGCAGCAATAGTAATTAAAATTGAAGTTTGGATTCCAGCGGCCAAGCTAGATACGAAAAGGAGTCAAATATTTCACACTGTAAAGTTCCACATTGGGAAAGAAAGCCAAAATAGAAAGTCATTCATTCGTTGCTTTGGCTTTTGCTTTTACATGTAGGCATGCATCATGCATGCTACTGCTAGCTGTTCAAGTAGGAAACGAAGACCACCATCGATCCATGCTAGTTGTATTATTATATAACACAAATTTCAAAAATATTACGGTAGTTTTAATGTTACTGTTAGTTAAGCAACTATCTCAGTTTAAAACATAATTAGTTTTTCGATAGATGTTTTTAAAATAATTTATGTTAAAAAATCATTTCAATTCAAAATGTTAAATTTTTTTAAAAAATATCTTTAAAATAATTTTATATTACTTTCTAACATCGTAATTTTTAGTATTAATTTTACAATTAAAATTTGCAGATATTTTAAATTAAAGATTTTTATTTATTTTTAAAGTTATCCTTCTAAATTTCTATCCAAAATTTATTTTTACTTTTTTTGTAAAAAAAAAATGATGTTGTTTTGTAAAAAGTCTATGTTGTTCTAAATCGAGAAATCAAAATAGTTTGAAGGTAAAATTAAATACAAAATTGATAATACTCGTATAATTTTACGATATATTTTATCTTTGTCTTCCTGATTGAAATTTGGAAATTTTTGGGTCTCCAACCCTCCGTTTGCACCCTTTTATGTATCTTGGCATTGATGACCACTGACCAGCGATTCATGGCTCGACGACTAATTGTCCTCTCCTCGTTGCCATTAAACCCATCTTTCTCTTTTTGATTCACTCACATATCACGGGAATTTTCGTCTATCTTGTTAGTAGTTGCTATCCTCTTTGGCTGCTGCATGATTACTTTTCCAACTTAATTCATAGATGAAATTCTTGGAACTTTGATGACGTGCAAGTTGTTAGGTTCCTTTTTTCTCTTTTTTTCTTTTTCCAAAATATCATTCAAAAGCTGTCAAAATTAAGTTCAATACAAAGCAGCACAATGAGAATTGTTTGACTTCCCCATACAAAACAGCACAATAAGAACTAAACTCTGCCCTGTCTTTATATAAATACATCATCATGTGACAGCAGCAATCTTGACTAATTGGTTATTTGTTTAGTGAAACCAATCCAGTTTGTACATTTGGATCCTCAACCCTATTTACTTGGTTTTATTGGCCTTAAGTTACAGTTCGGCAGCTTAATTTTGAATGTAATTAATTTAATTATGTCTTTATTTATAGTACTCTGCTAGCTTGATGATCAGTCGTTGAATCGGGATTAATATTAGTAGCTAACACACACCAGAATTAAGAAAATATAAATAAAATAGATTCAGAGATAGCGAGAGCTTGCTAGCTGGGCATCTTCCAACAATACATTCTGACAAACGATCCTTGATTAATACTAAATGTATAATTAAATTGCATATTTAATTAATTGTATTATAGACACATGTGCATCGACAATATTCTAGCACTTCAGTGGTTGACCCGTGATTGTCACAGCAGAAAAATAAAATCAAATGCCGGCCTGCATCTACGACGTCTGATTGATTAATTAATTAACTAATTATATATCCATCCATCTAATCAACTGTTTTAGATCTCATTAATTAATTTATACCGCTGTCCACATGTTGGATCTAGCACGTACTGTGTAATCTACGTACCGTTTCATGAAGAATAACCAAACCATAATAGATCAAAAGAAGTTCAGAAATAGGATGGCTTGCTCTACCCACCGCCTCAAAAACGTTGGTTATGTTGAATAAATAATAATAACAACAGTAAAGATTGCAGTGATAATAATAAAAGAGTTGAAGAAAAATATAATAGAAAGGTGAATTTATTACGAGAAAAAGTGAATATAAGTGATAATAATTTTAAAATATTTTTTTCATTTTCTATAAATTAAACTTTATTATGTAAACTAATAAACAATCTAATTTATTTATAGATTTTAAAATTAGATAATAATCAGACTATAAGGCTATATTTGTTTGGAGAAAAATAAATTTTTAAGAACTTGTTTTCACATAAAAATTAAATGCATCATTTGTTTGATTTTTATATTAAATAGTGAATTGAATCACATTAAAAATTATAAGTAATAAAAATATAAAATAAATATAAAAATTCAAATAAAAATTTATTACATTATATTATAACAGGTTATATAGTTTTTTCAACATCAAATATTACGTTGTTCGATAGTAAGTTAAACAGCAGATGATCAGCATATAAAAATAATTATTCATTAATTAATTTTGCTGATCAAATAGAGTTTTGCCATCCCTCCTATAGGATCATTCATCCTTGAGCCCAACGATTGATGTGGCTTTAGAAAAATACTGCATGCATGAACAAGCCCGTCATAGTTATAGCTATAGCCCATATCCTATAAGGCTAGCCCTTGCTAGGTCATGCCTGGTGACTTAACGTTGTTGGGCTACCAAGTCATGGTGACGGGCTACTTTTTAAGGGGGGACTTCCTCCAATATTTATATTATCAATCTTGTATGACTTTTTCAATGGATGGGCCACCAAGCCTTACTATGGTGGGCTCCAAGGCTGAAGAATACATTAGTTGGGCTCTATGTTTTTATGCAACATTAACTAAACGGGCTTAACCCAGAATATTTATAATCTGCCAGGCCCAACAAATAAGTTTCAAATTCAATACAAGGAATTAGGCAATCAACTTTTTAAGAAACTAGTTGGGTTGAATTGCTAAATTCATTTAATAAGCACATTAAGATAAGAGAAATGGAAAATTGGATATATATAGATTTTATAAAAGAAAAGGCCGTTAATTATCTTGTGTGATGTCTCAATTGATGTACTACCAAGTATGAAGAATGGACGCAGGGCCTGACCAATGCATAGGTAATAATGTAATATTGGGCTCTGTAGCTGTTTCCTGCATCACCAACAGCGATGATTTTATCAATTAACGGGCCTGGCCTTGCCCAGAATATATATACAATCTCTCATCAGGCCCAAATTCAATACAAGGATTGGATAGTTTTTAAAGAACTAGTTGGATCAAGTAAACAAATGAATGCGACTATGTGAGTTAATATGTGTTCTATTTAATTCAGTTAAAAAAAACAAAAGGGGAAAAAGCCAAGTCTAGAGCCGCTGTTTGGTTTGATGAGGTACAAAGTGGACGAACAGTTCATGTTGCTGACTAAATTGATTGGGGATCTCTGTCAAAAGGAATAAAAAAAACTTTTAGATTTCCTTTTGGTTAATTAAAACCAGATACATTCCTTTGCTTTTACCAAATGATTGGCAATTTGTTTCGTATCCTAACAAGTAACATGGGTGGAGGTGGAGGTGGGGGTTGGCATCAATCATTGCACATGCATGCATGCCTCCAATTCCAATAATATTCCTTCCTCAGCTCTCATCAACCACTAATCAAACAAAGTTGCAGAGTGTGTGTGTGTGTCTAACAATCACTCAATTAATAGTTTATGTAATTCATGTTTGTCCATTTCTTAAAAACCTCTGTTTCTCTTCCTCAGCTGCAGCATATCTGGTTAAAAATATGATGCTAGCCATGTGTTTTCAAGAACCGAAATGTAGGTCTTCATCACCTTTCTGCTACTCCTAATGCTATGCATTTCAAACAGCACATTATTATAAATTAATAATTAACCAGATTCTCCATGTACCCAATTTCTCTGAGATACATTCAATATTTCCTGCTTCCAATTCACTCTCTAAATGCTCTGTCTCCTTATATATGTAATACATGCATACAAGTATTTGATACTTGAACAAGGCATCTAGTTTCTGCACGTATAGCTTATTCAGTCCTTAATTGCAGTCCTCGTCAATGCTGCAGATGGGTTTCGAATCTATTGTTGGAATCCAATCAAGATCCCGCTATGAGAAGCTCAATGGTGGCGATGATCACGAAAAGTTAATGGCAAGGCCAAGAAGAAGGCATTGTTGGGTGAAGAAAATGAATGGAGGAGTAAAGGGTCTACGCTTATCCCGCTCCAGGAGACTTACTTTCAAGGCACTGTCTGTGATCCTAATGCCAAGCCCAAGCAGCAGGATTGCCAAAGTGTATGCTCATATTATTGATAGAATCAAGATCATGGATGATCTGAATCTGTATCCCAATATTATCTTTTCCTCTCATTTGGGGCTTCCAGTTTTATCCCATCCTCTTCCCTCTGTTAAAAGTGATAGAAGGCCGAATCATACCACTGTGTCGCCCAGGTCTCTTCATAAAAATCTAACCTGACGCTTCTTTATGTTTCAGGGGAAGAAAAAAAAAATTGATCTAGTACGTAATTGGTAAACTTGTTTTACATGCACATTAATTCTTTTTGTCGCTTCTTTCTTATTCTCTTAATTAGTACAACTGATGAATGAACTCTTTAATTTATAAGCATAACTTTTGATATGACAAGGCACATATATATCTACCTAATTTCCATTAATCTACCATGCATGTTACTTAATTTTATTAGAAAAACAGGATTACAAGAATATCAACTCTCCGGCCTTTACCAGTTCAATGGGCAATGGGAGGCTTGGCAGAAATATGATCCTCTGGCCTTCTCTTTTGATACTCTCCTTAATCCTGATGACCTAATCCATGATACAAACCTACCTGTTAAAAGCACCTACGTTTGTATTTGTTTAGAAATTTTTAACGCCAACACCTACTTGTACTTGAATTAGGAGTCTGGTCAATAACACGAAAAGGGCTGAAACAGGATTACAGAATACCACCTAGCAGTAGCATTATGCTCATATTGAGGTATCCGCCGCTGACAGACATTAGCATATCCCCATCTGAAGTGGTCTCGAGTTCCATTAATTATATAAAAATAAATAAAATAAATTAAAACCATACCCAGTTTAACGTGCGAGCTTAAATACAAAACACAAACCCAATCCAGTCAAAATCTCTACAAGCTTTGGGTTTGCCCGATCTCGCTCCTCTCCTCTGAATATGACCTTCTTCATGGGTTTTAGAACTCTAAAATTTAGGTGTTAAGAGTGTTGTGAATATTTCAAAAAGGATGTTAAGAACTTTCTCTCACGTTGCCAAAGAAGAAACACCGGATAACACTTTATTAAGACAAGTGTGTTACGGATATGTAAAAAGCAAGCAAAATGAATTGGGTTTAAGGGCCAAACTAAGGCAAATCAGCCCGTTCCCCAACCCCCCCGGGGCCCAAATTTACGGTTTAAATGTAATTAAGTATATTCCTCCTCCTCCTCCTCCTCCTCCTCCTCTCTCTCTCTCTCTCTCTCTCTCTCTCTATATATATATATATATATAGTTAAAGAAAACGCAAGTGATCATCTTAGTTAGTGAGAAATTGAACGAGCTTGTAGCTGGTGGTGGCAAGAGTTGTTGAACTAAACGAAAAGTCAAAAGTATATATAGTTGAACCATCGCTGTAAAGGAAGGAACATATACGTCTTTACAACCAAAACCGCATGCAGCTCCATTCTCCTCAATTTATAGCTGGGAAGCAGTAGAGGTGGCCAATTGTTCACATACTTGAGAATGCAGAAAAGTATCCGGCCGACACACACGCATATATAGAATGGCTTGATATATATATATTCAGATGCATTCATACATATATAGATGTTTGAGATAGATCAGTACTCAGTATTTAATGTTTAGAGCAAGAAAATGAGGGGAGCATATCGCAAAATGTGGCTGGTGGTGCCCTGCACAAGCAAGAAAATTTTGCGAACAGAGTCGAGGAAAGACATAGAAGAAATACTCAAGAGTAAGCTTGGAACCATCCAGGAAGATGAGGCAGAATGCGAGGTGGAGAATAATCTAACTCCAACAATACTGGGAAGGAGCAAGAAAAGATCATCAACAATAATTAGAAAGAAGGGGCACTGTTTTGTGGCTCACTTCAGCTTTAAAAATCGCATGCCGTTCATGACTTCTGGGATGCAGGCTTTCCTCCATAGGTAGCTTGCTTAAATATTTTAAAGTATATTAAAGCCGTCCACATATATATATCGATTAGCAGTTGGATTCAGAGCGAGCGAGCAATTAGATAGATTAATTATTTGATATCTTTTCTTTTGTAATCTTAAATATACTACGTACTATATATATATATATATATCTTATCTCTGATCTGTCTCGTGTGGAAATTAACTTGTAATTATAGCAATTAATGTCTCCGTTTTTTGCCACCTGTATCATAAATTTTGAAATATTCTTTGCTTAGCTAGCTAGTAGCTACGTACGATGGCAATTTACTAGCATCAGTTCATTCATTTATACTACTAGTAAGTTACAAGTAACATTACCACAGCAATAATAAAATTAATGGGCAAAATTTAATTTGTTTTCTTGAAGTTTAGGTTTAATCATTTAAATAAATAAAAACAGTGAATCAATTGAAACATAAAAAATGTAATGTCATTAATTATGTTAGTTTAATAAATAAAATTAAAAAAATTTGATGAAAATCTAGAAAGATAATCGATACAAACTAAATCTCAGAAAAAAATAAAAAATAAAATTGAGAAACCTTCAAACTTTAAGAATCCAAATCAGAATTTACACTGATAATAAAATGAAGGGAATGAGTTCTTAGGTTTAATCACAAATTGTTAGTGCCTCAAACAGGCCCACTCCAGGTGAAAGCCTTAGGCCCATGGCGAAAATAAATAAGCAGTCGACACCAATAATCAATAATCATTAATCATTAATCATTAATTACTTACTTTTACATCGGATTTACGCCACCTGCCTGCCACGTGGTTGTTTGGTTGCGTGACTAGGAGTAGGAAATTTTGATTTTTGAGTGTAACCCAAAAAAAAAAGAATAATAATAATGGTTGAATGGGGCCGATGGTCTTACCTTACCGACTAACGTCTCCATCCAGATGGGCTGGAACCTTCAGATGCAGACGGACAGCAGTTCAGAGTGAAGAAGAAAAAAGGAACAAATCCAATCCATTCCATCCACATATATAATATATAATATATAAATTGTCGCAGTCGTACTAATTCTCGGCGAGAGCCGCGTGTGTATGTCTTTTTTCTATGGGGCCGTGTGTATCGTTTTTTGAATATTGATATTAAAATTCAAAATCAAAAAAGTTATAAAGATACGTTAAGGGAGGGTGAGTTGTTGTTGCCGTTGTGATTGTGAAAGTGAGTTAACCGAGGCAGAGGATAACGCAGAGAGAACTGTTTCCTTTCTGTAATTTGTGAGACCCGACAACTCAGCCGAACGTTTCGATATTTACTCCTCCTGCCTCTCAACAGCTTCCCCTTTTTTTTTTTGCCCCCCACGTCCTTCTCCGTCTCCGTCTCAGTCTCTGTCACACTGACAGACATATACGCAAACTCCGAATAGAATTCGACTTCAAATTCGAATTCTCAAACTTTTTCACTTGTTATCTCTAATTCTCGTCTTAATCCTCCAATTCCTTCTCTAACAATAGATAGTATTAAGGAGTGAGTGTTGATTAGATTATATATCCGATCAATTAAAAAATTGGAGTTACGAGGTGGTCCTGGTTCTTTCTTCCTTTCTTCCAGTTTTTCTATTTAGCACACGCAGATTCCTTCGTTAATTTATACCATTAAGTATATGTTTGTGTCGGATAAGCAGAATATTTCCAGAGACATCGTTGATAATTATAAGGAAGATGACGATGATATCGATGATCAACAGGACAAATCAAGCAACGGGTATAGGTCCCCCACTGGCAATAACAACAACAGCAGCAAGAAGAACAAGATTATGATGATGCTGAAAAAGAAGAAGAAGAAGAAAGAAAACGTTTCTTTCACAGAGAGATACAATAGTGATCGATCACGCGGTGATACTGCAAGTGCGGTAAATAAAATTAATCCCACCAAGCCAAACAAAGGACTCCTCTTTCCGTTCAATAAGCCCAACAAACTTTTCTTTAAGAAAAGCACCCCTTCTTCTCCTTCTCCTTCTCCTTCTCCTTCTCCAAATACTGCTGTTGCTAGTAATGCTTGTTTTCCAGGTAAAACGAGCACTAGTTGCTTTTGTTTTAAGCAACCCTCTACTTTGAAATCTTCTTCAACATCAACACCAACCTCACCCCAGTCTCAAACAAGCGACCCTAATCACCCTAAATTCACTTTCGACATGTTGAAATCTTTGATCGAGACCAATGATTTTTATTCCAAAGAATGCAACCCTCATTCATTAAATACTACTTTCTGAAGATTGAACAGATTCATCCATCTTATCATCCACACTAGTACCATTTTCAGTTTCTGAAAGAGTGCAGAGTGATCGCACAGATTCTTTCAAAAGGATTCTATGTTTTTTGGACTTGGTTCGTTGACGATATTAACAACATATTCATCTTCAATTTTGCCCTCAAGAGCATACCTTGTCTGCCTTCAACTGCTACTGCTATATTAATTGTTTACCTTTGGATGGAGAATTGGAAGCAGCTCTATGATTAAGGTCTGTCATACGTGTATTATCTAGACTCTTATATGCTTTTGGCAGAACTCTGTATTGGGAATCATACAGATACACCATTCAATATCGATTTGTTTCTTTGTCTGCAAAGTTCAGTCACAATTATTGGTGAAGGCTAGGGAAATTCACAAGCATATTGGTATTCAGAGGGCGTGGCTTCAGCATTTTGGTCCTTTCTCAATATCTTTGGATTTTTCAAATGGTACGTAGAATTTTTTACAATCGATTATTTTGATACTTCTTATACAATAGCAAATTATATTTATCCAATATGTAGAGCGTGATATTTTTCAGTGGCTGAGCCAAGTAGTTTGAGTGTTGTCACTCTTTGTTTCTTTCTTTACCATCAATGCCTTTGTTCTTTTAATGTGCACGAGTGTTGGGGTTTTTGTATGATAGATGAAATCTTAGACATGTTGAAATCCTTGATTGAGAAGGATGATTTTATTCCAAAGAATGCAGCGCCATTTTTAGGTATATTGATGGTGATGGTGATGATATTGGATGCTTCAAGGTAAGGGGAGTCATTCTCACTGCCCTCGGTATCTTCCTGAATGAAAAAGACCGCAGAGTGGTCGCATGGGTTGGTGGGCTTTGTGAGATTATTTTAAATTTTGTGCTCTTTGATTTCATTGGCTTGCGATTCTATGTTTATGGCATTCGTTCATTGATTCTTTGCGTAACCAAGAAACTTGCTATTGCAATGCATCCAAGAAACTTGCTATTTCATTGGCAGGAGCATTTTTTTTGTTCCTCTGCGATACTGGCAAGTTTATTGATATCTTTGATTTTATTTATTTATTTTTGTATAGGTAGATTGTTACATATTTCTTACTATATATACTAGCACATAATGTCTTTTCCAACATGTAGACCATGGTATGAAAATACTGATCAAGTAGTTTGAGAGTTACTCTTGTTTCTTTGTTGACTGTGCAGTACCCCGATAATGCTTCATCAATGCAATTGTGCTTTTAGGTGCATTAGTTTTAAGGTTGTGGTATGATAGACGAATCATGGATGCGACTACAACTTTTATAGCCTGAGAGGCTAATTCCTTCCTCTAGTAATTTGGGTTCTTTACTCAAAACACTCTTGATGATGTTCAGTGATCAGTACTATTAGGAAAAGCTGACTGATGCCCTGTACTGAGCCATAATTTCTCTATGCAACTAAGACGGATCCATTGGCATCTATGTAAACTTTTCAACAATGTATGGAGATCTCAACCTTGTCTGCCTGCCTGCTCATCTACTGTTTACCTTGTCTACCTTTGGCGGAACACTATACTAAGCTTCTGCTGGACATACAAAACTCAAAATCAATTGTTTATTTGGATGCAGATTTCATGTACAACTATATGCTTAGACTAGGGAAATTCAGAAGGATTTAAGCATATGGTGGATGCGGCAACTGTAATTTTGCTTCATTTGAATTGTAGATTTTTTGTTCTAAAGGGATTATTAGTTCATATTTCTAGCGTGGTATATTATGTTTCCCTCAATATGTCTTTTGACTCTACCGACTGCAGTTAAGCAGTTTGAATGGTACTCTTTGCTTCTTTCTCGCCCGGGCAGCACCCTGATAGTTCTTGACCTGAAATTTTCTTTAATGAATTTTTTATTTTTTAAGTTCTTTTTTCTTCTTTGTACTTGTAAGGTGCATGATTTTAAAGGTTGATTAAAAGGAAATGCAGAAACTGCTTCTATAGCCTAACTGGTTACTTTAAGGTTTTCACAGGGTAGCTCTGTAAGCCAAGGTAACGAGTTTCATTCTTGATGACATCCAGCTTGAAAGGGTGGCTGACTACCTGTACTTGAGCTTGAATACAAGTGGAAAAGATTAGCGAGGGCCATGTCCTTAAATGAGCACATCCTCTTTAGGAATCAACATACATCTATATGGAGAAGTTTACAGGTCATCAATAGATTGTGCAGTGTAGCTAATGCCTTTTTAATATTCTGGATTTTGGCATATTTTAGGTATCTTTGGTCAGTGAAAGGAAGTTCACAAGCTATCCTATGGCAAATCTCATAGAACTTTTGCATCAACTTGTGTTCTTCGTTTACTATGGCCATTGAAACAGAGAGTCGGGCTGTTTATAGTTTGTTTTGGCTGCTGGTGTAAATGCAGTTCTTGAGGTTTTTAGAGGGCTGGCCTTTGATGATCGATTTGTTTACGTAGTTGTTCCTGTATTGTCTCCCTAGAATTGCTTCTGAGATCTCTGTTATAGGTGACCTTTTGGGATTTGTGTGTGTGTAGATGTGGAAAGCAAGGGCTCAAACATGGAGAAGCCCCTATTGGAATATGCTAAATCACTGAGATTGAGGTTCAGCACGTGCATATTTAGAGTGAGAATCGATAGGAAACTTAAAAGCCCACCCTGTCGAGAATGGGACATCGAACATGGGCTCAGACAGGATTTTCCAACATAAATGATGGCAGTACTGCCAATAGCAGGGAGCATGGAGAAGCCTCTATTGGAATATGCTAAATCACATCTTGCTAGACGGCCATACCTTGCTAGACAGGTGGTGATGGAATGCTGAAGTTTTGAGAATGAAGAAATGCTCAGTCAGAGGCTGTAAGTGCCAAAAAATTTAACAGATAAAGAGCATGATTTCCTTGCGTTGCCACACGACACTTGTCGTTTACCAGTTGTTGGAAGATAAGAAAGAATAAATGATCCAAAGGAAAGTAAAAGAAAGGGTCAATCGCAAGATTGTCTCTTCGTTCATTCTCGGGTCAAAGCACAGAGAACATGTGCTCTCATCACCGCCTTGTAGAGGCAATAACCTTGGATTTTATTCCAAAACGGATACAGGGACAACACAGGCAACTGAAATAAAAGAGAAACTTGGGGAATGACGCTACTCAGTGTCGTACCATTCCCAGAACAAAAAATGTAGTGTATAAATTGAGAAATCAACAGCAAGGTGAAGTATGGGCCAAAAGGCCAATCTGAATGTAGAAGATGCGTCAGAATTTGATTGGAGTGCACGTGAATGCCATAACCCACTCTGTTGTTTGCATTCGAGTTGAGTTAACCCAAAAGGCATGGCCCCGTGTTTCATGATGGGGTACTGTATCTGTATTGGGCACGGGGCGCGTCTCCATTTTTGGCTCTTCGTCCATTGTTTTCTAGCATTGGTAGTAAATGGATTGCCTAATTTAAGCTTCCTGCTCAATTCATCACTCACCTATCCAAAAGGCCAAAGCCCTTTTCTTTTGCTGTGGATAGGATCCCACTTGCAGGGACAGATAGTCTCCTACCTATATGTTTTAATTTATAATAATAATAATCAGAAAGTGCCTTAGGCACTTTCCAGTTTAGTTTTGTTTGGGATTAGTGTTGGCGACATCAGACATGTGCTGATGTGCTTATCGAACACGAAATTCATCATAGCTTTACCAAAAATAACATGTCGCTACCTCCCCCCGAACAAAAAAAAAATCATTTCTTTATGCTACCTAATTTAAGTAATATTAAAATAAAATAAAGAAACAGAGAGAAGGATCATCAACCAATGAAATTAGCAGTACATGCTATTTATAGGGGTGATCCACTGCTGCACTTTTCCGTCTTTGGAAACCCAAGCGAAGGGGACTTCTTTATTTATCCCAGACCTCGATCAGGAGTGGGACTGATATAGATACTGCTTGTCAAATACTATATTTATTATAGGGCGTGTCTATATATACATACATACATATATATATATATGGAGAGAGAGAGAGAGAGAGAGAGAGAGAGAGGCTTCTCTCAGCTCTCTAAAAAGAATAGCAAAATGTGTTTTGGAGGTGAGCAAAGGCAAACCCACCCATCAAGGAAATCCTCAATCTCTGTAACTATCTGAAACCCAGTAACTAATAATACTAATATAATATTGTCGGTGGTCCCTGCTCTGTGCTGGGATTGAAGAAGGGATTGGAGTGGAGGGGTCACTCCCATCCCAACGACAACAGTCACAGACACAAGAGGGAACGGAAGGCGCTGATCAATACATTTTCTACTCCTTATTAGTATTTTATTAACAAGATATGGGGTTTCTGTCTCCTGGGGTCACTTGGGATTCTCATTTTCCTTGCTTTTCTTTTTCTTCTTCTTGTTTCTCTTCTTCAAGCTGTTTAAACCTCACTTGTTGAACCTCACTGGATCTGTTATAACTGGGGTTCCGCTTTGTTCATCATCTCAATAAGGTTAGAGGCTTTTCCTTTTCTCTTCTCTTCTCTTTCTAATGCTTTGGCAATGGTCATTTTTTCAGCTTAAAACAATCAAAGTTTTAGTCTTTAATTCTTGTTTGTGAAGAAATTTCATGTTTTGGTTGCTAAAAACTTGATCTTTAGTATTGTTTTTAATATTAGTTGAACTGCTAGTCTATCCTTTGTGATCATAATACTTTATGGATGCAATTTAGGCACAAAAAAAAAAAAAAAAATTGTATCTTTCAAAATGGTCTCTTTCTTGATTTTGTTTAGTCATAAAAATTTAAGGGAAGATGACAAATATTCACTAATAGGCCATTAGATTCTCTATAGCCAAGTTTTCTTATGTTTGAATACTTGAGGGACACTTTTAGAAATCCTGATGTTTTCAGCATCATTAAAGGGCATATTCACAAAAATTCCTCAGTTCCACTGCCATTGTTATTACTATTCTTACTACTCGTTCATGCTGGTTAGATGATAATGATTAAATGATTACTATACAGGTGGGAAGAAAGACAACATTTGTAGCAATAACTATTACTACTATAGTTGTTTTGCTTTATGCAAACAGAATGGTTATTGTTCTTCATGTGTAGAACTAGAACTGATTCCAGTAATCAAGCAACCCTGCCAAGTTTAAGATTATATCTTTTCATTTTCTTATTGTTTCCTCTCTACAGTTTGGGTGAAAATGTCTTCTTCAAGGCCAAGCCACTCGTCCAGCAATTCAGGGAGATCAAGACACGGTGCTAGGATTATTGCTCAGACCACTGTGGATGCCAAGCTCCATGCCGATTTTGAGGAGTCAGGCAGTTCTTTTGATTACTCAAACTCAGTGCGGGTTACTGGTTCAGTTGGTGGAGATCAGCCACCCAGGTCTGACAAAGTAACCACAGCTTATCTTCACCACATCCAGAAAGGCAAGCAGATCCAACCTTTTGGCTGCTTGCTAGCATTAGATGAGAAAACTTTCAAAGTCATTGCATACAGTGAGAATGCCCCTGAAATGTTGACGATGGTTAGTCATGCAGTGCCAAGTGTTGGGGACCATCCAGTTCTTGGCGTTGGAACTGACATCAGGACTATCTTCACTGCTCCGAGTGCATCTGCCTTGCAAAAAGCCCTGGGATTTGGGGATGTTTCTCTTTTGAATCCAATATTGGTTCATTGCAAGACTTCTGGGAAGCCCTTTTATGCAATTGTTCATCGGGTGACTGGCAGCTTGATAATTGACTTTGAACCCGTGAAGCCTTATGAGGTGCCCATGACTGCTGCCGGTGCTCTGCAATCATACAAGCTTGCAGCCAAAGCAATTACTCGGCTGCAGTCTTTGCCTAGTGGAAGCTTGGACAGGCTTTGTGATACAATGGTTCAGGAGGTTTTCGAGCTCACTGGATATGATAGGGCGATGGCCTATAAATTTCACGATGATGATCATGGAGAAGTGGTCTCTGAGGTTACAAAGCCAGGCCTGGAGCCATATCTGGGTTTGCATTATCCAGCTACTGACATCCCTCAAGCGGCACGTTTTCTATTTATGAAGAATAAAGTTCGAATGATTGTTGATTGTCATGCTAAACATGTCAAGGTGCTTCAAGATGAGAAGCTTCCATTTGATCTGACATTCTGTGGTTCAACCCTGAGGGCCCCACACAGTTGTCATTTACAATACATGGAGAACATGAATTCCATTGCTTCTCTGGTTATGGCAGTTGTGGTCAATGATGGGGATGAAGATGGTGATACCCCTGATTCTGCACACCCACAGAAAAGAAAGAGACTTTGGGGTTTAGTTGTGTGCCATAATACGAGCCCGAGGTTTGTTCCTTTCCCTCTTAGGTATGCTTGTGAGTTTCTAGCTCAAGTATTTGCCATCCATGTCAACAAGGAATTGGAGTTAGAAAATCAAATTGTTGAGAAGAACATCCTCCGCACCCAGACACTCTTATGTGATATGCTCATGCGTGATGCACCGTTGGGTATTGTGTCACAGAGCCCAAACATAATGGATCTAGTGAAGTGTGATGGTGCTGCTCTGTTGTACAAGAATAAGATATGGAGATTGGGAGCAACTCCAAGTGATCTGCAGCTTCAGGATTTAGCTTTTTGGCTTTCCGAACACCATATGGATTCTACGGGTCTGAGTACAGATAGCTTGCATGATGCAGGGTACCCAGGGGCTCTGGCTCTTGGTGATGTGGTTTGTGGAATGGCAGCCGTGAGAATAACTTCCAAGGACATGCTTTTTTGGTTTCGATCCCAGACTGCTGCAGAAATTCGATGGGGTGGTGCAAAGCATGAATGTGGGGAGAAGGATGACGGAAGGAGGATGCACCCTAGGTCTTCTTTCAAGGCCTTTCTTGAAGTTGTCAAGACAAGGAGTTTGCCTTGGAAGGACTATGAAATGGATGCAATCCATTCTTTGCAGATTATCCTGAGGAACACCTTCAAAGACATTGAAACCATGGATGTGGATTCCAAAGCAATTCATTCAAGGCTAAGTGACCTCAAAATTGAAGGGATGCAAGAACTCGAAGCAGTGACTAGTGAAATGGTCCGTTTAATTGAGACTGCTACAGTGCCAATCTTGGCCGTTGATGTTGATGGTCTAGTTAATGGGTGGAATACAAAAATTTCTGAGTTGACAGGTCTTCCTGTTGATTCAGCTATCGGTAAACATATGCTAACACTCGTGGAAGATTCTTCAGTTGATATAGTAAAAAAAATGTTATTCTTGGCATTGCAGGGTATGTCATTTTTACATTCTGGTCATTTCTTAGTTGTCAAGTTTTGTTACAAACAAACATGCACTTAAGCTTGAGAGGAAGTGGTGGTTGCTTGAATCTCTTGGTTGCTTGTATATTGTCTGTAAAACATCGTATTTCATCTGCATCACATTGAATATCTTTCCTTCCCTTTCTGATCAGGCAAAGAGGAGCAGAACATCCAATTTGAAATCAAGACACATGGTTCCAAGTCTGAAGGTGGCCCCATCAGCTTAGTTGTTAATGCTTGCGCTAGCAGGGACCTTCATGAAAGTGTTGTAGGGGTGTGCTTTGTGGCTCAAGATATCACCGGCCAGAAGATGGTCATGGACAAGTTCACCCGGATTGAAGGTGATTACAAAGCAATCGTACAAAATCGAAACCCGTTGATCCCCCCAATATTTGGGACGGATGAGTTTGGCTGGTGTTCTGAGTGGAATACTGCCATGACAAAGTTGACTGGTTGGAAACGAGAAGAAGTTCTAGATAAAATGCTATTGGGAGAGGTTTTTGGGATCAACATGGCATGCTGTCGTCTTAAAAATCAGGAGGCTTTTGTAAATCTTGGTGTTGTACTTAATAATGCCATGACTGGCCAGGAACCCGAGAAGGTTTCTTTTGGTTTCTTTACTCAGAGTGGAAAGTATGTGGAATGCCTGTTGTGTGTGAGTAAGAAATTGGACAGAGAGGGTGCTGTGACTGGGGTCTTCTGCTTTCTACAGCTTGCAAGCCAAGAGCTGCAACAAGCACTTCATGTACAACGATTATCAGAGCAAACTGCCTTGAAAAGATTGAAAACATTGGCTTATATAAAAAGGCAGATTCGTAATCCTCTCTCTGGAATTATATTTTCTCGGAAACTGATGGAGGGAAGCGCATTGGGAGCAGAACAAAAGGAGTTTCTGCACACCAGTGCCCAGTGCCAGCACCAACTCAGCAAGATTCTTGATGACTCGGATCTCGATAGCATCATCGAAGGGTATGATAGAGTCCCTGTTTTTCTTTATGAAGCTATTACATTATGCATTTTCTGGGGAAAAAAGACCATTGTATGTTAGGAGATTCATCTTGCATCCAAGATTTTTAGGAAGAGTACTTCATTGAATTTGAATGCATTGCATTACTGGAAGTTTTGCTACTTACAGGAGTTCAGTGAACCCCTTTGATCTTTTTCAGCTGGGTTGTAAGCTTTCTCATACGATCTTAGTGTGTCATGGCACTCATAGTTTTAAGTTTTATATGGCCTCATCAAATAGGATCATGGTTGGAATTAGTTTTGGTCTTCAATTGCATGCATGCACACTGTGCGATGCATGAACCTGCTGTTACACTATAACTGAAATGGATTCCTTATGCGTGGTAGAGTAGATATTTGGTAAGAGTGATCTTCAATATTTTGGACTTGGGATTATTTCAACTAGTCATTATTGAATTATACTTTCCAATCCTTTCTGTCTTACTTTTGGTGGGAATTGTGCTTGCTCGATGTGAAATCTCAACAGAATGTTTTCAGAACTAACAAAGTTCTTTTCTACTTTTGAATTCAGGTCATCCATATTCACTTCACAGAGTTGTTGTCTTTCATCTTAAGCTAGTTTTTACAACTCCATCTATGAATAATTAGTCCACACATGGCCAATATACCAATTTACTTTATGGAATTCTTGGTTAGGCTCTACCATCTGAGGAAGTTCTCTGAACAAATTGATGTGTCTGGTGCGGTAGTTTTGTAGTTGAAAATCAAGAGATTTGCTGTTCAGTCTGCCTGTGATGTGTGCACAAGCTCAACATGATTCATTGAAACTCTTACTTTTCTTTTATCATCTTTCATTAATATTTAATTTTCCTTTTCTGAATATTGGTCAGCTACTTGGATCTGGAAATGGTGGAGTTTACCCTGCATGAGGTAGTAGTGGCTGCTATCAGTCAAGTCATGATGAAGAGCAATGCAAAGGGCATTCGAATAATCAACGATGCAGCTGAAGAGATAATGACTGAGACCGTATATGGTGATAGCATCAGACTTCAACAGGTGTTAGCTGATTTCTTGTCGATGTCGGTTAATTTTACACCAACTGGAGGCCAGCTCTCTCTTTCAGCTAGCTTAACCAGAGACCAGTTGGGGCAATCTGTTCATCTTGTGCATCTGGAACTCAGGTATCACTTGAGGCATAAATGAGATTTCAATATCTAGATATTGTTACATTAAGGTGTGACTCAAGCTCTCTGCATGTCAAATATCAGATGGCTTTGTACGCTCTTGTTTTGGAGAAATAAGTGGCTCCAAAAAAATGGAAAGAAACACATTATATTTAACCGATCTAAATGGTTCTGCTGCTCTACGCATTCTGTAGAACCATTTGGATTGCATAGAGTGAACAAAAGGAATAGACATTAAAATTATTGCTTAGATTGAGTCAAGACCCTAATAAAATGCTTAGAATCGTTGTATATTTTTATCCAGGTTCATGGACTGGTTCAGTTAATAACTTCGGTATTCTGTTGTTGTGTTAAACTTTTGGTCAGGATAACCCATGGTGGTGGTGGGATACCTGAAGCATTGCTAGACCAAATGTTTGGGGGCGATGTGGATGCTTCCGAGGAGGGGATCAGCCTGCTTATCAGCAGAAAGCTGGTGAAGCTGATGAATGGAGATGTTCGGTACATGAGGGAAGCGGGAAAGTCAAGCTTTATCATATCAGCTGAACTTGCTGGTGGCCATAAGTCGCAAAAGAAGGCATAGTAAGGCAGCCCAGAAAATAAGAGTGGGAATATGGTGCGTGTAGTGAAAGACGGATGCGGGGGTTGAAATTCTGTAACATGGCAAGCCATGCAGGCTTTTTTTATTTATTTTTTTTAATTAGTTAATGTCTGTGATTTAGTGCATGTGAGTTGATCTCCTCAAGTTGTAAATATGAAAAATTCGACAGATGCAATTCGGCGAACTCTGTGCATTATTGTATGGCAAAAGTGAAACAACAGCAGCAGCAGTAGTTATATTGCAATGAATTTTTGTAATAATGCAATAGGCAGGTTGTGAAGATAACTGGTGGAACCTCACCCCTTTCCTCTCTCTCTCTCCTTTTTTTATTCACAAATGAGACACTGTTCAAATCATATCATATAATACAAATACTTATTTAACTATATTTATTGATTATTATTATTATCACTACTCTTTTTTTGTAGTGTTCTGTTTCTACAATGCGGAAATAACACTTAAAGAAATGTTTTTTTTAATAAAAAGAAAAAGGCATGTGAAAGACACGCGCATAAAGAAAAAGAAAAAGGAAAAAGGAGGTCTTGGTTTGGGCTTGCTTGGGTCGGGTAGATTGTAATGGGCCAGAAAAGCCAGAACGACAGGTAGCGTAGTGAAGAAATGAAGGGCCCAAAAGTCAATTAACAACATAGAACGATATAAGATTCTTGTACGCGGAGGAGAAAGGGGAACAAATTTAGCGTAGTGGCTGCCTTTCTTTGACTCACTCGGCAGCATCATCATCTTTCCCCGCTCGCTGCAGTAATTTAGGATTTGATTTCATTAGATCTTAGGGTTTATTATTGGAAAGAAATGGAGATAAAAGACTTTTGTTTCGCATCCGATGCTCCTCCTTTATCTGTCATCGCAGCCGCCAAGATTGCGTCTCTCTCTCTTTCTCCTCCCACTGTTACTAATGCTGCTGCTGATTCTGCTTCCCTTCCTGTTTTTGTCTTCTCCAATGGGTATCTACTTATTCTTCTCTTAATTCTTATTTTCCATTATTTCTCTTTTCTTTTAATTTAGCTTTATTTATTTGTTTGCATTTCTTAAATTCTTTCTATTTCCCCATAATAAATTACTTGAACTAACTCTGTTTATCCCCTCTATCAAATAAAAAATGTTTTTTTTTTTTATTTTTTCCTTAAAAAGATGAGTATTTTATATCTGTGCTTTGTTCAGGGTTTACCTCTGTAGTTCTTCGCTTCCCTTTTAATCCCATCTATGTATGTATGTGTATGTGTATGTGTATGTGTTTGTGTGTTTGATTAAATTTTCCACGCAGAATTACTATTGCTTTTTAGTGAGAGATGGATTACTTATACTCAACGCAGAAATACTGACATTCTCAACTTCTAATGTATGTATTTTTCTATGTACGCATGTTAGGCTGAAATTGCAAGGAACCTATGTGCTTCTTCGCTACATTGGTCGTGTCGCCAATCTTTACGGCCAGGACCCGTTTGAATCTAGCCAGGTCATTCATTCTCTTTCTCACTCTGGTTTTCCATCTAGTTTTGCCTTTTGCTTCCTTAACATGTTATTAATGTGTTACTAATTCCTTTTGACAAAGTTTCCTTCTCTATTCCTTTATATTGTTCAGATTGATCAGTGGCTAGAATTTGCTCCTATCCTATCCGTAGGCTCTGAATTCGAGAATGCCTGCAACTATATCAACAATTATCTGCAAAATCGTACTTTCCTTGTGGGTCACTGTTTGTCTATTGCAGACATTGCAATTTGGTCTGGTCTTGCAGGTATAGGTTCCAACTCCTATCTATTGTTTATTTTACTGCACTTAATTGCAAGTGTCAAATTCCAGTGAAAAGAAAATCCCTTATATGATAGCTTCTTTTTCTCTTCGTTTTATATTGTTTTCTCTCAAGTCATCAAGTGTGTCTTTGCTGAGCTGAATTTCTGACTTGGTCTGTTACAGATTGATTGATTTTACGGCATGTCTGCTTAATTCCCAGAATATAGAAATAAGAATTTGCCAACTATTTTCTTGATTGCATGACTTGTCATCAACTACGGCATTTCATTTAGCAAAATAGACTGTTAGTACTCTAAGGGCGTAGTATCATGCACATTGATAGATTCTTCGTGTCTCGTTCGTTTTGTAATTTAAGCATTTAATTTTTTGCTACTTAAATCCTTCTAGATATGCATATGACGCTTATACTTTACAGGAACTGGGCTGAGATGGGAAAGTTGCAGGAAGTCCAAGAAGTTCCCAAACGTTGTACGCTGGTTCAATTCAATTTTTGATGAATATAGTGATGCTTTGAATGAAGTCATATCAACATATGTTGGCAAAAAGGGCTCAGGAAAGCCTGCAGGAGCTAAACCAAAAGGCCAACAGGTTGTCAGTGGGGATAACCCAGAAAAGGGAAAAGCAAGCAGCAAGCCCTCATCTGAAATAGATCTTCCTGATGCTGAAATTGGAAAGGTGTGCCTGCGATTTGCTCCTGAACCTAGTGGCTATCTTCATATGGGGCACTCAAAAGCAGCTCTACTAAACCAGTATTTTGCTCAACGTTACCAAGGCCAAATGATAATTCGCTTTGATGATACAAATCCAGCGAAGGAAAGCAATGAATTTGTAGACAATCTTCTAAAAGATATTGAGACATTGGGTATCAAATATGAAACTGTCACACATACATCTGATTACTTCCCCCAGTTGATGGAAATGGCTGAAAATTTGATCCGCCAGGGTAAAGCCTATGTTGATGATACACCACGTGAGCAAATGCAGAAAGAAAGAATGGACGGCATTGAATCAAAATGTAGGAGCAACAGTGTAGAGGAGAATCTGAAATTGTGGAAGGAAATGATTGCAGGATCAGGGAGAGGAGTGCAGTGCTGTGTCCGTGGGAAGTTAGACATGCAAGACCCAAACAAGTCTCTTCGAGATCCAGTGTACTATCGTTGCAATCCTGTTCCTCACCATCGGATTGGCTCCAAATACAAGATATATCCAACATATGATTTTGCTTGTCCATTTGTTGATTCTCTTGAAGGTATAACTCATGCACTCCGATCGAGTGAGTACCATGATCGAAATGCTCAATATGACAGGATTCAAGCAGATATGGGACTGCGAAAAGTTCACATTTATGAATTTAGCCGGTTGAATATGGTATACACAATTCTCAGCAAACGTCATCTTCGTTGGTTTGTTGAAAATGGAAAGGTTGATGGATGGGATGATGCTCGATTTCCAACTGTCCAAGGAATTGTTCGGAGAGGTTTGAAAATCGAGGCATTGGTGCAATTCATTCTTGAACAGGTAAGCTCACATGCTTCCATGTCTTTACATCTTTTTATTGTGACGTTGTTTTTGATGTCTGTAGGAGATACTGTATACAGATTCAATGAGAAATCTGTACTCTTCTCGAAGAATATAAAGCGAAAACATGGCTTGTGAACCTTGAATAACTTTCTGTTGTGCCCATAACATTGGATTTCTTTCCTTTTTATTTTTCGAACTATACCAAATAGCTTTATCTCATTCCTGTGACATTTGTTTGAATTGTGGAATTGTCTGGTTATTAGATGGCTTAGGATGGCAAGTTCTGATTCATCACATCTGCGCATCCAATAAGCCTTATTTGCTTCTACATATGCAAATATACAGCCATTGATTTATATTCTTAGGTTATATTGTGCAGTAGGCTTTTATCTTCTTAAAGCCGTAATTCTAATTCTATATTGTTTCAGGGGGCGTCAAAAAATCTTAATCTCATGGAATGGGACAAACTCTGGACAATTAATAAGAAGATTATTGATCCTGTGTGTCCGAGGCACACTGCTGTCATTGAAGAACAAAGGGTGCAATTGACCTTGACCAATGGTCCTGATCAATCATTTGTTCGAATCATTCCAAGGCACAAGAAACATGAGGGTGCTGGAGAGAAGGCCACAACATATACTAATAGGATATGGATAGACCATGCAGATGCAGAGTTCATCTCTGTAAATGAGGAAATAACCTTGATGGATTGGGGAAATGCCATAGTGAAGGAAATTGAGAAGGACCAGGATGGAAAGGTCACACAGTTGAGTGGGGTTTTGCATCTCGAAGGATCTGTCAAGACCACAAAATTGAAGCTCACCTGGCTACCAGATACAAATGAATTAGTTAACCTCACTCTGGTGGACTTTGACTATCTAATCACAAAGAAAAAGGTAATTCTTCTTCTATTGACAGATTTTTCTGAAAGCTAATCAGAACCATACAGATTAGCTTAGCTGCTACATAAAATTTAAATTGTTGCTTGTTGCTTGTAACTGTTGTGGATGCAGTTGGAGGAAGGAGAAAGTTTCCTTGATGTGCTTAACCCATGTACCAAGAGGGAGACTGCAGCTCTTGGGGATTCAAACATGCGAAATTTGAAGCGTGGAGAGATATTGCAGCTGGAGAGGAAGGGCTACTTTAGATGTGATGTTCCTTTTGTCAGACCTTCAAAGCCTGTAGTTCTGTTTGCAATTCCAGATGGCCGACAAGCAACGTCATTGAGGTAGAACTTTACATTGACTCGCATATTTTCCAGCTTTCAGGAGTTGGAACATATTTCTTTCTACTATGTATGATGAGATTTGGAGCCTCTGACTCCCTTTGTACTGAAGTTTTTACATGCAGAAATGCAATTGTACTGAAGTTTTTGATGTGATACTTCACTAATTTACTTTGTTGTAGATGCTACGAATTTAATCTTGCCTTTTCAACTAGTTGATGTGATTTTGGAAATTTTCAAAGTTTCAGATAAGTTGAATCCAGTAGCAGTATAGATTCTGATGGAATTTGGGTTTTTTTTAACTAGGTGAATGAGGTTATGATACTTTCTCCAGTGGTTCCTCTGATTAAATTTAGCTTCCTTTGTGTTTTGAACGGATGAGTTCCGAGCTTTTGATTTATCATTTTAATAACTGTTCCTAGCATACAGATGCGATTATGGGTTATAACGAGCATCCAACTTTCCAGAACCGGAAGTCCTTGCCCTGGGAATCAAATCGAGTAAAGCCCGGGGCAATGTCGATTGTGCTCTTTTTCCTTGCTTGAAAGTGAATGTGGAACTTTATGAGAGCATTGATTATGGGACAATCATTTGTTTAATTGTGTTCTAATTAAGTAACAATTATTATTGCCTTGATTGTCTGTGTGTTGTTATTGGCTAAAAGTATCCCACTTGGGCGTCATGATGACTATTACATGTGCTACTCCTTTTACTTTTAGTTTAGTTTTGTAGGACTTAAGAGGAGGGTCCAGCTCCAATCACTTTTGTTGTCATTCTCAGGTAACAATAACAAGACAAGAAACTAACTGGTCTGTACGATGAATGGTTTTTTTATTACTTCCTCCCCCTCCTTCTATCTTCAACAAATTATTCAACTTTCTATTTTTATTTGATCACAATATTTAAATCGTATATTTTGTTATAATATTTTTAATTAAATGCTATTGAAAAAGAATGTATGATTACTGCTTCATGATTAAGCCGTTGCATTATTTAATCAAATATAGAAATTTGTTTGAACTGAGGGAATACTGAAAACCACATGATTAAGCCGTTGCATTATTTAATCAACTGTAAATCCATGATTTACACGTATTGTACTTCTTTTATTAGGAGTAGCAGCCATGAATATTGAAGAAGAGGATGGTCCAAATTGTTTTCTTATCGACTTAAACATCAAATATATATTAATGATAGGTCCATGCCTGCTTGCTGGCGTTTTGGAACTCTATATTGCTTAAATTTTTAAGCAAACTAATAAGGAGACATTCATGATTTATTAATAAATGGGCCATATTGACTCACAGTTTCTGCTACCCATCAAAAACAGTTTTTTTGGTCATCAACATTTTTATTGTTACGCAAGAATATGATCATGATTTGCACTTATTCATATGATAATGACTGATTATTCATTCATATTGGGGTAAATGCAAAGCGAGTGATGGGATTTAATTATAAATATTACTACTATTATTAAGCCATCACCAACCCCAATTACTTGATTGTGCTTTGACTTTCTCGAGCAATGGTTAATTTTCCATTCCCTGTCTATGGCATGGCATGACCCGATGCACATCCACGTGAAGCATGGCTAATGTGATGACAAAATACATTTATTAGTAAGAGACTTTTTTTTTTTATCAGGGATTAATTTCGAGGCAGAGTTAAGCAGAATTAAGTCTTCAACTTGATGATGGATCTTTCCTCCAAATGCAAGCAGTGATTTGGACAAAGAAAAGATAGCGATGGCAATTTATATTGACATGCGAATTGGTGGTTTAGCTAAGGAATCGAAAGTTGGCCTAGTTGTACATAGAAAGTCTTCCTACGTAAATAAAATTTCTTCTTTATCCAAACTCTCCTCCAATAAACATGACAGGTTTGCTGCTTGTCTAATCCATTACGCTTTTGACATGTAATTGAATTTTATTCTGAGAAATACATAAATATAGAATTGGCTAAGCACAACAAATTGATGCTTAGCTTTGATATGTTACTTGGTGGATCAATCTCAAAGATCAAGATGAGGAGAGGAGATATGATGTAGAAAGCAATCAAACACGTATAGTACGGAATTCCCATAGAAGAAGTGTTACAGGAATAACGATCACAAAGAAGACCGAGCTAGACCTTTTTATGGGATTTATTAGCTTATAATCAAACCTAGCTAAAAGTACACGTGTTTTTAACCAAACACATTCAATCAATCAGATTACTTCTTAGGTGCAAACCTAGACTTGATCTTTTGGATCTCCTTGGTACCAACCTGGAAAGCCTTGGTCAAGACATGGTCAGGCACTGGTGGTTGGGCTGCAAACAATGTGGCACCAATTGACTGAGTTCCTGGCAACTGGCTATTGAATGCAGCAATAACTGCAGCTGGGACTTGACCACTGTTCTTCTGGAAATGAACCAAGCCTTTGGGGAAAACAAATGTCTCGCCCACCTTGATGGTCTTTGATATCAAAACGTTAGCAGTTGTAATGAACCCCACATCAAGTTGGCCTTGTAGTACAAAGACCATCTCAGTGGCTCGTGGATGTGTGTGGGGTGGGTTCAAGCCACCAGGGGCATAGTCAATGCGGGACATGGAGATCCCCAAGGTGTTGAGTCCTGGGATCTTTTGAACAGTGGCAGCAGTGACCAAGGAGCCGAACGTGTTGTTGGTGAGACCTGGTTTAGCCAACCCAGCGAAGAAGAAATCTTCTGGTGCTATGTTTTCCTTGCAGGCGAACCCATTCACCTTCACTCCTGTAGAATTATATATTCATGTCAACTGGAAGTAAAGAAAATGAAACAGAACCAAGAAAACAAAGAGAGATCCAAGAAAGATGAAGAAATTGAGTTGAGAAGCAAAAGGGGTAAAAATCTAGCAAGGCAAGTCAACTCTCCTACCCTATACGCATCATATACAACCAATAACGTATGGTATTGTATGGGAGGCAAAAGATAATTAATAATAACGTACGTAAAAGAGAAGGGGGAATTGAAGGAAAATTACCAGAAGAAAGATCAGCAACGCAAACATCTTGAAGCAAGTCAGGATCAGCAGTAACGGTGGCCAAGAGTGCCAAACCAAAAGTGAAAAAAAGCAGGGCCACCTTAGCTGCCATCGTCAGCTGCGCTGCAGAAACTAGCTTGAATTGCTGGGTTCTCAAGGCTCTGGATGAAGACGAAGAGGAAAAGGGGGGTCAAAAAGAGAAATTATAGAAGTAATTAGAACTAAAATAAGAGAAAGGAGGCTGTCTGAATTGGGGAATGGATGAATAGGAGAGAAAAGTGGGCGGATGTATTTATAGTGACAGGTAGGCATGTACCAAGATCCCTTAAAATCTTTTTGGCGAAGGCAAGCACTACCTGTATTAATTTATTTTTAGTTTAAATAAGAATAATAAAAATTCGAATGGGCCCAATAGGGAAACGGTGTGAATGTTACAGCACGAAACATGCCTTCTTACGCCAAAAGGAAAGTCATCGCTTCCTCCAAAACATAATATAGGATTAGATAGTGAGAGTTGTTCCTTACTTGTTGGGTCAATTTTTATCATTCTTCGTTTTCCCACAACCCATTATTTTCTTTTCACAACTCATATTAATGCTCTCATACAACCCTGATTAAAGGAAGCTTACATTTAGGAGAATTTATTTCCTTATATATATATATATATCTCAAATAACAGAGACATTTTATTTGTTTTAATTTCATACATACAGAACAAAAAACACATTCACGTAATTTCAATTTCACTCGATCACACATTCTAAGCTAAGCAGTAGTAATTTTTAGGTCACTTATTCATGTTGATGACGTATGCAAAGAATATTATTCCAAGGCTTTATATGGATTAGAAGCTATATACACGTCAAATAGCATCTTTGCAACCACTATATATATTGGATAAATTAATTGTTTTCATTTTTTTTTTTATATGGTAAGGAATCTATGAAGTCATCACTCCCGTTTGGTTTTATTGCTAAGTATGAATACATACATATATGGCTGTTTGTTAGCTAGTTGTAGTATATATAAATATATAATTACAACTACATATTTTACACATTGATTAACTATTTAACATAGTTTCTCTACTTACATCTAATGACACTTGTATCATGACTTGGACTTTGTCCCTCTATCTATCCATCTCTTTATATATAATAGAATGAAATTTATCCGGTGTGTTTGTATTATTTATTATTTTTATCTTTTTTATCAAAATATAATATAAAACAAATTTCATATCACTAAATGTTGGAACAAGTTACGCATTATCGTATGATTAGTTAATTAGACATTACAAGAAAGGATTGGTTTTTTTTTTTTTCTTAACATTCAATAATATAAAATTTGTTTGTAATATGTCTATGTCTAGATAGAGAAGTTAAAATAGATAATACATAAAATCATGTCTTTCAGTTAGTTTTTGCTACTTAAAAGCTCTCAAATCATTATTTTATTTTTAATATTCATGTAAAGTAAATAAAGATTAAAACACACCTCTTACGTCCACCTCCACCTGAATATATATATATATATATAACGCTTGTTCATATTTGTTGAGAATAATTAATTATCTATTACTTGTTAATTTGTGTTGGAGTTTTATCTTAACGTGCACTTGATTGAAACTGAAAATACATACATTAATTATATGTTTGATCGGTTATAGAACTCATTCGTTATTATGTATGTATGGGTGTTACACAAGTTTCAATAAAACTTGTTAATTTATCGTGGATCGGCATTTCTTCTTATCGAAAATGCTTAGCAACATCATCGTTACGGATACTATTTTTAAAAATAAAAAGTTTTTAGGAGTAAACTTGAAAAGTAAAAAAGTTAAATGACATAATACGCATTGAAATAAAACATTCAACTTTTTTTCCTCCCTTGTATCCTTTCAAAAAGACATTACCTTTATAAAATTATGATGACTTTTTTTTTTACACCACCGATGTCATGTAACACTACTCATAATAATTAATATTGTCGTTTCTTGAGATCGATGATTTATTAACGTCCCATTTAGAATTAAGGAAAATTAAAGAAGTAAACTTATTAATTGCATAGCTTGACGTGCCATCCATTAATTAATCATGCATAATTGATATATATATATTGTTAAATAATTTGTTATATTTTAATTACTACATGATTCATTCAAGTAAGAGATCCCAACGCAAATCACATGCAGAGCACATGATATAGCGCTACTGGCTAGGATATATATATAATTTTAAAGTAAAGTAATTTAATAAGCTAGCATTCATGTATTGCAATGCCATATATAATTAAACACTATTAATTTCTCTATCTTTTATTTTTCATTTTGTTTAACTATCTTTTTCAACAATCATTTTAATTCTTAATTATTTTTAACATTTTACTTTTTTCTTATTTTCTCGAAAGTATTACATGATAAATTGAACAAGATGTTAATGATGTTCAATATATCTCTAAAAATAATTTTATCAAAATCCTATGTAAATTAAACCTCAATATTCATACAAAAATCTATACTCTAATTAAGTTAAATATTTTGATAGTACATAGTTCTAAAAGTTGTATTTTTTAAAAAAAATTTATAAACATTTTTAGAGTTTTAATAGTCAATAAGGTACTATATTGATTTGAAATGATTTAAGAGGCCTATTTTGTGTTATTTAAGTTTTTACTTAGTTTTTAATTAAATTGATATATATTTAAAAAACGGAATTAGCTATTTTTTTTTTGGGGGGGGGGAATAATAATAATAATTGTAATATTAAAGTATATTACAAGAATTTATTAAATTGGTAATTTTATTTATTTATTTAGGAGGCGGGATGAATATTGACATATAAATTATGATATTAGTTTTATATCAAGAGTATAATTAATAGTCTATTATTTTTTTTAATAAGTTGGTCATTATATATATATATATATATATGTTATATTCGTGTTCGACAATTTTCTTGAAATAAATTCATCTAATTTTTTAATTATATTATCCTTCTTCTTGCCTAGCTTGTCGTGGTGCCTACAATACCTGTCTTGCATGGAACGGTTGCAGCTACTCGTGAATATATACATACACACACACTAGGTACTGTGGGGTTGCGTTTGGAGAAATGGTGGAATGCTTGCAAAGTAAATACAAAAAAATAATTAAGAAATACTCTTGCTAAATTCCATGGCTGCTGCCTCCTTCGGCTCCAACAGAAGAACCAAAACCTACCTTACCTACTGATCATCCCTTAATTATTATGAGACCCCCTAGCTACCTGCAGTTTCATATATGATTAATTATTTTCTAATTGCTTTCATATAATTAAGACTACATTACATATATGCATGCAGTACCATATCATGATCATATATGGCTCCAAACCAATTCTGTATATATAGTCGATTGCCGGCCGGATTTTGTTCCAATTGATGTCTATGCATGCCTGGAAATAAGCATCTCATTTAGATTTATGTATGTATTATTTGTGTATGTATATCTGTGTGGGAGCGGGTGAGTTTTGAAAGTTAGGTAGCTAGAATCTGTAATTTTGAGCTGAGGTGGGAGGACCCTAGCTATGTACGTCTCTGAAATAAAGAAACAGCTAGCTGATCGCTTGCACAGATATGAACATATATATTGCTTGGCAGCAGCAGCAGCAACAACAACAACATACATATATATAAAGTTGTTGATACAGAACCACTCTGCCTGCGAGAATATATATATATGTATATATATATATATATATATTGCCATTAGGTAAGGAAATTGAACCCGAACCTACCCAGCCCGGCCTCGCCCCACCCCAGTCAATGCAGGGATTTCCTGTGTTGACTGGGGAATGACACAGGCCCCCGACCTCACTTTTTTTTTTGTTGGGCGGGATGGGATCTAGCTGACCACCCCGTTTTGCCCCTTAGTCGCTTTTGTCTCATGTTTTTTTTTATATTATTATTTTTTTTCATCCATCCATGCTATGTCGTGACAATTTATCTTTAGATTTATTAAATATATTTTAGACAAAAAATTTATAGTTCTTCAAATAAAGTAATTAATTTCTTAGGTGATATGATTTATTCAAAAAAAAAATAATAAATAATTTTTACTTCGTTTGCCCTACAAGGATCCCCGTTCCCATTTGGAACAAAGATAAGATGAAAAATTCTGCTCCGTTCCAGAGCTCAAGCCAGGATAGGAAAATCTTGTTAGGGATGGGGCGGGGATGGAGAAGATGATCCCTGCCCCGCCCCACCTCATTGCTATACCTAATTGCCATAAGCACTAGATTAATAGACCTAAGGAAGATAATTTTTTTTACTGTTCTAGCTAGCTGTACTTAATTAACGAATATTAATTCTTGCTGAAAATTTCATTTCTGAACTGAAGGAGTAGTGCATCCATTGCAATAACCTGGCCTAAAGTAAATTAAGAAAATTTATTGTGTTTGACATGAATTTGTACTGGCAATTAATTAATTACTATTTTATTTTACTATATATATGTATTATTAATCTTGGAAGTACGTACGTACTGCAGTTTTTATCTGTTAGCACAATATCATGTAATTATTAATTTCCCATTATATTAGCTACTTAATTAATCAACGTACAGATTGCAGGCTACTGATTTTATAAGAATGCTGAATTTTCCCTTTTTCTAAAATTAGAAGGAAAACATCAACTGATGCATGTAATATTTTATTATAAATGAGAATGAATGAGGACATCGCACACCTCTCAGTTACGTCATGTCTTTGATCATTCATGTTCTTCATCAGTTTCCCGTTAATTTGCACTTTCCTTTCCACGCGTTTCATTGAAATGACACAACTACTTTACTTGATTAATGTTAAGTAATTAAAACAACAGAACGTGTAATTAATTAATACAAAAAATATCTCTACTTGGATATATTTTCACTAACTTATTTAGTAAAAAAATTTTTTTCCAACTTTGCTTTTTTTCTTTCTATTTTGGTGTCTAAGTTTTGATTATTATTATTATTATTATTTTGTTTTAATCCCCACCATCATCTAAAATTCAATTTTATTGATATATCCAACGAAAGCTATCATGTAACAATATCGCTATATAATTAATAAATAATCCTGCATTGCGCAACTCTGTATCTACATCCAGTCAGGACTGGACTCAATAATATATATATATATATATTCACTGCATTTTTTGCCTTCTTTTTTTCCAGATACATCAAACAATTGATGACGATTTACTTGCTTAAGAACTCATCTGCCAAAATTCTTTTTTTTTTTTTTTTTTTTGTTATTTCTTTCTTTCAGTACTAAGTAATGAATCAAAGCTGAATTGCATTGTGAATTTTTAAGCTAAAAATGAATAATTAATCTGTGCATTGTTGATTTGGCATGCAGCTGGTATAAAGGATTTATATGTAATTAATGTTAATTTGTAATCCTTGTGTAAGTAAAGATCAGGAAGATCTCTTTAACATCTGTCTGTTAGAATATTTGGATCAGGGGATGTTTAACAGCTGGTATAAGGGCCCTTTAACATCACTGATGTTTAATCAATTATTATGCTTATTATTAACAAATCAATAGTTCAGCTTCAACCGACTCAATGTTTTTCTTTCTTTTTCTTTTTGAATCAATAAACTATATCTGTGGAAAGTTGAGCACGTTGAAGTTTGCGTAGATGTGATGCAGGATGATAGCATTGGTTTAACCAACAGCACTACTGCAAACTCTGCCGCCGCCACCACCACCTTCTCTGCCGCAACCACCACCACCACTCGTACTTCATACTACTATATATGCAGTTGACTAATGAATGAAATTTTAAGTCAAAGGAAGGAAGGTGAAAAAAAGAAGAAAAACTGTTAAAAGTAATAAAAGAAAAACAAAAGAAAATGTTGATGAACGTTTGGTGTAAATTAAATGGGCTTGGGCCAATTTCATAGTTAATCAAAAGAAATGGTCGCAATTTTATTTGGTGTAAATTAAATGGGTTTGGGGCAACTTCTTAGTTAATCAAAAGAAATGGTCGGAATTTTGTTTGGTGTAAATAAACGGGCTTGGGCCAACTTTATAGTTAATAAAAACAAATAGTCTGAATTTTGTTTGGTGCAAATTTAATGGGCTTGGGCCAACTTCATAGTGAATCAAAAGAAATGGTTGGAATTTGGAGATTGGATTTGCTGCTGGCTTTGCATAGTCTTCTTATGTTGTTTTGGGCCATTGTTGGACCCAATTCTAACAAAAAGCAACGAGAAGGAACAGCCGAACAGCAGGACTGAAGTTTGAAGCAGCAAGAAAGGAAATGAGCTGTTAGTTGAATTCTTTCAATTTTCTTCAATCCAATCAATGCCTTGCTTTCTTTTTTGAGTTCAATTGATAATACTAATAGTGCTAAGTAAAATGGCAATATCATCAATAATGAAGAAGGAGAAGGAGAAGGAGACGGAGGTATATTGGAAGCGAAAAGAGCTTATCTTTCTGGTTCTCTATGCCATTGCTTTCTACGCTTTCATCATCCATCGATCTCTTCAACTCTCTCTCGGTACCCTTCTCCTTATCCTTATCATCTCCATATCTCAAATTTTCTTTCTTTCTTCTGCTGATTTTTTTTTTTTTTTTTAAAAATAACAACTACAGATCACGAATCAAAGCTTTATGCTTTACGCCCTGGATGGCTGCTCCCCCTCGTCTCAATGTAATTATTTCCCTTTCTTTTTCTGGGTTTTCTTCCTTTTCTTATTATGTTGTCTGTCAATTACTAAAGTTTCAATCTTTAATCACAGGATGTCTCTGATGCCCAATGGAGAAACTTCCGTGCTAATTTGCTTATTCTTACTCTTGTTTTTGCAATTTTCGCCCTGTTTGCCAATTCCTTAAGGGCCCTTTTTTCCTTGAAAGCTAAAGGGATGTCCTTAGTATGGCTTTTCATTTCTTTGGCTTACCTATCTTATCTTCACGGCGCTTGGTAATCTTCAACAACACTTCTACTACTCAATTGCTTAAATGATTTGCTACTTTATTGTTTTCCTTCCCTTCACTAAGCTTCCTTGTCTTTGCTCTTTGTAGCATCCTATTCATCCTTTCAATTGCTTCCCTCAATTTTCTGCTCGTGAAGGTGCGTTTCGTTCCTTTAGCTTTTCGGTTTCTTATTATTCATATACCACGAGTTGCTTTAGCATTGTTCACAAATAAATGCTGCAAATCCATGAGTGTAAAAGTAATCAAACACAAGCTTTGTTGCTGGCATTGTCATTATAGCGGCGATGAGTTGCCTATGTTTTTCAAGTCAACAAAATGGTAGAAAACATTTCTCTTGCAATAATTATACTTGTTGAAATGATTATTTTACCTTGTATCATCAGTTTTTTTTCCATTAAGATTTCTAATTTGTGCCATATTTTGCTAGATTTGTCTTTCCGCAGATATTTGCACAAACAAAGTACTTCTCATTTGTGCTTTGGGTTTTCAACATATTTTTTCTTCTGTGCAATCGTGTTTATGAAGGTTATTCATTCTCCAGTTTTGGGTGAGTTATGTAAGGTTATATCTTAGTCATTGCTTTACATAGTTGGATTACTTCTTTCAAATTAGACATTTTGCTACTTCCCTTATTGGATTTGTCTTCTTTCATTATTTTGCAGCCAACAATGGGCATATTTGGACAACTATCGTGGCACTTTTAGATGGCACATTTGCTTTAATTTTGGTATATATAGATATGATTTTTTTTTTTTTCTAGTTCATCTATTGGGATATAACGGCTGAATAAATTCTAAGAGGCTCAATATGTAAGTCAGAAAAAAAAGTATTTGGTGTAGTTGGTTGCACTGACAAAAAATTCTGTTTTTGACAGTTATTTTGCGAATGATCAGCTTTGGATATGATTACCATTGGGCACATCAGGATCCTATTTTTGATCAGCAGGTAACCTCATAGCAGATATGCTAGGTTGCCTTCTTTCTTTCCTTTTGCATATTTTGTAGAAACACTTGCTCTCTGTCTAAAATTATATCTAATCAAAATTAATTGATATTTTTTGCCTAGTTTTTCTCAAGTTCATACTAATACATATTGGCATTTTTCATGCATGATAGCAAAGAGAATCTGTTTTTTTTTTTTTTTTTTTGATATTCTACTTGCTGGTGATCTCAGAAGCACATTCAACGTTGCCATACTTGTAAGTGTGGAAAAACATGCTACCGGCTCTTGCAGGTCAGTATCTTGTTTAACATGAGCGTACCTATTCTATTATCTTCTATCGTTGCTATGCTTCTAGGTTTTTTTTTTTTTTTTTTCCAAGTTCATAATATTGTTTGTTCTGTATAGGAGAGAAGTGGACAGAAAGATAAATTTTCCTTTAGCATATACCTCTCTTATTTGCTATATGCCCCAGTTTATATTGCTGGCCCAATTATAAGCTTCAATGCCTTTGCCTCACAGGTTTGTGATTTTCCTTTATATAATTGTTTGCTGCTTGTATATTGTTATACAATTTGTATTAATGGCTGAAGTATTTTCTGATGTAAATTCATATGAGGGAATTGGTTTAGATTTCTTCTGTTGGATGGGTTAGAGAAACTTAGAAGTTTCACTTTCTCCATGTTAGTATTCTGGATGTTGAAGATTTTTTTGAATTTTAAGCAGGGAACCATTGTAGTCAATCATTCCCATCACATCCTGGATTTCCAGTTTCTTACTTATGATACAATGTTCTTGCAGTTAGATATGCCTCAGAATAATTATACAGTAAGGGACGTGTCTTGGTATGGGTTACGTTGGATATTCAGCTTTTTTCTAATGGAATTAATGACGCATCTATTTCGTTACAATGCCTTTGCAATCAGGTTAGAATCTCACGTATGCACACGATGCAATGATTTTTTAACACCCCGTCTAATTACGAATTAATTGAAATTCTTTTTATTTTGACCAGTGGTCTTTGGAAACTATTATCTCCTATGGACATATTCATCATTGGATATGGGGTAAGATGACCTTTTCAATGTTACAGGTTTCCAGTATTTGCATCTTTTAAGTTAGATCTTTGGCTGGGGGTTTTTTTTTGTACGTTCAAAAGAGTAGAACAATTGAACTTTATAAAAAGGAATGGGATGCCAATTGCAACCATGAATAAAAAGATATATTGAAGCCCTATGTTCTACAATAATGTTAGCGGTACCTAAGCATGCAGACTGATCTTTTAACCATCCAACTATGTTCAGCGTGTTTAGAGGCTCATTTCTTAAAATAAACCAAATTGAACTTGACTTGGGGCCCTGTTATTTCTTTTACTTGAGCTCATATTCTTGAAATGAACAAAAAAGATGCACCTAACGGGAATTAACATTTATCTCTTGCATTATTTTTTGCTCTTGCAGGTGTTGAACTTCATGTGGCTTAAGTTTTCCCTTATCTGGCGCTATTTTCGGTTCTGGTCACTGGTATGTTTTGCCAAGTTCAACGTTTCTGCTTTTTTGTACTCATTTCATTTTATCTTGAACTGCAGCCTTAGTCTAATCCCTTGTTCCAAATCCTTTATCAGTTATGTGCACTTTATTCCTAACTTAGATGAAGATTTAAGTTTCAACTATTTCCATCTACTTATACTGAAGAAGAAAGTTGCAATTTAACCAATGTATTACTACAGATTTGTGGCATTGAGGCCCCTGAGAATATGCCAAGGTGTATAAATAATTGCTGCAACTTGGAGAGCTTTTGGAAAAATTGGCATGCTTCATACAATAAATGGCTTGTCAGGTGAAACTTTCAACACGTTTAGCAAAGCCTGATTTCACAATCATGTGCATGCTAATTGCTTTATAAATTACTTTCAGGTACCTTTACATTCCTCTTGGAGGATCTCGGAGAAAGCTACTCAATATATGGGTTATATTTACATTTGTTGCCATCTGGCATGATCTAGAGTGGTAATCCTTGCTTCTACCAAGTTTTCTATTTTATTCAATTTTCTCTGTCTATTTAATATTCTCTTTATCTGACTGCTCATTCCCCTTGGTTGCAGGAAGCTGCTTTCATGGGCATGGTTAACATGTTTATTCTTTATCCCTGAAATGGTGGTGAAATCAGCAGCGAATACATTAAAGGTGATCTTTCTATCTGCCAGTTACCAATACCATACAGTAAAACATTTTGAGCCTTACTTGCAGCCTAAGTGCTTTGGTGTTGTTGCAAGAAGGCATCATACTGTAGTTTCTTGGGGTTACAGCTGCTGAATGCAACTCAGGACTCCTAAGTAAGGAGCTCAAGCTAAAGTACCTTTGGTGACAGTTTTAAACTGTTTGGTTATGTTCACTTGTTCAAAACACAAGATAGACACGGTTGATGTCATTAACTGATGCTCACCCAATCATATATTCTGACCAAGTTTACAAAACTCAATAAAATCAAGTCTATTGCTAGAAGCCTTGTAGCTGACTTGTGTTTCAGTAGCTGAACTTCTAAGAATTAATTTTCATGTTCAGTATGGTTGAAACATACTGAAAGGTTGAAACATCCATTTATTGCCATGCCAAAGGATCACTAAAGCAAAATATCACCTGCCAGTCCAGTATGGTTGATAGTATTGGAAATACCCAAGCCTCTAGAATCATGGTGACAAGAACAACTTCTAAAGTCAAGTCTGATGATGCATGCCAAATTGATTGATGTAAAATGCTAAGTTTCATGTTTGGTTGATTAAGGAATTGCGGTTAGATTGCTTTTGAAAAATATGGACATATTAAGCATCTATGGGTGAGTACTACATCAAATATTGATTCCCACTGAATTGGATAGAAGTCGAGTGCATTAAGTGCCACATAAACAATCAGATGACTTGTTTGAGCTGTTATGAAGTCTAGAATCTCTGCTGCAAAATACATATTAGGTTTTTCTTAAGAAATTATGGTTGAAGTTTAATTTTGTAAATTGTAAGTTGTTTCCAGGTGGAGAGTGCTTTTGGGGAGTTTCTTTTCCGTGAACTTAGTGCAGCTGCTGGTGCCATCACCATTACATGTCTCATGGTTTGTCCTGAACTATACCCAAGTTAGAGTCTTGGATTAATTCCCTTATATTTTGAAACATTTCTTGATTTTGCATATTTGATCTTTTCATTATGCAGGTTGCAAACCTTGTTGGGTATGTAATTGGACCATCGGGCATAAATTGGTTGCTTTCACAATTTCTTACAAGACAAGGTATTATAAGTGCCTCTTACCTTCCTACCATGCTTATTTAGAATTTTCCTTTTTCTTTTTTTGGTGGGGCAGGGTACATTAGTTTTCCACTTCAAAACCTTTTTAACTGCCAGTCTACAAATTATTTTTCCTGATTTCTAATGTTTTTAAACATGCAACTGCATAATTGATGCAATGCCATGTTTAATCTTACAGGATTGCCGGTAATGGGTGGCATGTTCATAACGTTTTACGTTGGAACAAAGGTAAATGCTATCGAGTGTCTCAAGTATTTTTTATTGAATATGGAGTACATGGAGTTTTGGGGACCTGGTGGGAGTTAATCCACTGTCTGAAGCCTGATTGTTCTTGCAGCTTATGTTCCACATTGACGATGCCAAGCAAAGGAAGCGCTAAATTAAGAGCCTATGGACATGGAGGGCCTTTTACTCGGTCAATGCTGCTGAATGCTAATTGGCGGATCTTATGCACACTTTGTAAAGGGTGAAGGACGAGAAACTTGTGGCTACAGGAGTAGTAGGATAGACAACCTTTTTGAGTGATTGAGCCTCAAATTCTACTTGTAACCACTCGCATCTTGCTTTGGGGTCAAATAGTAAAACTTCAGTTCAATTTTTGGATATGAGGACGAAAGATTTCTTTGGACCTATGGTCATACTTGAGTGTCGTTTAGTTGGCAGCATGCTTTAATGATCTTGGCTCGTTGGTTTACAGGAGCTAAATCGTTAGATAGACAGTAGTTTTCACATGGGAGAAAAACGTTTTTATATTAGATGACGCATTTTTTACACCAATTCAATCAAAAACACATACTGGAAGCAAAGGTCTTCAGATTAAATGGTCATAAGGTCCAGGAATCTGCCCTACAACCATCCAAAGAAAAAAAAATCCATAGTTACAAAACTGCCAATCATAGCAAGAACGTTTCCGAATTGCAGGCTTCAGGAAAACTTTCAGAAACAGGATGTTCTCTTATGTGATAACCCAGTAACCTGATAACAACACGAGTTCGAAATGTAAACCAGTAAGAGTGTTACAAGGCACACATGTGCATGCCAGCACATGCACAAAGCTTAATCTTAGAAAAGATTTGTGTCACACGGACAAAATTACTGTTGTATTCTGTGCAGAGGGGTAAAATCTGGCTCAGTGTGATGAGGGCAATGTAAAAGCGATAGTTCATGCATGAATTACCAGCCACAGCGAGGGGAAAATATCTATTTAATGCTAGCTGCCTTAAAAAAAAAGCCTCATCTTGATAAAACATAGCCATATACGTTGCCCTCAACACATGAACCAGATGCGAAGAATATGCAAGACATAATCAATAGGAAAACTTTTCCACGTGTAATTACCTGATTACATTGTCAAGTGCAGTCAACTCCATCTAATATGGATGCAATCATGCCAACCAATTACTTCTTTTTACCACCACCAGCCTTTGACTTTTTAGCACTAGTTTCTTTATTGGTCTTCTCCGCTACCTGTCAGAAGGATGAACGAAAAACGAACATTATGAATGACCTTCTGCGATTATTTATATTTCACTTAATGATTGAAAGGTAAAAATTGAAGAGACCTTCCCTTTTTTTTTTAATTCAAAATAATGATAATAAATAAAACATCAATTTGAAGCACTTTAGCACCTTACACAAACTGAACAAAATGCAAGCGAAAATAGACAAGCTGATAAAAGGAAACTAAGGCAATTTTGTTACCAATAATAACATCTAGCTTGTGATTTCATACATCGTCTTAACATTTATAAGTCAGGAAATAATTATGACAAATAACAAGAAATCAACAGTAACAAAGCACTTTTCGCATGGAAGTAATTGCAAGTAATGGCAACAGACACCAAGATGAACTTGGTGGGGGAAAAAAAAAGAAAGGGAATGTAGATGGCCTCTAAAGGTTCACCAGGGTTTTCAGCTTCGAGCACTGAAGCAGACACCTCTAGATAATGGTGTGGAGTGCTTCGAAAACAGATTCAGTGTCGGCATGCTAAAACTGCCAGCGACCTTGGGCATGTAAGTACAATTACAGACTTGCAGAGGGAGCATTTTAGGCTTGATTGCTGGTTGAGGAGGTCGAAGCACACATTTGGTATCCTGTCATCAGTGCACCAAGAAATTATGGTACCAATCAGGTTTAGACTTGCAATGGATCATAACAAGCATTGGTGATGGGCCATTATTTTATCTTTACGACAAAACTTAGTGGACAAGTTGGTACCAATGCACATGGCTGCTGCTGCACCTACAAAAATAGTTAGCAAGCATCCACAAGGTAACAAGCCAATTATTGAAATTGGAACTTGCAACCTACAGGTCCCAGGCTCAAAACTCCAAGATGGGGGTGGGATTTTAGCTAATGGAGAACCACCCATCATTGTGTAGCCTAAGGCAAAGCGAGCCTCTCCATGAACCAAAACCAACAATACAAAACACAGATAAGCTAAGGAATTGATAAAGTCGCTGTCCTGGCCTTGTCATTACTGTCTAGGAATGAACTCAAATTTTGCTTGGGACATAAAAGCTAGCCAAGGTGGGGACTTGGGGGAACACACCCAGAAATGGACAAGTTAACATTAACACCTCCCACCCACCCATACACCAAAAAAAAAAAAAAAAAAAAAAAAAAAAAAAAAAAAAAACACCTAATTTAGATCACCTCCTTTAAGCCAATAAAAATAAAATAAAATAGATAAAAGAAAATCATATCAAGCACTGAAACGAATTACAAAATCCCAATGGAGAATAGCCAATCAAAATTAAATGCATGTACAACTAGAAACGAAAGATGGAATTAAAACATGAAAAACTGTAGGACCAGGCAAAAAAAGAGCGATTTATGCACACACGCACGAAACCCCCCCCCCCCCTACCAAAAAAATAAAACAAATAAATAAAAAAAAGGAGGCCATATGTAGGCCTATGTAATATATTACTTTGTTAGAAAAGGTACAAGGACAGTGAGCAACAGAAGTACAATTCTACAAAGCTACTACCCTCAACATAGAAACATGAATCATTAATCTTGATCCTAAAGGACCTAAACCCTTCGCGCTCAACTTTCAATCGTAAACTCTACACAATAAACCCTAGACTGGAAAATTATAAACCTCCCAGTCTCAACCAAAAGTCCTGAACCATCACAACCAATACCTGGAACAGCAAAAGTATAAACTCAATTCTCAATTCTGAATCACCCTATTTGTTAATCCTTTATTATTCACTAGACTCTAAACCTCCAATCTTTACCTCATCCGTCATCCCAAGCCACAAGCCAAACAACTTCAACCGTCAACACAAGTCCTAAATCCTAAACTACAAACTCTGAAAACCAAAACCAGAAATTCCTAATCCCCAAGCGTCAAACTTTAAACCTTCAATGTCTAAAGCCAAACTATAAAATTGCCAACTTGCAATACCAAATCCTATATCTTCAAACTAAAAGGTCCAAACCCTTGACCCTCAATGCTTACTCCTTGCCTAAGGTTTTGCCCTCGAATTTTTATATTATTCTCACATATGATACCAGGATAAGAATGCAGAACAGTTTCATCTTCTCCAAAAAATGCTTAATATTATCAAACCTTCCGTTTAATGGGTTGAGACGTGGTGGCAACTGGCTTAAAAAAAGATTCCAATCTGCAGAGAGAAAGATAGGGAAAATCAGAGGATGAAATAACAAATGGGTCAAGCATAAATCAGTTCCCAGAGTTTCAACAGGGTTGCAATTTCTTATTTTTTCTAATAGAAAAATGGGGGTGTAACTTTTTTCCCGCTAAATTTTCTTAAATTTTTCAACATGCCCATCCATGATTGCCAAGTGGCAGGATGATCAAAGGACTGCACTTAAGAACTTGCAAAGGTTCCTTAGTTATATTGCAATATTTTAGAGGTTGGGGAATAATTTGAAATCCTAAGAACTGTTTGTTCTATCCTTATCAAAATTCAATGCTCCATCTTCAATTGCTCACTGCAAATACTTACCGGCCCTGCGAGGACTTGTTCTTGGCAGCTTTAATTTTTTCTATTGCCTGTTACAATTTAATAAATCAATACAAAAAAATAAAAAATAAAAAATGTTTCCATATTATCCAACATAGAGTCATGAAATGCCTGCATAAAGATGCCTGCAGTAATGATCAGAGGCGCACCTTCGTCACCCTGTCGCTGTTGAACCCATTTTCATTTACCAGAAAAGTAATCAAACCCTGAAACATGTCAAGATGCAACCACTTAAAATATTGTCAAGAAGCCAGTGAAAGACAGTAAAATACACATGATGTTTCAAAAATTAAAACAGAAAATAATAATAATTATAATATTAAAGTTCATTCACTTCTTCATCTGGAGAAGTCCACTTAATATCAAGTTGCTCTTCATCAGCAAGGACTACCGGTTCTTTAAAAAGCTGCCGAGCCTCCTGATATGGCCAATCCTCTGGTATTTGGTACCTGGATATGAAGAGTGTAATTAATAAAGAAACAGAAACTGTGAGAGAACCACATGAATGCCAAGGTATCAGACAGGAGTGTGAAATCATTCTACATAAACTATAGAATTTGTTGTCCCTGGAAAATTATTAGCATGAAAAAAAGATGATGTATAGAATTGAATATCATAAGTGCAACATCTGTCTGCTTCAACAAATTATAGCAAATTCTAAAAAGAGCCAAATTTTAAAAAGCTTTCATAACGAAAACCAGACAAGGAACAAGTCCAAAGAATCTGATGTCAAGCCAAGCCAGTAGAGTGCCCAACGGAAGTAACAATCAAGTCCAAAATACATATGGTGATCCATGCATGTACACATGACAAATAGGCTAAGAAGGACTGCAAGAAACTTTCAGATTCAACTGAAAACTCAACAAAACATGCATAAAATATATAGCAAATTATTGGTTATACCCCCTTCATTTAAACAAAAACAATTACATGCTAAGTCTACTTGATCATTCACTACCATATGGAATGCAAGCAGCAATGAAATATGATGATTTTAAAAATTTAGATAATCACCTTTCTTTGTTTATGTTCTCCAGTATATTCTCTATAGAACCATGTTGTCGAATAAGTTTCAAGGCAGTCTGTCCTCCAATTCCTGTAGCATAGATTTCCAATAGCATTAATTACTGAATGCACCATCAAATTTTGAAGCTGATTACCAATACAAGCTTCAATAGTAAAACATTTGGTTAAAAAAGTTAAGAACAAACAGTTGAACACAACAAATGAAAATCCTGAGCACCTCTAATGCTGTCACAATAATCACATCCAGAAAGAATGCACAGGTCAATGAACTGATCCATGCTAAGGTTTAGCTCCTCCAAAATCTAAAACAAACCCATTATCAGAACGATGGATTACACATCAAGAAAATTCCATCAATGTTTGTGTTTTGGCAGCACCTTTGGGATTTCAAATTCCATAACCGGGATTTTCCTTGAGCTGGGATCCATCAAATGCCGAATAAATCTAGGGGCGCCAAATGTTAGGGAATCCATGTCTTCAGAAGCCACAGCGTAGACCTGAAACACATGGGAAATGACACAAATCATCAGAAACCATTCCATAAGTTGAAGTTGGAGAAACCTTAGGGAAAAGCATGATTCCACAACTTCCTAAAATAACTAAAGGTGTGAATCTAACTGCTGTAGTACAGCTATCATGGAAATCAGGGCCCATTGAGACAAATTGAGGTGACAAATTTTAGACAAGCAAGCAAACAGTGTCTTAAAAATGACAATCCAAATAAAATGAAATGGACACACTCCAAATGCCATGCATGATGTTATGAACATACTAAAGAACCCAGACAAGTTATCATGGAGAAGCAAGATACTTGCCTTTCCAGATTTGCAAAGTGCAGCACACTGTGCTTCTGCTTCAGAAGGAGCCTATGGGAAAAAAGAAAAAGGTATTTCCCAAATATCAGTAAATTATTATGTCATGGATGACCACAAGTTGCATAGACATACAAAACTTTGCATTTACAAGGAAAAAATTCCATGCAATGAACAGATCCATTAGTAAAAGAATTTATGGAACAATGCAATATCACCTCAATTACAGGCACTCCCATGAGCTTTAGAAGTCTTTTGCAATCATCATTGTGCTGGTTTGTCACCTGTAGAAGCAGAGGAAGAGATGAAACCATCATATATTTTTCCCAACAGAAGTAACTGTTTACAGCAAACAGAGGCTACCATGACAGGGATAACTGTAAATTAGTACAAAGAGAAGTGCCAAATAAAGCATAAAACAAACCTTGACTGTCCGTTTACTGAATTTCTCAATGTCTTCCTTAACACCAGACTGAAATGTCAAAACAAGATTTCATAGAATATTTTAGTTTGAGGAAAAAAAGAAGCTTTAGTGAGCTGAAAAGTAACAGAAAGTAGGAGTGAGTTTTCAAGAAAGATATGAACATATTGGTACCTCCACAGCAGTAGCCAAATCAGCAGTAGCATCAGTCCGCTTTGAGTAACTGAATTGCAAGTTTGACATGAGAAGAATGATTAATGGTGAAGCAAGCAAAGAGTTATATAAGGCAATGTGAATTTGGGACACAAGTATATGTAAAGAATCAAAAGAAATACCGTTTAGCGAGCTCTTGTTTTTTCAAATCTGGAGGCTTCCCATCGAATACATAGCTGAAATATTGATGAACACGTGTGGTATGAAAAAAAAAAGCACGCGAAATTCAAGAAATAAAGAAGCTAAAAATTCTGAAAGAGAAAGAAAAAGAAGAGAAGGGGCAGTGTGAGATTATTACAGGGGCTTGATTCCAGCCTCAATAAGCCTAATAGTGCGAGTAAACATGCCTTGCAAATGACTGCAAAATGAATCAGCCAAACATGAACAATGAAATATAAGTAATTCCATTATATATATATATATATATATATATATATATATATATATATATATACAGAGAAAGAAAGAAAGGAGGTGGCAAAGGCATCATTAGTCTCTATCCAACCTGGTGACTTCGCCAGCCTCATTAGTCAGCATTTCAGTTCCACTTCTTCCAACTACAATCTGCATTTTAATTCAATGCACATCGACATTAATTGTATTTTAAATAACTGAAAAAAAAATTCAAATTCTTCATTTGTTCTTATAAATATATTAAATTAGATAAAACCAAACCAAACCAAAACAAAAGATTATTAATAATCAGTAAAGAGTGAAAGAAAGACAGACAAGGAACTGATAAATGCTCATGCTGGCATCGATAGCAATCTTACGACCGAAGTAGCTCTCAAATTTCTGCTCTTTCATAGCTTTTGGAGCATTGTCCGCCAACAGCTTTGTTAAACCCTAAATTAACATCAATTGACATCAACTCCCAAAAAAAAAAAAAAACCTAATTCCATTGACAAATTACTGCAAAAAGGAAAAACAAAAGGGATTATTATCGAACTCACTCACTCACCTTGATACCCATTACTGAATTGAACTCGATAGATTTTAGCGACACCGAGAGAAAGCTTTACTGAGTCTGATGCTAGAAGGGGTAGCGAGCCAAAGGTGTTAACCTTGCTTCTCTTCCCGCTCATAGCACTAAAAAACAAAAGAATACACATGGGCCTTTCTTTGGGCCATTTTACCTTTTATGTGTACTCGTGGACCTCCCGGACTTTGGGCCATTTGGCCTTTTATTTGTACTCGTGGACCTCCCAAGCCACAACTTGTAAGCCATGCATATATGCCTTTGCTTATGAAAACAGAACTTTGTGCATAACCGCAAACTACAAATTCAGTAAAACACGACTGTGAAGAACATCCGACAGCAAGAGCTGAAATGATATAAATTAATAATTGTAGTGATGATACCCTTCGTTGTTAGATTGTAGTGATGATACCAATGTGACGATCTAACTCTTCTCATTCTTTTACAAAAAAAGCTGCACATATGGGAACTAATTTGTTCTATAACTTGTACATAGAACAAGACAATAGAATGGATAGCCCAGATCATGGAACTCGGTTAACAACTTGAAGGTGGCATCTGTGATATAACCAAGTAAGCCTTTGTTTCCTCCGTCAACCAACGGTTATTCGATGCTGCACTAGGTTTTTTGCTCCTTAGGAAAGAGAGAGAAAGAGAGAGAGAATTAATGATAATAGGGATCAGTATTTAGCATTCCAAAAGGATATGGTTGATACTTAGGGAAAAAATTATTCATAGCCTTTTTAATTAAATCAAAAGATAAATTCAAAAAGCGTCGCTTTCACGATCAGCTAGCAGCTGGTGATATTTCTTGGTGCAGTAATTAATGACATCAGTCTGAACATGAAGTCAGTTTCTAGTTTCCTACATTCTGCAGAGAAACAAAAAAGGTATCAAATTAGAGAAACACACGGCGGGTAATCTAATGCCATAGAACGTTATAAACTAGGCCTGTGATGCGTTATATTTCTAAGGTGCTCTGCCATTTCTCATTCAGTCTAAATTGCCTCTTTTTGATTAGCAGTCTAAACTCTAAGCACCAATTTTTAAGTCTTCGCCATGGTGAGTCTCAAGCCAAAGCCAATATAGGATCTCATTCACACACCTAGTCAGTCTTTAACGTGCCTAAATTATGTGGATGCAGGGAGATATGGAGGCTAGCAAGGAAGATTACAAGTCTCTCAGCCTTGCAGGGAGCACAGGGAAAGGTGGATTTAGAGCTACCATTTTCATATATGGTAAGCAAGCGAGGAAATTAAGAATTTTAATGTCTATATATATATATATATATATATATATATATATATATGCCTGCCTTGCATTTAGTTTCTCATGTATCTTGTTTTACTGAAGGCATGGTGGCATTGGATAACATGGGATTCGTAGCAAACATGGTTAGCTTGGTTCTTTACTTCATGGCAGTGATGAACTTTAACGTAGCAAACTCAGCCAACAATCTGACAAATTTAATGGGTGCAACATTCTTGCTCACCCTTCTTGGTGGTTTTATTTCGGATTCTTACTTGAACAGACTTCATACTGTTCTCATTTTCGGTTTCCTTGAGATTGTGGTATGAATTTAATTTATTTGATTGCCATATTTTTCTGATATAAATGATCTCCTCAACTTCCATCGGCCTCTCGACATAAAGTAATGCTTGCTTGAACAGGCTTTGATGTTGATAACAATTCAAGCACACTCAAAACACATGCACCCTCCAGCTTGTGGCAAGCCAAGTTGCGTGAAGGGTGGTATAGCATTTATGTTGTACTTCTCCCTGTATTTGCTAGCATTGGGTGCTGGAGGAGTTAGGGGAGCTCTACCTGCACTTGGTGCTGACCAATTCGATGAGAAGGACCCAGAAGAAGCCAAGTCTCTTGCAACTTACTTCAATTGGATGACGCTTAGCACGGTGATCGGAGCTGTTGTTGGAGTCACGGGAATTGTATTCCTAAGTATGTTTCACGGCTGGTGGAAGGGGTTTCTGGTATCAACCCTGGCAAGCTTCCTTGGTTTTGTTATTCTTGCCGCTGGGAAGCCTTTCTATCGCCTCCGACAACCTGGAGAAAGTCCCATTATGAGGATCATACAAGTATTCCCCGATATTCATTTTATTGCTTTATCCGTATGATTACAGGATCCGTATGCACAACAGCCTAACATTTGTTCCATTTATTAATTTTCCCTATTCAGGTTGTTGTTTTGGCGTTTCGAAACCGGCAATTGCCGTTGCCGAAGGCTGAGGAACTCTACGAGATCAATGAGAAAGAAACCGTTGCTTATGAAGGAAAACTGGAGCACACTGAACAATTCAGGTAGCATGAGGCCTGACTACCAGTCTACCACATATGTAGTGAAGCTATTTGTTCCTTTATTAGTTATGCAGTCTGCAGCCAGGGCAGATAGGGTTTATTTTCTGATGATCTTCCCAACTTATCGAACAGATTCCTAGACAAGGCCGCCATTCTTCCTGAAGGCATGCAACCAGCTCCATGGACAGTTTGCTCTGTGACCCAAGTCGAAGAAGTGAAGATCCTGACAAGAATGTTGCCTATATTAGGCAGCACCATCATAATGAATACATGCCTAGCACAACTCCAGACCTTCTCAGTACAGCAAGGAAACCTAATGTACCGCAAAATCGGCAAACACGAGTTTCCTGCCGCTTCAGTTCCCGTAATTCCACTCATATTTATGGTCATACTCATACCTATCTATGAGTTCTTCTTTGTTCCTTTCGCTCGAAAGATCACTGGCCATCCGTCAGGCATCACACAGCTTCAACGCGTTGGAGTTGGTCTAGTTCTTTCTGCCATTTCAATGGCAGTAGCAGGTTTAGTTGAAGTGAAAAGAAGGAAGCAATCACTTAAAGACCTGCACCATCCCATAAGTCTTTTCTGGCTATCCTTCCAATATGGAATTTTCGGAATAGCAGACATGTTCACCCTGGTAGGACTATTGGAATTCTTCTATAAGGAGGCACCTTTAAGCATGAAATCACTGTCTACTTCATTCACTTATCTATCGTTGTCTTTCGGCTACTTCTTGAGTACTGTTTTTGTGAGTCTGATAAATGTAATCACTAAAAGAGTTACACCAAGCAAACATGGATGGTTGCACGGAGAATTTTTGGACTACAACAATTTGAATCTGTTCTACTGGTTCTTAGCCGTCCTCAGTTGTCTCAACTTTTTACTCTATCTCTACTCAGCCTCATGGTACAAATACAAGTCTGCCGATAGAGAGTCTACTAATAAGCCAAGAGCAAAGGGTAGTGATGATGGATTGCTTCTTGTCAAGGAAGAAAACACCACGGAAAGTTGTGGGGCAAAGGCAAATGGAGAGGAAAGTACAGAGGAGAAAGTGGCAAAGAGAAGTGTTGGAGAAGAAAGCACACAGGAGAAGGAGATGGTAACTATTAACAGTACAGATGCTGAAGCTAAAGTTCCCTCTTCTGAGCAATCGAATGAAGCTAAACAAGATTAAAAGGCAGGTTAAAGAAGTCTAATCCACCCCACAAGCATAAAAAAACTAGAGGAAGAAGAAGAATAAGCTCATTCTAGCAACTAAATGTACCTTTGTGGATCATTCATTTATGGTGATGAATAATCTTCTATGGTCACAAGTTCAACGTAAATCAGATAAAATTTATTTTTTGGTACTGTTATACATCACTTTGGTGTCTAGAAGATTTTGCCCTCTTGCCTGGCTAAAAACAGAGATTATGGTCCTGTGTATTGATCAAAACTAGGCTTAAAAAAAATGGCAGAGGTCTTCCATACTCCTTGAGATTTGTGAATGCATCAAAAAAAATTGGTTCTTTTTTTCCTATACATTATATTCGCTGCCAATTTGTGGTTTTTGGGATATGCAGGTTCGGGGGAATTAATATTTACGTCAAATAGGTCATACATATAGGTAACCTAGTAGAGAAATATGAAGGTAGAGAACCATATATAGCCTGAAATGACATATATATAGTCACCTCGTGAAAACATATATAGCACATTAATCCTTATTTAATTACATTTTTCTAATTCCATTTCATGCTGCTATAAAACTTAATTAACTTGTGTGTCTCCATAACTAATCTATTCACACACACATAGATACATACATAATATGTATGTATCTATGTGTGTGTGTGAATAGATTAGTTATGAAGACATTATAATATATATACAATCTGTAATACCAAATTAAAGTTCAATAATTAAACAAGTAAAAGAATACTTAGTTAGCCTTACTTTTCCTACACGATCACTTAAAATTAGCAAGGTGGTTGGAGCCTTTAATAAGGATGGCGATCGATCGGATATAAAACGAATACTTACTTTACCCGACCTAATAAATGCCCATTAAGATTGTCCAATGAGTATTAAAGTGGATGAAGATAAAAAAAATAAATAAATACTCGTTCTTTACCCTATTAATACATACTAATTTATTTAGATTTTTTTATTAATATAAAATGATCTAATTACATAAAATTTAAAAATTAAGGATCAAAATATTTTTTCTAAAAACTTTGAGGACCAAAAAAGCTTATATATAAAAAGGACCAAAATGTAAAAAAAAATAAAGTTAGGATAAAAAACTTTGAGGAGTAAAAAAACTTTTTTAAAAAATTATAGAGATTAAAATGAATATTTTTTATAAATCAAATTTATCGGGTATTTAGGTATAGGTCTGGGTAAAAATTTATACGTTGATTTCTTAATGGATAATGAATAGGGTATTCTTTTAATGGATAGAATAAAACATTAAATTAATGGATTGGGTGTCTGTTTAACAAGGAATGCATAGCAAAAAAAAAAAAAAACAAAGAAACAAACAATAATATACATTTTATATATAATTATATGTAACATGAGAGTAAAAAAATAAAATAATAAATAAAGTCCTTTCATAATTTCTCTTAATTACCATTTACAGTTCTTGCTCTTTCTATGCACTTAATTGTATGCAGAGGCTTAAATCATTAAACATATAACTCTCACTCTAATGGTAGTACGTAATTCCTTCACTATATATATATATATATAATTCTTTTTTGAGAAAAAACTTCACCATATAAATTGAACCGGCAAAATATTGAACTGTATACAAAATCCAAACATAACATTCATAAAGAAACAAATAATAATAATAATAAATTAAATCAATGAAGAAATTTAAAAAAAAAGGTATGAAAAATATTGTAATTAATTGTTTAAATAGAAATTTAATTAGTTAAAATAAAGTTACTTAATTATGTGATTGCTAGATAGAAATTTAGTCTAGCTAATTCTCATTTAATTTAGAGATTTTTCAAATTAATATGATTATGTTACATTCCTAGCTAGCTACTTGTACGTGTTAATTGATCAATTAAAAAGGATGGTCTTCATATATAAATTCAAATTAATTACGTACACCTGTGATATGTTATTAAATAAAATGGGAAAATTAAAAATGCAAATTACTATACATACATTCACATTACAAAAAGTATATAAAATAAAGATTGAGAATATATATATAAGCTTAAGCATAGATGTTAATTGATACATTAGAATATTTAGATGGTGGGAGAGATATATCTTGAAACTCTTTATATGTGTAGTTAATTTGTACAAATAGTAAATATATAAAAATTTAGTTAATAAATACAAAAGAAAAGGAAGCAAGGATAGAAAAGAGATTAAAATAGATTAGTAAGAAATTAGAAACAAATAATTAAATAGCAGTTATAATGAAGAAGCCTAAGAAATGGACTAGCATTTCTTGAAGTTATATATTAGGGTCAAAATATGAGCATTTTTTTTTTTTTTAATTAAAATGAGTTTACAAATAAATTAACTAAATATTGTGTTTTTGCATTAATTTATATATTCTTAGAAAGACTTTCACCGCATCTATGACCAAATTAAAATTTAAAATACCTGTACGAACAAGATTAATTGAATTATAAATATGTTACAGCTTGTAGTTTCCTTTTGAAGACAGTTTTTTTAAGGAAATAAACTGAAAGAAAATCTAAAAGTTAAATATATAGTAAAAAACAAATCTTGTGATTATCTTATCACAAAATGACACAAATGACCCCTTCAATTCAAGTTTCACGTTATATTTAGCAGGGTCAAATTAGTGAAACCATTCAAAAACTCCCTCTTATCTCATCATTTTTTCATCAGTGTGATCAATTGACACTCCCGGATGGGTTGTTGCTTCGCAGATGCATGCACGTGATATATGTGTCATGGTATTACTAGTTATTTCAGAAGCAAGATAAAATATTTCGCTGCTTTATCTTTTGGATTGGCCTCATTCGATCGGTCTAAATTGCTTTTCTGATTAGCAGTTCTCTAAATTCTAAGCTGCAATTTTTCAGTCTCCACCAATATGGTGAGTCTGTGTTTCGAGGCAAAGCCATCTCATTAATTCACACACTCATTCAGTCTTTAACATGCCTAAATTATGTGGATGCAGGGAGATGAGGAGGGTAGCAAGGAATATCACAAGTCCCTCTGTCTTGCAGGGAAGACAGCTGGGAAAGGTGGATTTAGAGCAACCATGTTTGTATACGGTCAGGAAGCAAATTGTATGGTAAGAAGTTTAATGTCTATATATGCAGGCCTTGCACTTAATTTCTCATGTCTTGTTTTACGACAGGATTGGTGGCATTGGATAACATGGGTTTCATAGCAATCATGTCTAGCTTGGTTCTTTACTTCATGGCAGTGATGCAATTTGACATACCAACCTCAGCCAACACTCTAACAAACTTACTGGGCTCAACGTTCATGCTCGCCCTTCTTGGTGGCTTCATTTCGGATGCTTACTTGAACAGACTTTATACTGTTCTCATTTTCGGCTTTCTTGAAATTGTGGTATGAATTCCATTTCCATGCATCTTTTCTTCATTAATTACTAGTTTTCTTGTCACTTCTCTATTACTCGACTATATATTTATTATTAGAAAATTTAAAAAAGGGTCTTTAATTTCTATCAAAATTACTATTATATATATTGCAATATTTCTGAATTATTTTTGTCTAAATGAGTCCTTAATTTATTGAAATAAAATCTATAAATAACACATATGATGTGGATTAAATATATATTTGATTGTGGCTTTATTATTTTTTAAACAGGATAATATTAGCATTATAGTTTTTACAAATATTTTTATTTGAAAAAGTTCATTTTTATTGTTTGTGAGTTGAATATTAAAGATATGGTCATGAATAAAAAATTTATGATACCTTTTAACTAAGTGATATTCTTTAATATAATATTAGTAGAGGCTATCAAAAGGTATAAATCATACAACTAAAAGAGTCAAAGATAATTCATATATAGGACAATAATCTAGAAAAAAAAAGAGTAAAAATTTTATAATTTGCTGATTTCTATGTTATTTTGTTATTTTAATTGTATGTGGGGGTTAATAACAATTAATAATTTAGTGGAAATTTTATGAATGGTTTTGTTTAAAGCAATCTATTTTTCAATATTAGTAGTGATTTTAAAAAGTAAAAATATGATAATTTTTAATCTAATTTGTTTTAAAAAATTTATATTGATTACTTATTATATTTAGTAATTAATAACTATAGCTTAAATCTCTTGAAAAGACTACAAAGAAAATAAAACTTGATTAATTATTGGACCTCATATAATAGTATTTATGTTTTAATATTATAAAAATTAAAAAGTCTTTGCTGCTATCATTACTATTATATTACAATATTTTCGAATTACTAATTTTCTTCAAAGGAGTCTTTTTGTTTAAATAAAGTCTATAAGTAACAAAAATACATAAGTTATGTGAATAAAATTTTTATTCAGAGCTCCCTTAACTCTTAATATGATAATATGAGCATTATAACTTATGAATCATTTTATTTGAAAGAAATTATTTTTATTATCTGTGAGACAAATATTAAAGATATATGGAGAGGAATAAGAATTTTATTCTACGAAGAGTCTTTCCTAATATTAGCAGATCGAGTTTGTCGAAAGATATAGATCCTTTCATCTAAACGAATATAAAATAGCATAATACAATCAAGTGTCCCCTATGTATAGAAAAATAACTAAGGCCCAATTTAATAATCTAATGAATTTTGATGTAATTCATTTAATTAGACAGTTGATGTTTTTATATATAGCAGTACGTACTCATGGATATAGCGACAGGGTTTGGTGTTGATAACAATTCAAGCATATTCAGAAAATATGCACCCTCCAGCTTGTGGCAAGTCAAGTTGCGTGGAGGGTGGTATAGCATTTATGCTGTACTTCTCTCTGAGTTTGCTAGCATTGGGTGCTGGTGGAATCAGGGGAGCTCTAACATCACTTGGCGCTGACCAATTCAATGAGAAAGACCCGGAAGAAGCCAAGTCTCTTACAAGTTACTTCAATTGGAATGCGCTTTGCGCCATGCTGGGGTCTGTTGTTGGAGTCACTGCCATTGTTTACGTCAGTATGTTTCATGGCTGGTGGAAGGGGTTTCTGGTATCAACCCTGGCAAGCTTCCTTGGTTTTGTTGTTCTTGCCTCTGGGAAGCCTTTCTACCGCCTCCGAAAACCTGGAGACAGTCCCATCATTAGGATTGCAAAAGTATTCCCTGATATTCATTCCATTTATTTCTTTCTTTCTCCATGCATATATGTAATTATATATAGGGTCTGTATATATGCATAACCGCTTGAAAGTTTTCCCGTACGTTGATTAATTTTCCCTATTTTCAGGTTGTTGTTGTGGCATTGAGAAACCGGCGATTTCCATTACCGAAGGCTGAGGAACTCTATGAGATCCGTGAGAAAGAAACCAATATCGGTTACGAGGAAAAACTTGAGCACACTGAACAATTCAGGTAGCATATATGAGTTATGACTATCAGTCTGCCATGTATGTAGTGAAGCAATTTTCTCCTTAATTACTTATGCATTCCGCAGACAGGACAGGCAGTGCTTGTTTTCTGATGATATTTGTTCCAATTTATTGAACAGGTTCCTAGACAAGGCCGCCATTCTTCCTGAAGGCAAGCAACCTGCAGCGCCATGGACGGTTTGCACTGTCACACAAGTCGAAGAAGTGAAGATCCTGACAAGAATGTTGCCTATATTAGGCAGCACCATCATAATGAATACCTGTTTAGCACAACTCCAGACCTTCTCAGTACAGCAAGGAAACCTAATGCACCGCAGAATCGGCAAACATGATTTTCCTGCCGCTTCAATTCCTGTAATTCCACTCATATTTATGGTCATACTCATACCTATCTATGAGATCTTCTTCGTTCCTTTTGCTCGAAAGATCACTGGCCATCCATCAGGCATCACCCAACTTCAACGCGTTGGTGTTGGTCTAGTTCTCTCTGCCATTTCAATGGCTGTAGCAGGCGTAGTTGAAGTGAAAAGAAGGAACCAAGCACTTAAAGATCCTCGTCATCCCTTGAGTCTTTTCTGGCTATCCTTCCAATATGGAATTTTCGGAATAGCAGACATGTTCACCCTGGTGGGACTGTTGGAATTCTTCTACAAGGAGGCACCTTTAAGCATGAAATCACTGTCTACTTCATTCGCTTGGCTATCGTTGTCTTTCGGCTACTTCTTGAGTACTGTTTTTGTGAGTCTGATAAACGTAATCACTAAAAGAGTTACACCAAGCAAACAAGGATGGTTAGACGGACAATTGTTGGACGACAACAATTTGAATCTGTTCTACTGGTTCTTAGCCGTCCTCAGTTGTCTCAACTTCGTACTCTATCTCTACTCAGCCTCGTGGTACAAATATAAATCGGACGACACAGAGCGTACTAATAAGCCAAAAGCAAAGGCTCTGGATGATCGATTGCTTCTTGCCAAGGAAGAATGCACCACTGAAAGTTGTGGGGCTAAGACAAATGAAGAGGAAAGTAATGAGGAGAATGTGGCAAAGAGAAACGAAGAAGAAAGCACACAGGAGATGGTGGCTATTAACAGTACAGATGCTGGAGCTAAAGCTCCCTCAGCAATCCTATGAAACTAAATAAAATACAGGGAAGCACTAAATCACACAATTTTTTTTAAATCCATGGAAAAAGCAACCGCTTCCTTGGATATAACAAATAGCTACTGTGGATTTAGTGGTTCCCTAAAATAAAAAAATAAGCGATTTTAATGAATTGAAGCCTATCCACCCACAAGCATCGAAAAATAGAAGAAGAAAGCAGCAGCTAGCTTGTTCTAGCATCTAAAAATAGCTAACAGGTGCTCCAAGATATGTATGGAATTGGTGGTGATCAGCTTAATTGGCAGTAGTTAATATTGGTTTTGGGTTTAATGTGTATGTATGTTTTTGTTTTGAACGTTTTCGCTTGATTTTACATGCTGATGGAAAAAAATGGAGGAATTAATATTGGTTTTGACATTAAGGTACGTAGTTTTGCACTTCCGACATCTTCTTGCATATTGGAAAAATTAATAATTTGGGTAATTAATTGACTTCAGTGGATCAAATACAGAAGTTGGAGGTTTATAAAATTGTTGTTCTGTTCATGTGTATAAATAATATAATGCATCCATTTTGAAACGAAGAAGTCAAGAGCAGCAAGTCAGGCCCATGAAGGTAATGCCAATTAAGTTCACTCAAAGGCTCAGTGATTCTGTATTACCCAGCCCAACCTGAGTCCAAACCTTCATGTTTTTCACCAGTAAAAAGTTACGTACCATTGGCATGGTTTCTGCCTCTTGTTTAAATCACTTCCCGGTAACTTAAACGCAGATAAACCCGATTGACGAGGTAAAAAAATCAGTAATGGTGAAATTTTACTCCTTTTCTTGATTTCTTAAATTTCAAAGTTGTTTATTAAATTGACGAAGAAATAAATGTTAATATGGTTCGAAAATAAAACTTAATTTTAATGACATGCAAGCTAGTTGAATGATAGCTTTAATTAATTAAGGCGATTATATTGCAACTTGCGTTGCCATTGCCAATTAGCAATGATTTCGTGCGTCATTTCGTGATTTATTGATTGAAAACAATAGTAGCACAAAAGGGCACCGACAAATGAAAATATGAACATGGGCTGGCCACCATTACAACTACGGAGGACACTCAGGACAGTGACCATGAAGGGATAATGAAAGACAAAGATATAACATACTTAAAGCACATGGAACCTACCTTTCATTGTGAAAAAAAAAAAAAAAAAGAAGAGAGAAGAAACCTCCCTGCCTTCCAGGTTGATGCTGGACCAGATGCAGCAAAGTCTGTTAAGTGTATATATATATATATATATATATATATATATATATATAGTTGTTAGATAATCGTACAATTAATGCTGTGTGCTTGTTTGTTTATTTATTTGTGTGTTTGGTATTTGCTAAATAGATTGGTTGGAGATGGCAAGAGTTGATAAATTAGCGTCTTGGAGTTGCCCACGGAGCAGAGTCATGGCAATAGACAAAAGGTGGGTGCATCAATTTCATGTCATGTGATTTTGTCATGGGAAGAAGCAAGTTCGAATCCCTCAATAGACAAAAGGTGGATGCATCTTCTTCTTTAATCTGCGGGTAGATGTGCCATGCTTCAGTACTTTTAACCAATAAAGTATAGATATAGTTAAATAAATAAATGTGTGTTATCTATCTTCAACATTGAACATTTTTCTCATTTCAGAATTTATTATTGGACTTTTAATTTTAAATTGGATAATTATGAATTATATCTTATTTGAAATCAAGCCCCAACCCTCCTCTTTTTTTCTTTTTTTTTTTTAATTCCATTCATCAAACGTACTCGAAAGCCTCGTATAACCACTAAAATAAAAAGTTATATTTTTACATTTTTTTTCGTGATCGAGCATCGTAATCTAATTTTGTTAGAATAAACTAGTTAGATACTCATATTATGTTGTGATCGGACAACTTTTATATACTTAAGGTTAAAGATTTATATGGCCTTGTGCGAGTCGAAATCTTTTTTCTAGAGACTAATGTACATCGCATATATATATTGAGTGAAATTATTTAATTTATATATATTTATTAAAAAGTAATTAATAATGTTTAACATAAAAATTTGTATTTAAATAATTGAAAGGTTCTTTCAAAACATCATTTAAATTATTTTATTTAAAAACACATATTTTAGAACATGAAAAAAATAAAAATAGAAATGTCATATAATAGTGCATATTATGTATGTGTGTGTGTGATATTGCACCTACAACTAGTTCTGCCATATTTACAATACAAATATACAACATGCGAAGAAAAGAAAAAGAAGAAAGAAACGTGAGATATCAAAATTAATTTGATTGGGAAATATTGGAGATGGATAGAGAGCAGAATTAATGAAGTTGGGAAAATATAAAAGTGATGGATGAACTGCTTCTTCGAGGGGATATGATTAGGGGTACAAAGGGATGAACGCCAAATTAATTGCTACTACAAGTAATTACGTGAAAGCAACTGCTAGCTAGGAAGAACATTAAGTACACAACTTGACTACCTTATACAACCCCAGGCATTCCTCACTTCAATGTCTCTTGTCTGTTACATCAAAACAAGACGTACGCCAATATTTCTCCAGCTAACAGAAAACCTTTTCAGACTTTTGTATTTAGAGGTTTAAGGATTGGATGAAAAGAAGGGTCAAGCTAGGTGGCTTGCTAGGGTTTTGTTCATTTCGGTTGGGGGCATTGTTGGCATTAACAATGATCACACCTTATCTAATTAAGCGAAGCTGGCTGCTGATTACCCGCAAATTGGCCGGGCCCTAATACCAGGACAAGCTGTTCCTGTAGAAAGGGAGTACTGAAGCAAGACGGAACACCATCCACAGCCCAACCACCGTGGTCCCTAGCTAGCTACTTAATTAGTAGTAGCTAAATAAACCATGAGTGGCCACCATCCATCATTTTTATCAGAACCCACCATATAATCAAAGCTACCCTTTCTCAATCTCTATTTTGTAACCATCTCTATGGCCCTTTCTCCTTCTTCAGCTCCCTTCTATTCTTTTTTTTTTTTTTAATGTAAGCCTATATACCATCGGTCAGATAAGCTCGAACCATTTAGATATATGTGGATAACAAGGAAAACAGATTTGCTCTCTCACTATTTTTTATATATTTAAGCCATGAAAAGTGATTTTGGATTAAAAAAAAAATTCCTAAAATTAACGATACTTTTTTAATATTAAAAGAGCTATATTGATAAAGGGAGAAAGAAAAGTTGGGGTTGATTCAACGAGAAGTAACCAACAAGGAAAGCAGATTTGCTCGCGCTCTCTCTCTGTTTCTTATATTGGCGTAAAAAAATTTTTTTTTTAAGTGCATTATACTGATATAAAAAAATTATGTATCAAAAAAGAAAAGAAGGAAAGTAAGAGAGAGACGGATCAATTGACGTCGAGAAGGAGCAAACACATCCGATGAGAAGGTCCGGTAACCAGGAGGTGTCATTAATTAGTTAACACAACATGGGTCAACATAATTATTGTTAATTTATCATGCCCGCATTTATAAATATAAAATATAATTAGTATTAGTTAGTTCTGTTGCTTGCTACCACTCCATAATCAGTACGCTAAATTGCTTAATTAATTAGCGTTTACTACTAATTAGTACTATTTTTTTTTTAGCATAGAGATTAGAGAGATCTAAATCTGAACAGTTTTAAGGAGAGCGCCTTTCACGGATCTGACATGATTGATGCTGTAGCAGAATGGTTTTTCTTTTTTTTTTTTTAGATTTCTTCAAGTGCTACCGACCCCATTTTGAATTTTCGGTGATTTAACCAAAAAAAAAAAAAAAAAGAACCGATCCATAATTAATTATAAAAAGTTTTCATAAGCTTAGCAAAATTCTAGATGATAATAGTGGTAATTTTTGAATTAGTGAAGAAGATCTGATAGCGATGAATATATATATTTAAAAAAAAAAAAGAAAAGAAAAGAAATCTAGATCTCATCCTTTAGTTTGGAATCAATCCCTTGTAACAAATGTTAAGATTTCTGTTATATATATATGATACAGCTGTCTGCCTCTCAAGTTCTTCCACCGAGAAGAGAAGAGGAGAAGAAAGAGGAAGGAAAAGCAGACCACACAGTCTCACACACACATAAATCGAAAAGAAAAATAATAAATGAAGCTCAACCCAAATATGGCAAAAGGACAACTATTGAGTTCTAAGTCTTTTGATCTACTCACTTTTCCCCTACTGACTGATAAGTAAAAGATTTCGGCGTCTATTTTTAAGGACAGCTACAGAGTTCTAAGCAAAATTGATAAAATCCGAGGATTTGGTATTAAATAGATAATAAGACAATACATTAAGGACTTGATTGAGGTTTTTCCTACATAAAATCTTTGTTAGATTCCTGACGTGCTTCCAGTAATAAACCTTCAAAAGCCCGGCAAACCAAGTTCTCTCTCTCTCTCTCACTCTTTCTTTCTTTCCCCCAACTCAAGCCTTGAAGCAGTCCGAGCCTACAGATTTAGCTTCCCAATTGAATTCAAGGAAGCTAATCATTCTAAATCTCTTTTTTCTTGATATAAAAAGTAATTATGTCCATAATGACATTGACAAATTAGCCATTTTTAGCATCTCCTTGCTTACTGCTAGTATGAAGCTAATACTACTAAGGATAACAAACTCTCCCTTCCCTTGTTAGCCAAACCCAAAGTTTTCACCTTTCCTTTTTCTTTCTGTTTCTTTTCTAGATTTGTTTAGCGCACAGAGCCAGCAAAAAATGAAGCTCTTCAGCTTCTGGGCTGTTGCTTTTGCTCTTTGTCTTTTTGGGGCGTGGGAGGTAGATGGGTTCTTGGAGATGAACGAAGAAGAGATATTTTACACTGAAGCTCATGCTTCTCATTATAATGAATCTAAAGCTGTTTATGGCAACAATGCTTTGTCGGTTGGCCTTACTCTCATCAAATCAGCTGCTGCTAAAGGAGCGGGTAATTTAACTTCTGAAGATTGCTCCTTTTCATTTTCACAAAACCAAAGTTTGCTTCTTTTTTTTAATTAAAAGTAAAATACTAAATGCTGCTTTTCATCTTCCTATGTCTTACTGATATTGATTTGATTGAACTTTCAGTAGATTGTCAGATTCTTTTTTTTTTTTTTTTTGGTTTCTGAGTTCCTCAATGATTCAGATTTGTTCCCTTTTTCTTTATTTATTTTCCCATTTTCTATCTACTTTTGTGAGGAAAAATAAAATAAAATGGAAAGAGAAGAGAAAGGCATTAAATATAGGACCCCATTTCGATTTAATTTTGAATATATATATTGGCAGAGAGGCATTTATTATGTTTTCTTTGCTATTCTCCATCTCACCCGATGTCAGTTCTGTGGGCAGAACGAGGCATTTTGGTACCCTCCTCTGTTGTTTTGCGCTTTTATTTATTATCACAATACTAGCAACGTGGTTGTGTCATAGATAATCAAGATTCAATTAATCTTGTCAGATTAAAATATCAGTTTACATTTTTTTCAAATTTGGTTAGGTATTTTTTGTTGTTGTTATTGTTGATATTCCCTCAAATCTTTTCCGTTCAAATTTATTTCAACAAAAGTTGTTGTTAGTTTTTAACGGCTGTGACTACTAGTCTCATATCTTGTCCTAATGAGCCCTTTGCCAATCTTGCAGTCTGTTTGGATGGAACATTGCCTGGATACCATTGGCATCGTGGGTATGGTTCAGGGGCAAATAGTTGGCTTATTCAGTTGGAGGTTTGTAATTATTCAATGTTAGAAATTATATGACTTCTGGTCTCTTGCTTTGGCATGACTTTTCTTGCACAATCTAAAAGTCATAATTTGTGGTCTATATTTTCAACTGTTCGGTTACTTGTTTTGGCTCTGAGCTATACCTTTCATCACTTGTGTCAATGATTAATTATGTGTATTGTTACTGGCCATTTGGACTGTTAAAAAAAAGAAAAAGAAAAAAACTAAGGCTAATGAATATTGCTTGGAAAAATAAAATAAAAATTACCATAACCTACATGAAGAAACTTAAATGATTTTTGCTGCAATTGGTACTTGCATTAAAAATATATATATATATATATATATATATATATATATATATATATATATATATATATATATATATATATATATATATGAAGCTCTTGATACTGGATTGTGTGAGTGTGACACAAATATATAATTTTTTGCTAGGTAAGTACTTTTACAGCCTTGGCTTAAACTTTCTGTTAGCATGTACTGCCTTATGCTACTTTGTCAGCTCGCAGGCCCCTTTCAATTGACATCGTTCTGGATTGAGACTTGACTTTATTGAACATCTTGTGTAGGGAGGAGGATGGTGTAATACTGTTAGAGCTTGTGTTTATCGGAAAACAACTCGGCGAGGTTCATCTAACTACATGGAAAAGCAGTTGCAATTTACAGGAATATTGAGCAATAGAGCTGAAGAAAATCCTGGTTTAGCCTCAACTGTCAAATACTTTCAAATACCTATCTCTTTTCTTTTTCCTTTTTTTTTTTTTTTTTTTTTGTCTCTTTTGGTCTTGGATATATTATTGACAAGGGGTTTGCAGATTTTTACAACTGGAACAGAGTTAAACTCCGTTACTGTGATGGTGCCTCGTTTACTGGGGACAGTGAACATAAGGTTGGAATCTTACCATTTTCTAATGTATCCCTAATTATTGTATCTTGCATTTAACACATTTTCCATATGTATGAGTTGATTGAAAACTTTTTAAGTGAGCTCACTTATTAAAATCAAATGATTTTGTTTTAGGCTGCACAACTGCAATTTAGAGGACAACGTATATGGTCAGCTGCAATGGAAGATTTAATGTCTAACGGAATGCGCCATGCCAATCAGGTTTTATATCTTGTCAGCTTTCAATATCCGTACCTCTATCTCTTTTCTTCTTGATTATTCTTGCAATAATTTTGTTATTTAACTGTACCTCAGGCTCTTCTTTCTGGCTGCTCTGCTGGCGGCCTAGCTTCTATTTTACACTGTGATGAGTTTAGGAACTTGTTTCCGGGAAGAATTAGAGTGAAATGCCTGAGTGATGCTGGTTTATTCCTTGATGCGTAATTGCTTGTTATCTTGACACTGTTTCATGTTTTCCTCATTTCTAAGAATCGATTTCTCTTCAATTAGCACCTCCCTTACCCATTCTCATTTCCTTTTGGAAATTGTAGAGTTGATGTTTCTGGTGCGCGCACCTTAAGAAATGTATATGGTGGAGTTGTGGGCTTGCAGGTAGTATATGATGTCAACATTTTGTAATTTAGCTATATTGGTAGTTTGAAGGTTTTGAGTGATGCTTTTACTGCATGCTAATTGTGGTGTTTTTCATACTTCTTGCAGGGGGTGCAGCACAACCTTCCACGAATATGCATCAACCACCTTGATCCAACTTCGGTAATCATTTCTTTTACCATTCCTTTACCTCTTACATCTATCTAATTTGAATGTAAGACATAAATCTGGAACTCAATTTTCTTTCTGTGATTTCCTTGTTACTTCAGTGCTTCTTCCCTCAAAACATAATCGGCAACGTTAAAACCCCACTGTTCATTCTCAATGCAGCCTATGATTCATGGCAGGTAATAATACTTTCCTGTAAATGTGCGAATGCACGAATCTTTTATTGTTGGTGGAGTAGTCTTCCTTGACTAACAAACTACACAATTTAACTTAATGTTAATGAAGTGTTTTATAAGATCACTGACTCTAATTTACCCTGTGAATTCAGATCCAGTCCAGCTTAGCTCCCCCATCTGCAGATCCCCGTGGCTATTGGGGTGATTGCAGAAAGGACCATTCAAAATGTTCTGCATCTCAAGTCCAATTTCTGCAAGGTATTTTATATTATAGATCCATTTATCTATTATAGGCTGCATTACATAGCAGATACAGTTTGCTTATTGGGGCAGTTTCATCTGTTTCTTTGGAACAGGATTCAGGAATCAAATGCTAAATGCAATAAAAGGCTTTTCAAAGTCTAGACAGAATGGGTTGTTTATAAATTCTTGTTTTGCTCACTGCCAATCAGAGAGGCAAGATACATGGTTTGCCGATAATTCTCCTGTACTTGGAAACAAGGTATGTCTGATCAAACCTCAAAATTTCTCAGTAAGGTTGTTTTATCTCGAAAAGTAACAGAAAGGGGAAAAAAATCTGGTTTTCTAGCCCTTCCCTTGGGATTCCTTTCTTTCCTGGTTGTATTTTACAGTACATAACCAGTCCTGTTTAGTTCATTCCTCACATCATCGAAGTTTTCAAACATCTGACTCATGTGGTTGACAATATGCAGCCTATTGCACTTGCTGTTGGAGATTGGTATTTCGACCGTTCAGGCGAGAAGGCCATCGATTGTCCCTATCCCTGTGACAACAGTTGCCACAATCTGGTTTTTAGATGAGTCAAATTTCATCAATTGGCTCATCTCATTACACAGTCATCGTATTAGATTCAACCTTATATATATTTACCCCCATTGTTACTGTAATAGAACTATGCGATTCATTGAAATTTGGTAGAGGACGACAATAAGAAGGAAGGTTGCTGAGAAATGTAAATTCATCAGCTAGCCTTTGTATTGCTGTAGCACATCTTGTGCCTCCAAATCATTCCACTTCTTCAATTTGAATTGTAATCTAGCAGTAGTAATTTTTTATTATCAATCAGCGAGTCCATATTTTCACGCCGATGCTTTTGTCTTTTTTGCTTGAGAAAGGACGTCTACCGTCCCCACTCCCCCTTTTCGCTATTTTATCATCATCTTTTGTCAGCAGGGCCAGTGGAACCTTTTTGTCATTCAAGTACTGAATTTAAACCAGTGAACAGAAATTTACAGCATGGGGAAAACAGTTTGACCAAACATCGAAAATGACTCCCAGCTATTGGGTTTATCTTAATTTTATACTCAAAACAATTTTGATTTCTTAATTGGAGCTTTTTGGTAGAATTTCTCAACAAAAAAATTTCAGGTTCCTCACAAAATGATGTTGCTTCTTACATAAAGAAGTGAACTTTGAATGTAATACAGAAGTATATATGGATGGAAAAACCTAATTGAAAATTTATTAGAACTTGGATGACAAAATTGATATTTGGGCTTCTTGAGCTTTTGGGGACGTAGGTTTTCTCACAGAGATTTTTGGGCTTTAATTTCTTCAACTTCTAGGCTCTAGAAAAAAGCAGCCCTTATCTTGTTGGAACTTGGAATAGATGTTCAGCCCATGTCAATACCACACCTGCTGTTTTTTCTCTCATGGTGCCATTTTCAATTTCGGAAATTGTCATTTGCTTCTGCTGTTTGCACTTTAACAACAAAAAGTGATCCTTTTTTGTCTTTTTTTTTTTTTTTTCCTGTTAATCATGGTGCTATCATGTTTTCCATTGACAATTTCAGTAATAATTCCTGCGTATCAGGTCTATATCATCTCAATTTAAACATAGCAGATTTGAGGATCAGAAGCTATGATTATGATAGGATTTCTAATCATTTAACTTTTGATTATGTAGGTGATGAACAATGTGAGGATTAAATTAACATTTTGGTTGCTAATGCCAGAATAAAATGAATAGAAGTTGAAGGAGCAACATAAATAATATGGAACTAACAACCAAAATCAGCAGAACAGAGCAAACTAGCCTGAAATTGATAGAGGATTATAAACTGCAATAATAGGTCAGTTCGTGTTTCCCTTTTGGTGAGTTCAAGAACTAGCTAGCAGCTATTAACACCATTAATGTAGCATTCTTCCAAGTAAAATTTGATTTCAAGCCAGGTTTTTGTTCTTTTCATTGCAAATGCTGAAACATTCATCTGCACCACATCTTGTATTTGTTTCTCTGTCGTAATCGCCATGATTTTCCCTGTCTGATGCAAGTAGATCTTTCACAGGTAAAAGAAAATCCCATATAATATTCGATATGATAATGCTAAATTATATAGACTCATCATTGTCTTAATCATCGTCAGTAGCATCATCATTTGCGTTCATTTTGGCCTATAAGTCATTAAAAAATCTATTCTCCTTATTATAGTATAGTTCAATAAAAAGAATCAAGATTCCGTGACATTTTAATTTTCTATTGCCGGACATTATAAACAATTGCTGAAAGCTTTCTGCCCTAATATTGTTGCCATCCCCTCAGTCTGGCATTGCATCTCAAGACTTTTCGTGTCTTCTTTCTGCACCCATGATTGTAGGGCCCTAACAAAAGACCCACCAATAATTTGGCTCACATGTGTTTGAAGCGAATAAATATATATTTACGTGTGTGTGTGTGTGTGGAGATTTCTTGCAAACAAGGAAGAGACTTTGAACATAGTTTATTGAGGAAACTATTTGTTTAGGATGTCTGCACATGGAAAAACATGAACCTTCTTGTCGCATATATGTATGAGAGAAATGAATGGTAACCCACTATTCATTTTTATATCAGGGAGACTAGCTAGAATATTATTATACGGGACAAATTTGTTACCATTTTTTAACGTCTTTTTTCAAACGGTAAGAGACTTTCTTGATGCATTTGATTTCTGAGTTTTTTTGATTTAAAACCTCAACTATATTTACTTTGAGTATATTTATGACCAACTCGATCACATTCTCTTTGATTGCGAGATACTTGGCAATTACAAAGGGGGAAGCACATAGCATTCCTAGCCTGCAGCTGAATTTAAAAACTGTGGGAATTCAAACTTAATTTGTATGATGATTATGATGACAAGCATGAAAGAGTAAAATCACAGTTTTACTCAGGCACTGGTTTTTTTTTTTTTTTTACTGTTACTGTTAATCCTATCATAATCTTACATCTTTACACTGTTAATCTCCCAGGAAAAAATTCTACCTTTTGCTTTCTAATCTCTTCTAAGCCCCATGCATAATTTACCACACACAGGTATGCAGTGCATGTTGCCACTTCTTGGTGAATTTGTGATCAGCCTTAATTTGTTTTGTTACCTTCTTAATCTTCTATTTGCCGGAAAACATCTTTTTATTTTGGTCCAACAGGATGTGCCAGAAAACATTGATTCCTGTTCATTATCTCTTAAAATTTCAGCATCACTACGTAGATGCCCCTTTGAGGGACCGCTTTTACTCTTCATCACAGAAGAGGTAAGAGCATAGGCCCACAGCAAGGACAATATTCTAGACTGTGTGTCCTAATGTGATCAATGGTGTAGATTTTCCCACCTGGATATTCACTGTTCATCTAAATATCCAGTTATCCTTGAAACTGAATCGGAAGATTCTTGCTCAGCCATGTCCTTTAAGATAATGTTAGTACCTCAAGAAAGGATAATTACAGTAATCAACGGGATGGCCCTTATATATCAGATGGAAAATCATGCATTCACAACACAAGTCTTGTTGACTAGAAGGGGATTATTATATGTATAGATATGCTGTCTGCCTTCATTATTTACCTGGGTTGCAATAGTAATAAGCATGTCAAGGGACTTTTTGATGAGGTAATTCAGAGGAAGACAGCAACCGTTGTCTGTTGAAGGGAAGGGAAGTGACTTAAAAGCTGTCAAAAAAGCGAAAGCTATCCCCATCTGTAGGAGACAATGATAGACGCCGATTTAAGACAAATGGCCCCTTGAATTTTGCACTAGAAAAGCACAGATGGGAATTTTTATGTATTTTTGTCAAAAAAAAAAGATATATGGATGACACTAAAGTAAAACATGAATCCAAGAAAACCAAATTCTCGGATTTTTTTCAATTTGAAAAGGTGAGGACGTAAAGTGCTGATTATTGTCAAAAGGAAAAAGAAATATCATAAAGCTATGGATGGATTGCTTACGGATACAATTACAAGAGTTGCTGAAGAAAATTTCACCAAGCCTTATTAAGAAAATTTCTACAGTGTTTTTTTCCAAGACAATGACAACATGAGCTTGGTTCAATCCCAGATATTTTTATAGTAAACAAAAGGCTGAAGAATTCTGTATCAGACACATTTACAAAAAATCAAAAGAAGTAACTCTATAGCACACACCTGTAGCCAGAAGATAATCTATTTCCAATATTCCATCTCAAACTGAAAACTTGTGTAATTGAATTAATTAGACTCTGCACATGTTAAAAAATAGCCTAAAGGGATTGTCCAAAAGCCACAGCAAATCTTTGCAGATCCTTGGTATAGATGTCCGTTGGCTGTGAGGCTTGTTGATGCTGGTTCAGTAGCCAACTAGCGCTTGAACCTTCTGCTATGAAGTGTGTTTCTGGTTTCACTTCACCGTACACATGTTGAGATGTTTGGTTTTGTACTGTGTTTCCAAGAAAGAATGGGGTGTTAAGATATTCAGACCATTTGATGTCTTCAGCAGGCTCGTTTTCGAGTGACCGAAGGTGAGCTTCTTCTCCCGATCTCCCACAATCGGCCAACCCCCACGAGAAGGCGTTGCTCTCGAAGAAATTGGAGTTGCTTTGTAGTTCAATACTGCTACTGCTTCCACTTCCATTGTTGCTGAAGCTACTTGCTTCCCAGTTCTGAACCCCATTGACATCACAAGAGCCTACAGAAGGATTATGATCAGATGGAAGACTAACAGAAGGCTTTACACGTATTGGAGTCTGGAACACAGAGGATGACACGGGTGAGAGAATAGTCGGTGGTGTCATACTAGAATTGAACTCAGAAATCATCGCAGAAGAGGAGGAATTTGGATTAAAGCAGAGAGTAGTATTTGGATTCATTGAGAGGCCTATATTAGGTTTGTAATCCAACTTCTGGAAAGGGAAATACCCCATCAAATCAGAAGGCCTGCAACTGGCCGCGGTGGTGCTTTCATGGGAGGTACCAAACCTATCGAGGAAGAAATCCTGTTTCTGCTGAGTATTTGCCAAGTTGCTACTACCACTCCCTTCTTTGTTGTTGTTTGTGTTGATGATCTTTGAGCCGCTGGAAGAAACCGCAAGTGGTTTTAAAGTAGCTGCCTCAATGAGGTTCAATTCATTTGATACAATAGGAACTTTCTCATTGTCAGCTGTGAGCTGCTGCTTCTCTTTACCATTCTCAACTTCGGAAAGAGGTCTGTGAGTGTTGGGGTCAATGCCTCTCTGCCTCAGCTTCTTCTTAATGCAGGAATTCCATAAATTCTTTATCTCATTATCAGTTCTTCCAGGTAATTGTGCTGCAATCTGAGACCATCTGATCAAGTAGGTAGCAATAACCAGTCAATATATGATTAAAACACTTAAATTTGAAATAAAGTCTACTCAATAATGAATTTATGAATTATTATAAATATAAACTACCTATTGCCAAGAACTGCATGAAGTTCAATTATCACGTTCTCTTCCTGCTGAGAAAATGCTCCTCTCTTCAAATCAGGTCTCAAGTAGTTAATCCACCTTAACCTGCAGCTCTTACCACACCTTTGCAAACCTGACAATATAGATATGATTAAATGTAAATTAGGAGATGTTTACAGGAATGCTAAAACTAGTAATCTAACACCATTTACTCAGCATTATTGTTAACTAACAAGGGATATACCAGCTAGTTTAGGGACAGAGCTCCAGCAGCCATGTCCATGCTTAGTAATATAATTCAGAAGTTTCTCATCTTCCTCAGGAGACCACAGGCCTTTTCTTAACTTCTGCTTGTAACAGCAAGAATGCCTCCCCATGTGGAGTGCAACAAAACCTGCAATGCAAGTGCTGGCAAATGAACTTTTAAAAAGCGGCAAAGTATTGTGTCAGCAACAGAAGAAGAGTTGGGGCTTTGAAATGGATTCTAGGAAGTGGGGAAGTGATTGGAATATCTGATGAGAGAGAGAGAGAGAATAGGGAGTGATGAGAAGAAAATGAAGTGGCAGTCTGGTAGGGAATGAAATTAATAGGAGGAGGCTCAAAGAGAAAAGTCACATTCAAGAGGGCGATTGAAGATTGTGGTTTCAGATTTATACATGGTTTTCCTATGTGTTATATGCTGTCCTCTTGGATGGTCCATGTCAGCACCTGGGACCACTAAAAGGTGGGTCCCAACACTCATGGACGGTCCCGATCCTACCGGTGTCCTTTAACTGATGATGAAACACAAGCATGAGGGAAAATGGTGGTTCCAATAATTTGACAAGGCCTAGTTATTTCCCATCAAAATTTGAGTATTTTTTAAAGACTTCTGTAGAGGACTGACGTCTGGTGGGTCTCCTCTCTAGCAAAATACTTAAACAATTGTAAAAACTGTTATGCTCAGAAGCCCAGGTAAAAGCTTTTGGTTGATGTAGACATGTATTTGTGAAGGCCTATTTTAACCAAGTCCATCCTAAGATTCCTGATACAAAATAAGTCACAAGAATTGAGATAGGGAAAGTTTTTTGAAAACAAGAAATACCTAAAATTAGTGAGTATATCAAATAAAGTAGTCTGCAATAAATTGATGATAGCCCTCCTTTTGGATTCTTGTTCAACAGGAAGAATGAAAATACTGAATTCTCTCTTCTCAGCAATTCTTCCTTTGCCTATCCCTAGGCTAGCTAGCTACTGCTTACTAGCCTTTTGGCATGCAACTTTCATCCAATAGACATCCATCTTCTCTGTTTCTCAGGCCTTTTGAGGCAACTTTTCCAATTCCAATAACCTATATATATAATTAATTGTTTTTAAAAATCATTACTTCTCTCTTAGAAAACCCCTCAAATTTAATCAATTTTCCACATCATTCAATACAGATATCTTACAGTTTGAATTGCTAATTTTTTTTTTTTTTCCCTCATTATGGCCAAATGCTATGGTAAATGGAGAAAGAAGTGAACAAATTGGCCATCCCATGCATTGACTCCTTAGCTATATAAACAGGACAATTACAATAATGCAGTTGTCTTTTAGGATGGGATAGAAGATGATGTGCATGAGAATTAATGTAATGTATTTTTCCAGCGACTTGAATGAGGACAAATTCTGATGAATTATTACAAGTTACATGGTATACTCAATACAAAAATCATTATTTATTGCACAATGCCAACTAAATTAATCATCTCTTTAAAGAGTATGTATATATATATAAATGGATTAGTTGGACTGACACCATTTATATTCCTTTTCCACCATTCTTGATTTGTTTACAAGGAAAACAAAAATCATTAAGGAAATGGAAAGACGTAAAAATATTAATGTTGGATCAATTATCGTGTCCCAATTGTCATACGAGAATTCTCCAAACATGGAAGAACGAGATGAAGAAGAAGAAGAAGCAGCCAAAAGATGACGAGCAGGGCACGAGTGTATGACAGAATAAATGCTGGTGATGATAAAATAAAAAAAAAAAAAAAAAAAACTTAAATTATTAGCTCATAGCTACATAATTTGATTACATATCTTCAAGCAAGTTGCAGAACATTTGTCTATGTAGTCGAGCAGGAAGACAAAATATTATGTTCAGGGTATGCTGGCTGCTGCATCATACAATTAATGTCTTAGAAAAACCTAAACTAAAACTTAATTAAATTCCTTTAAACACGTTTTAGACTTTGAGAAATTAATTAATTAAATAAGAACCTTAATTGATGATCACCTCCATGATAATGGAGTAACATCAATCATGTTAAATTAAGTAGCATATTTCTTTCTTTGATGGCCTGTCTGTCTCTCCGTCTGCCTTGTTCTTCTGAATTACCCTGTGAACTAAACTGCACACGAAGCTTCCTTAATTTCCTTGACCTCTGGCAATGTCCTAATACAGACATACCAATTGGATAATTTGAATAATATATATGTGTAAAGATGCTCGTAATCTTCATACCTCATAATGCGCTCGTATGTACACTTTTATCTTGTAGCTAGCTACCACGTACCATACATATGAGCTGTTATCTCAAGTCAACCATTGCTTCTTCTCTGTGTTTTATTTGCTAATCATTAATCAAAGTGTGTGTGTGTGTATATATATATATAAATGTACACACACATATGTTGGCTTTGCTGTCATTGATTTCTATTTAATCTGGTGGGTTTGTTAACATTCCCTACAAATTAATTAATAATCAACTCGATCGTTTAACATTAATTTTTACTCTTACTTTTGATGCATGCCTCTTTAATTTATTCTACTTGCTTCAGGTCTAGGGAATGGATCCCGTGTCTTTGAATGATTAGCTTATAGGAAAAGGAAAAAAAAAAAAAGGGATAGGAGCAGTACAAGCAATTAATTATTTATTAAATAGGTTTTATCTACTTACTTTCATAACTGTTCCATTATCTTACTTTTGTAATAATAATACCAAGTTTTTGGCTTTCTGCTACCTAGTTAGGCCTGATCGGATCAGCAGTATATGTTGTTTTTTTTTCATTTCTTCTTTTGTTGTCTTTGTTAAGGGCTTGAGATGAGTATAGATAAAAATGGGTGGTGCAAATTGTTGATCCTTGGCCACCGACGGACGACAAGAACATTGTTTTGTAATTACAGCCACACAATAGTAACAGTGGAACATTGTTTTGTCTCAGTGGTTGCGGTTTTAAGATTCCTTTAAACTCTTAAACCCTTCCTAAATGCTACCTTTGGTCCCTAAGTTTATCTTTTCCACGAACGCATTAATTAGGAATCTTATAGGAAACAGGTGTGGGACTTCACAGCTGAGTGTATGTGATATCTAACGTTTGTAGGACCTGTCGACAAATAAATAGGACTCATTCCATGTACAAAGCACAACACTGAAGCATTTCGGCAGAGTAAAAGGGTTAATCAATCTGCAGTATATGGTTGAACATGGAGCTATATACTAGCTATAATAAGTTCTTTGTTCTTTCTTTTCTGAAAGTTATCGAAGATTGATATCAATACTACTGTAGCGATCAAAATTAACAAGATGCATTTATCTCACACAAATCTTCTGTTCGGTAGATTCGTCGAATTGCTGCTGACTTTAGGCCAGCAGAAAGAAGTCAATGTCTTGTCAACAGATTACTACTCTCTTTGAGCCTTGAGTTACTGAGTTTAAGGCACCATTTGGTGGGAGGCTTGAACAATTTTCATCGTTTAAACGAAAGTAAATCATAATAACAATTTGGTGAAACAAAGCCATAATTTGTAAGCATAATGGCCTACTTCAGGTAGCGTTGATGGGAAATAGGCAATCAAAAGTCCCTGAAAAGAAAGATTTTGGAGATAATAATCGAATGGTTATTTGAAATGGAGGGGGACATAATTCATATGCCCTTGAAAATGGAGAGCCCTTTCCTCAATATCCTTAGAGTCATCTGTTTCAAAGCTGATTCTGAGACAGACAGCTAATTGACAAGAAAGAGCAACTGTTGCTCTAATAATGGAATCACACTCATCACTGAGTCCATACCAGTATGATTATCTTCATTAATTATAAGCTTTTCTGACAAAAAAATTTGCCAACATCAAAAGCAAAAAAAAAATAGTTTCATTGCATAATCATCTTTGAAAAACAACTACAGCAGCACGTTTCTGATTTAACCAAGGATATATATATATATATATATCCATGCATGAGTCTGTCCTAATCCTGAAGTTTTTTAAATTTCCTGCTTTCAGGTTATTAATAGAGGCTGCTACAGTTGCTAAAGAAGTAGCACCACTGCTGTATTATTTGAGAATAATGCTTTTCTTTAATTGGTTGCTATAAAATTCTCTTGTCTGCACCTTTTTAACCAAATGAAGCGACCAACTCAGTATTTTGGGGGTATCCAGTACTGCTTTTTGACGAGAGATTGCTATTACAAATATTACTATCAGATAAAAATCTGCAGGAAAAATCACATATTGCTGTGCCTAAACATGTTAAAACTAGTAGGATTGAATGAGAGAGGGGGTCCTTTCTAGATGACCTTAAATAAATTATCATTATGATGGAGTATTATTCTTGATTGGCCCATTAAAAATTAGTTGCAAGCAAAAGCACATGGATGTCTAATAAGTTTTGCAGTTAACTCAGCAACTAAATTTAAGTTGATCAGCTTTAGTCTTATCACAGCAGCAAATGATGACTAGAGAAACATGAAGGTTGCCATCATGAGGTTGCTTACCATAAATGGAAGCTTCAGATCTCTTTACCAGTCATTATTGAGGTAAACAGTGGTGTTTAAATGGCATTACGAGCATGTATTTAAAGCATATTGTGTAAAGAAAAGATCAGTAACAGTAATGGCAATTTGATTTTTAAGTTAAAGCTGGGATGAAGGTAAGGCCCAGCAAGATTATAGTGGAAATTGACTTTAATTAGAAGGCAACATCATCAATTATCAAAAAAGCCTCGAGTCCTTTGCTCCCATGAAATTATATAAAAAAAAAGCCTTGTCTGGTTTAGATTGTCCCATGTTAGCATAATTAGATGTTTGCTTTTTAGCTTTGTAGTGGGAAATTATAGTCAACTTTCTTACCACATTTACATCATTACTTGTCAATCTGAGAGGCTGTTTTGCTTGACATTTTGATGTGGGATGTGTGTTGTGAAGGCTTAATTGGAGAATACATAACAGATTTTGATTAGACTTGTCTAATCAGTTTCACCAAAAAAAAAAACACCAACATGTACTCTTCAAATCCATGTTTCTGTTTTGGGCCAATTTCATTCTACCTTTCCTTCACTTCACTCAGGTGCTCAACAACCTACCCAGCCCCATTCAACTCAGATTCTGGATTAGTCAAAAACTGGACCTATAATTCTTCATATGGACTTTTGGGATACTTTACATTTTGAATGTTCAGTCCAAATAACTATAAGAGTTCAGGCCCAAATGAATGCATATCGCCATCATCATCATTCTCTAAAAGGAATTCAAACGGTTAACAGCTAGCAAAAATGGAAAGCATTTTCTTGGGGGGTCTGGTCCCCCTTGAACTTTGTCTGCTACCCCCAAAAGAAAAATGCTATTGCCTATTGCTCTCTCACTTTAATTATCCAATCCAACCTATCCTTTTTTGTTTTCTTTTGCTTTCAATATGGAAATTTAAATGGAATCCTAATCATTCATTTTCGATTGATCATGCGATATACAGTCTGTCAAACACTACTGTTTTGCTTTTTTTCCACTGTTGTTGCTGGTACGCTTTTTTGTTTTTTTGATTAGTTGCCAACAGCCAGTGTCTTTCCTTTCCTTTCCTTTCCGTTTCTTTTTTCACTTACTACACAGAATATATTATCATCAACTTAATTTTGAAAGGATCTCTAATCTCTAATCTCTGCCTCTACCTATCCTCATGGCTACTGAGACTGCACCATCACACCAAACTCCTACTTCTGATCATGAGGTATTTATATCATCCTGCCTATCTTTAATTTCTCTTTTCTGTTCTGATCCAAGTATTCCTTTCCTCATATACTGTTACTTACCTGATCGATCATATATACAACATCATGGGATTCTTTTATTCTTTCCAATATTTTAACTTTTCAAACTTATCATAATGATACGATTTTTTATGTTTCAGCTTTAAGATCTATATGGGATCTTGTTTCCTTCTTTGTTACTCCTGGACTTGCTTGAACTTTTTACATGATCATAGGTTTTGCTTATCTGACTGTATCAGAAAACATAAGACGTCTATTTGCTTTTGGATATCATACATGAAAGATTGGATTAGGATGGTTTTAGATGGATGTCTCACTCTATTCACTGTATCAGAAGCTTTGAGAAGTGTCTGTTGTTGACAGGAGAAAGAAAAGAGAAGAAAACTTCTCTTTTTGAATGTGTCGTTTTCATAATTCTCTGCAAAATAAATGATAGCTTTCTTTTATATATCAATCATTAGTCTAAGTTGAGTTGGAACATATAGGACCATTTTCTGAGATATGCTCGAAAGCTACTGTCACAGCAAAGTTGGTAGTTTAAGAACAAGCAAGGTATTTCATTTTAACAAAATTAATCTCACAGCAATAAAATACCAAACTTGTTATGGAAGGCAGTCTTACTACTTTATTGCATAAATAAGCTGTTGAGTGGGATATGAATTCTCTAACACGGTGGCTCCCTTCTGCACTTGGCTGATTGGCTCAGCAGTAACTTGGTTCTGGTTCTGCCATAAAGGCTCTTGTTAACCAGCAAGGCCTTTTTTTTTTTTTTTTTCTGCGAGGGGGACAGGATATACATATCATTTTTTTAGGAATTTCAACTGACAGTATTAATATCTAGATGGCATGGAAAATGAGTGAGACAGAAATATAATGCTTTCAATGTTGTAATGAGTTTACGTAGTAGTGCATAATAGCTTTGTCTTCTGCCATTTCGATTTCTTCATGTTTGATTGTTGTTTTTCCTCTTCTTTTATTTATCCACCTACGCAATAGTTTCCACTCCTTTTGCTTTTAAAATGTCAGAAGTTTTCCTCTTTAATTCTTTAAGTTGATTTCTCGCAGTCAATTGAGAAGAAGGTGACAGAAGAACTGAAGCCTGTAGAACCTGAAACTATTTCCCTTGCCAAGAAAACTGAAGAAGAAGAAGACCTCAAACCTAATGAAGTAGCAACTCAATCAACTGCTAAATCAGAAGAAGTGGAAGATAAGGAGGCAGAACCTCCAGCAGTTGAGGTTAAGAAGATTGATGATGTTCCAGTTGATGATAAAAAAGAGTTGGAAAAAGATTCCATTTCTGACTCACACACACCCAGCATTCCCAATCCAGTGGCTGATGTTGTTAATGGCAAACCAGTTGCTCCAGCTATAGACTCCGTCCCAAAAGAAGCAGAGGAGCAAGAATTATTGACATCTATGGAGGAAATGCAACGGGAACAACCCAAGATGGTGGATGTTCCAGTATCATCAGATGAAGCCATTGAGAAACCACAGGAGCAATCAGAAGTTCTTCCTATCAAAGAATCAGAACCAACTGAGGCAAAAGACACTGAAGATTCAGCAGTGTCCAAAGAAGTCGACAAACCAGAATCAGTAATTCCTGAAGCTGAGGGGAAACCAAAGGAGCAATCTGAAGTTGGTAAACAAGTTGAAGAGCCAAAAACAGAAGAAGCAGTCGAGAAATCAGAGGAGCTTTTGGAAGTTCATCCTATCAAATCAGAACCAGTTGTGGTAAAAGATACTGAAGATTCAGAATCAGTGTCCAAAGGAGATGGTAAACCAGAATCAAAATCAATAGTTCCCGAAGTGGAGGTGAAAACAGAGGAACAATCCAAAGTCATTAAAGAAGTTGAACCAGGAGAGAAATCAGTTGAAGTAATTGCCGAAACACAGGAGCCAGTGGAAGTGCTTCCTAGCAAAGAATCAGCAGCATTTCAAGTAAAAGATGTTAATGGCTCACAAGAATTGTCTAAAGGAGCTGATAAAGTAGAAGCAGTAGTTCCTGAACCCAGGGAAGTGAAACTGGAGTCTGAAGTCACCGATGTAGAGAAAACCAAGGAAAAATTTGTTGAAGCAACTGAGAAAACACAGGATTCATCGGAAGTTCATCTTATCAAAGAATCAGAAGCAGTTGTGGTGCAAGATATTGATGTTCCAGTAGCAGTTCCCGAAGTTGATAAACCAGAATCAGTAGTTCCTGAAGTTGAGGTGAAACAAGAGGAACAATCGGAAGTCACTGAACAAGTAGGAAAACCAGAATCAGTTGTTCCTGAAGTCGAGATGAAACTTGAGGAACAACCTGATGTCACTAAACAAGCTGAGAAACTGGACGAACTTGAAGTCAAGGTGAAACCTGAGGGACAATCTGAAGTCGGTGAACAAGTTGAGATTAAGCCTACTGATGAAAAGCCAGGACAAGTTGCTGCAATCACTCAGGAGGCTCAAGCTGAGATTCTAGAAGACGGAGGAAAATCTTCTTCTCCTGAAATTGTAGAAAAGGCTGGTCCAGAGGATGAAAAGAAAGAGGCTCAAGGGACTGATTTGGTTGAAGTGTCATCAAAAGAGGTGGTAGAAGTGGAAAAGGGTGGAGAGGAGAAAGAAGCAGAGACAGCCAAAGCTGAGGGAGAGAAAATGGCAAGTGATACACTAAAAGAGGAACCAGCTCAGCTCATCAAAGTGGAAAATGTCAGCAATGCTGTTTCAAATGCCGAAGTCACTGAAAAATCATTTGAGGGAGAGAAAGCATTTAAAAGTGCTGAACCAGCTGTAGAAAACAAGAAAGAGGAGATACCAGCCATAGATGAAACCAAAAAAGATGGGAACAAAGAAGGAAAACTGAATGAAGCCACTGCAATTATCAGTGAACCAGTTACAGAATCCCAAGATTCTGTGTTCGAAGCAAAAGAAGAAGAAGAAACTCCAAAAAACAACGAAGAAAATTCCGAGCAGGAAAAGGTTGACGAGATAGCCAAATCTGATGCTCAGAATTTAGAGTCTTTCGCCAAGGATTCTGAAGACACAAAAGTATCACAGGATCGGCCAAGAGAAGTTCCAGCCAAGCCTACTCATAAGCAATCAAACAACATTTTAACAAAGGTAAAGCACTCACTTGTGAAGGCAAAGAAAGCTATTATCGGGAAATCGCCAGCTCCAAAAACTGTTTCCTCCGATACAAAGGGTGATGTTAAAGTCAATAATTAAATGGATCACAACGAAACAGAGTTTGCATATACTTATACAGATAAGGAACCTTGCATTGTGAAGTATATAGGTGTGTAAAAAGGCATTTCTTCTGTTTTTTTTTCCCCCTCTATTCATTCTGCTGTATGTATTGACTGTGTGCTGGTGGTTGGTGTGTTGTTGGGTTTGATCAGTAGAAAAAAGGTTTTTCCGTCAAATTTCTGTTGGTGTTGTCATAAATACAATTTCACCCAAATTATGTACTCATTATCACTCATTGATAGATTTGTGTATTTTATAAGATAATGTTTTGGATTCTTTTGTGATTTATGTCTTTCAAGTGACAACTAGTTGTACAGATTCACTTGCGAAGAATGTGAATACCAATGATTGGGTGTCTCTCCCTTTAAATAGGCTTTTCAGGATTTTAAGCAGAGAAGGGCATAGAAGAACTTGTTCAGGCTCATGCTGAAATTACCAATCCATTGTAGACTGAAAAAAGAAACATGCAATAGCTACTGAAAATGTGAAACAGACATGGATTTTTGGCCGATTCATGAAGAAAAGGCTTGCAAATGCACTTAAAGTGTGGTTTTAAAACTGGAGCCTTACTTCTTAACGAAGCAGACATTGAAACACCAGCCACAACTAATCCCAAAGATATGAAAATTGGATAATTGGATTCGTAAAAAAGCTTCAAGAATCCACTATGATGTAGAGATTCTATAAAAATGACAGATAATGGCCGCTATTCAGATTTAGGTGATGGGGTGTAAACTGGAGACTATAACCACATTTACCATCCTATTGCTAGCTATTCTTTGTGCATGATCACAGTGAGAGAGAGAGAGAGAGAGAGAGAGAGAGGTTGCATAATATAACTAGTGTATTGGAAAATAAGTATTGTTTCATTAATTCAAAGAATTTGTATGAGCGATCTACTACAGCAAACACTCAAATACATGTTTCTGAGTTGGTTTACTCCTAGATTGTGCATTATTTGCTCAGGTTGTGTAAGTCAATGTACAGATGCAAGAAAAACCCTTCATGAGTCTCCTCAACGTACCAAAATCTGTGCAATTGTAATTCTACTTCCCTGAAATTAGAACTCAGACGATTGTAGTAAGAACTCAACTTCATTCAACTCTGGAACATTTTCGCATATTCGTATGCGCCCAGAATCCCACAGATTTACCACATACAAGGTTCAATGTTGACATGAAGAAAGTGACTCACCCCTCCATTGAAAAAGCATCAGAATTACCAATCAGTCACAACCTGCAGCAAATTTAAGCAGACAAAAAGCTTTTACATCCACATTAAGTAGATCTTACATCAATGTTAAGTACAGCCAACTGTGGTTGTGAATACTCACCAGTCCCTCCACTAGGAACATTGTCATTTCCACCAGCTGAGTTCAATGCTCCATTTTCAGCAACTTCTGAGTCTTGACCATTATTTTGCGCCAGAGAAGGCTGTTCAAAATGTTCATTTGTTGCTTGGCACTGGTAACTCAATTGGACCAAAAAACCATAATTTTTTGAGAGGTTACCCAACTATCAAAGTTAACATTATACTGATTTCGTTAAGATATGGTACCCAAATTTACATTCCTTCAGACAAGCTAAATGCATAAATTTTTTCTGTGGCCATGACCTTTTCCACTTAACTGATATCTGCATGATATTTATTTGGCACTGCACTTGTATACTTTTCTCAGCCTTTTTGGCAAGTAGGAGGTTAAGAAAATGACACTCTAAATGACGATAATATGGATCTTGATTTTACTGGCCAAATGAAACATGCCCACAATGTTTGAACAGAAATTGGAGAGATGAACACTGCAGTTTGATTCTCATTGGAAGAAAAGGCTGTTTGGAGTTGTTATTTAAGTTTTTCCTCAAGAATTTCTGTAAAAAATGTTTTCCTTGAGAATGTTCTTTGAGAGGAAAACACAAATGACTATCAATTGGTGTGGTCAGAATAATTTTTGTTTTCATGCGATGATGGGTGAAGAATTGCAACTTTAAAGACAAAGACAGGCTTGTATATGGAGGATTTACTAGTTGCATGCAATACGATGGTCATACTTGCAATTTTCCATAATGCAACATTTAGAATATGGAATTAGATGCAGCTATAGCTAATGCTTTTCTTCTCTCTGAAGTGAAGATGCCACTTACCAAAAGGAAAGCACACATCAATCATCATTATGAAATCAAATCCCATTTAGCCATATTAAATACTGAGCTTTTTTATTCTCATAGAAAATGCAACTTGGTTAAGAATTAACAAACCTGACTAGAGTTCTGATTCATTGAGCTATTGGCAACATTGTTCTGCCTCACTTGGGAGTTGATATTCTGAAGTGCATCCTTTGAACCAGAGGCTGTAGCTGGATCCAAATTATCCATAGGACCTGCCACCCCACAAGCATTTGGTTCCATGTTTGTTTTCATAGGAGGCCCCTGAGGCATCGGCATTAAGGGTGCACGGGGAAATGACATTGGAAGTCCTTGACCAGAAAGTCCAAACATCTGAAGACTTGATCCTCCCATCCCATGCAAAGCACTTGGCCCTGACATTGGCGGGCCAGGGAAATGTGGGCCATGCATAGGAGGCACTTGATACATAGGGCAACCAGAAGATCCACCATTCATGTCAGGCATACTCATCCCAAAACCCATTCCCATTCCCATTCCAACGCCCATGGGTAAGAACTGCCCCATATGAGCTGGATGCATGTGCGGCATTCCAGGGGGTAGCATCATTGATGGCATATACATTCCAGCTCCCATTGACATAATCTGCATAAAGGTGGTGAATGATCAAAAGCAGTTATTTGATTATCCAACTCATGAAGTGTATTAAATAAACTTTGAGAGGAATGGGCACAATTTACCTGTACTTGAAGCTGAAGCGTCTTTAAATACTCAATGGCCTCATCAAGCATTGAAGCTTTATCCACCTTGTAATGCAAAAATGTCAAAGTCAGCCAAAGCAAAGATGCACACGAAATTATCTAAACTTAATTACTTGGCTCTGCTCAAACTCCATTAAACTTTCCTCGATTTCAGCAATAAGTTCAACTTAAGATATTCAAGGAAAGATTAGACTAGCTTCGAAGTCTGGAACATAGAATAGAAAAACTTCAGTTTCAGTTTTAAACTTCAATAAACATGAATAAACTTGAATAATTAATTTGATTTCAATTAGGCCAAGACTTGGTGTAGGTTTAACTCCCAAGACTTGGTGTAGGTTTAAATCCTTCAATTTTATAGAAAACCTCATTTTCATTAGATTATTGAGAAAATTCACTGAGAAATATAAATATCAATATTTAACCTTATTGCAGTTTGGTATGAGTTCTTGTAAGGCCCGCATCTTCTCATTGATCCTATCCCTTCGCCTCTGTTTATTGAAGTCCATATGAGAACCAATCAAGATGTTATAATTCATAGCTACCAGAGACAACATCAAAATTGAACAAACACATATCTTCTGAAGAAATATTAGAATGTACTTGCTCACCCTTTCAGATAAATTATGAACTTCTGCTGCCCGGCTTCTTTTAGAGCCGTTACCTGCTCGAGCAGAAGCTGGTTTTTTTGCACCTACTGATTCTTCTTCAACATCCTGCACATAGATTATTTCCTTGGTACATGGAAGAAAGATATAGAGTATAGAAAGAGCAAAAAACATTGAAAATATGTGAAACTTATGTATAAAACTCACTTCACTAGGACCTTCGGACTCCTCAGTATCTCGATGTTTTCTCTTCAGATTCTCTGTTGCATCGTCCGAAGGTCTCTCCACACTATTTCCCGAGCCAACGGAAGAAGAAGCAACCACGGGCTCTGTAGTCTTTTCAACATCTGCCAATCCTTGAGTTGCACTTTCACCAAAATTTTGACTACAGTTTCTATCATTTTTAGAGTCACCTTCTTGGCTCATAGCCTCAGGTAGCTCAGCAGGTACAGATCCTTTAGCAGGCTTAGCCTCAACCTTGGACGACATCATAGCAGGACGGCAATGGGAGGGTGTTTCCTTTGGTAAACCCCTACATGAATCGATGGGAGTGCATTCAGCCAGATTGCTACAACTTGCAATTGAGCCCTTATCTTTATTTTGCATTCTTTCCATGCTTGAATTTCCTGAACTAGCTCTCATGCCAATGTTCTGAAGATTAGCTTTAACAAGACCAGCAGGTCTAGCAAAGTGACAGAAATTCATTAAACCGGAGTTGGTAGTGTATGGTGCTGGAACTTGCTTCTGCATCTTTATGCTGGGAAAACCACCTCCTGATGTTGGAGCTCGAATAGAATCCGCTGAAACAACATGGTGGGTAGCATTGCTTGTACCATCACCATTTTTAGTTGAAACTCTGGATCTAAAATATGGAAATGATGTTTGGTGTTGCTCTGAAGATGACGGATATAACTGACTAGCATTGGTTCTGGGCCTATTAGCTTCAGTATCCCCTGCTGAAGAATTCTTCGCCACATCTCCTTGCTCTAAGCTCAAAACATTATGTACCGAAACAGTATGGGAGTCCCTAATTGACTGATCACAACTTCTTTTATCAAACGACGGAAAACTACCCTGGCAGGAGTGTTCATTTACAGTAACCCCAGATAATTCGGGTAAAAACTCAGAACAATAATCGTGTTGCAGAGATTCATCCAATGGATAATTCAACCAACGTGCCATGTCATCATCTTGATTCGCCCCCATTTCAACAGCAGGAACCGATGGGAGTTCATTCAGTGTAAACCCCATCGTTCCAAACTTTCCTGTCCTAGTACTGGGGCCATTTCCTATGTCTTTATCTCTAATCTTGGGGGGTAAGCTGCTACAGGTTTGAATCTTTCTAGCTCTACTGGATTGAATCTGACCATTTTCCCATATCAGCTCACCAAAATCATTCTCAGGTCTGCTTGAAGGATACCAAAAGAGACAATAAATCAAAGCAAACCAGAAAGAAAACAAATCAACATAAAGAAATGATTCACTAATCCAAGATAAAGAAGCTAAATAAATAAATAAGGAAGTTAAATTGAAACTTACACAAAAGACAGATCGGTTGAACAAGTAGGATTCTTCTCTTGAGAAGAATCAATCTTTCCTTTAGCCATTCGATATAGTAGCTCAGACAAAGGCATGGTGAAGGTGTTGGTTAGCAGCACTTCTTAGTTAGACATGCCTTCGAGTTCAATTACTCGGCCATTATTTGCACCTTTTGCAATCCACACTTGAACTCTAGCACAAGTTCAAAGAACCCAAAAACATATATATGGAGCCAACAAAGTTTCAAGACATAAAAAGCTTGACAAGAACCCCACAAGTACAAGACAATCCCAATTTGTATATAAGTCACCGAGGAAAAAAGAAGAAAAGAGTGCTACTTTTTTACAGTTATATAATTTTACATAACAGAATATAATCTTTCTTTTATACTAAAGTCCTTATCACCAGTAAGTTATATATATATAACTATAAATTAAGCAATAGTTTTACATAAAGTAGCAGTCAAAAATCTATTCTTTAATGGCTCTCTCAAAGATTCAAAAACCCTCCAAATTAAGCTACTTTAAGTATCTTTTAAATTAAAAAAAAAATGATCTTTTCCACTTCTTTAATCATTCAACTTAAAACCAACAAAAACCCAGATCAGGTTTTGGAATTAATTAACTTATCAGTACAAATCAAAAGAAAAGGGGAGTAATACACTAGAAACTTGAAGAACAGCTCAAAACACTCCCTACCTAGCAATTAACCAATAATTTGAAGCACAAATAAGTTGAAAAAGGAAGAGAATTTTGAGAAAATCTGAGCTCCTCGAACTGGTAAAAAGTTACACTAATCCAAATGCATTAAAAATGAGAGAACTTAGCTGTGCAAATGATACTCTTGAGCTTAATAGAAGTTACCAAAAGATTGTATCTTTAAAAGTTTGAGCTCCAAGAAAAAGACTCAAAATTTCAAGAGACAAAGAGGCCAAGTGTACGTAGAAGACGGCGAAAGGCTTGCAGAGATTGCAGGGGACCAAGACAGACAAAATACAGCAAACCTTCTGTTTCAACTTTAAAAGGTTAACCTCTCTATTTTTGTATCTTCCTTCCCTTTAACTACAGTTACATTTTATTTTATTTTTTTGGCAGCCAACAACTGTTTGAATTCGATATGGTCTTTTTAAAAAATTCTTTCTTCTTCTTCCTCATTTTTTTTTTTTTTTAACGTGGGTCCATTTCTTCAGTCGGTGATGCAGGGCTCATATAGGCAATTTAACAATGATATCATTGTTCTATCATTTAAATTACTTCAAATATCAATCTTGTGAACACCATCAGATGGAAGATTGTTTTTCAAAAATATGAAACATAGGAAGTATATGTTTCAATGTTTCGACTTCAAGAAATATCCATTAAAATTTATCAAAGTTTGTCCCAATTCTTTCGTATTAAAAAAATAATAATAATACCAAAAGAAGAAGCCTTCAAAATAAAAGTTTAGCTTAAATAGTAAAACATTCCTCTTTTCCATCAAAATTTAAGTCTCTAGTTGAGCTCAAGTATTTTGATAAATTTCTTGGTTTTAGCAAGAATGATTTATTATAAACCAAGCAGGAATGACGCCTTTGATTAGCCAAACAAAAAGATGGGAAAAAAGAAGAAGAAGATTATATTGGCTATGAGTTTATGGAGGGTAGGTGATTTGGGCAATGGGGGTAGGTTCTCGTGGTTAGAGGAATTTGAGAGGGACAATGTCCCTGTTCCATGAATTGAACACCAGCACAGTACCTTGTTTATATTATATACAATGTTATCCTGCAATAAAAATGGTGGAGTTATGGGCTTTTATGTTTGTTTTCATAATGGAAAACAACAGCATCATATCTTCCATCATTAATATATATATATATCTTCGGCTAAGGTAGCCAGGGGCCCTTTTTTTAATTTCTGCTTTCACAATAATAATGATAAGGTTTGAAAATTATGGGTTTGAGGATTAATTAAGCCATTGACTTAGGCATGATGGCTCAAAATCATCTTCTTTCCCTTCATACTGGGAGAGACTTTTCTGACTCTTGTTTGCTCAGTGTGATTTTGGCACTCCATTTTTTGTTCTACTCTTGTTTATTCATCCATTTCTCCAAAGAATTTGTGATCACAACTCACTGTTATGATATCTAATCATGAGAAGATAGCCCTAAAGCAAACAAAAAAAAAAAAAAAAGTCTAAAGTAGAATATCTCACTTGCGATCTCTGCTCCTGGATTGATTTCATGATTACTTCTCAATGTACCAAATCTATGCATTTTTGCTTTGATTAAGGTAAATCAAAATGGCATTCTTGCCCTTTCTGCTAAAGAGCATGACAAGATCTCTCATAAGGTCAAACTTGGCATTGGAGCAGAGGCATCTTAATGCGTCATCATCAGCTTAGGGTCAGGGGACGCCACAATCACTGGCTTATTCTGCTAAATTGGATTCAAACAAGGATGTAGGACCCACTAAACTAAAATAGAAAATGGAGTTGCTGGAGGAAGGAAAAGGATTGAGGTGGGATAAGATAACTTATCAAGCAAAGAAAAGAATTTAATCGAATGCTTAGATTTGTTAGATTTGTTTATAATATAATAGATTGCTTAGATTTGTTTCTTGATTCCACCGCTAAAGTGTATTTTTAAATGAAATTATATGTTAATCGAAACTAAATATTTTTTCAACTATTAAAAAATTATGTTTTTTATATTGATTTCATACGTTCAAATGAATAAATTCACTGAAATATTAATCTAAAAGCTTGAATTATGAAAGTTAAAAAAGATTAGACTTTCTTAATCATTTAACCTATATCTTACGAGTAATAAATTAATTAGGTATTAGACGTGGCAAACTCAATTAGCGTACAAGGTAATGAAATTAGATTTTTGTTGAGCAGATGGGAATATGAGACAGGGCATATTGGATGCTTCAGTCTTTAACAGAGAGGACAAAGAGATTTGGCTCCATCCATCACAATCCACAGAAGTGTACTATTTACCAAAGATATTGGGTTTTGATAGACACAGACAGAGACATGAAGATGTATGCTACCCAAGTACTGTTTGCTTATTTATCACAAGAAGTGGACCCCAATGAAAGATGATATCTCTCCACGTGGACCCTTGTAGAACCAGTAAGGGATTTGGCAGTGCTTCAGTGGACCCCCAGGTCGTAGCCAGCTCTGGCTTCTATCAAGCTTGTAGAGCCAGCTAGGGCATCTTTTTTCTTTTCTCATTTCTTTTTTCCTGCTTGGTGCAATGTACTGTGTCAGGCAGTCATAGACAAAGATGGATGGATGGAGAAACTCAGGTGTGGATGGGAATTGATTTTACATGCATTTATTTGGGTCATTTGGATTTCGTTTCATGGAATTGATCAAACTGAAAAATTCAATGGTGTGAATTTCACGTGCATGTATTCATTTCACGTGGCTGACTCGTTGTTTTTTTGCGTGTCGATGACAAAATCACACCATTGACACATTGCTTTCCTACCATCATCACTCTCCCACCTGTCTCTCTTCTCTGACCAACATTTTGCCACCTTTAGTTCATTACTTGGTGCTTAAATTCTTCTTGTCAACTTCTTATCTCCGTTTTATTGGAATCGGGTGACTAAAACAACTTATGACCTCCATGTACAAGCTTATATTTTCAGGACATAAAGAGTTTTGCTGATTTATTTGGACAATTAATCAACCTGGTTAGGAAATAATTGAGTTGCAGGTTTTCTCAGGTATAGCTAACCCAATCAGCATCTACCTTTTGTTTGCTAACGAATCTGCCAAATTGACAGTACATCCGAATAGTTGGGCCTGGTCTATCTAGCTAGAATAAATAGGCCATGTTCTTAGAAATGCTATTTCCTAGGTCGACCTCTGCACCATTTTCCTTGTACTGGTTGTCCAATCTCAGTATGAATCGACACGGGAAAATTTAATGAGTCCTGCAGCCGCCACTTTACATTTCACTTCTGCAACACACTGCAAATGCTGCAGACATCCACATTCTGAGCTATACCTCAGCTTAGCAGCGATGAACTCATGCTTTATTAATATTCCAAATTCTTATGTCATAGTTTCTATGATGAAACTTGAGCAAATGACTGTATAATTGAAGCATTTTTCCTGATAAAGAAAAATAACAAACAAAACAACTAAAACAAATAGTGTTATTAAGGCCATCCCAAGTTAATTGGCAGTGAAAAAAAGTATATAATTATAATAAAGGCAATGATGTGTCTGGTAGCGTTGCAGCAGAAATGTGAGAACAAAGGAAGATAATGTTAAAAAATAGAAATGACCCTTTATAGAATGCCGAAGCCAAGACTGACCCAACATAAATTTAATAGCTTTCTTGGCAGTCGAGCCTTATAAACTATACCTTAATATATATATATATATATATATATATATATGAATCATGCTCTCTCGATGTCCTAATAGCTCTTCCTGGCAGGACCATTATCCGTGCTTTCCTGTAATCTGCACATGACCACTCCTTCCATATATAACATACACGGGAGGTATTTTCAATTTTTATAACTATAAACTATCGTTCTCTTCTTACATTATTTTACTGTGTCTATGGATCGAGCTATTTATTATAAGCAGAATCACAATCTCAGGGTGCTATAAAAAAATAAAAAATAAAAAATAAAATTTGTTATATGCTTTCTTTTTAACTCGTATTGTGCTGCTAGAACAAGCAAATTTTCTCCCATGTTTTTTTTTTTTTTAAAGAAACTTTATACTATCATGTGCATTTGCTTGTTGATTTATACAGCTTATCTAGAATAATAATTACTCTTAGATTGACAAAATTAACAATATCATTCTGCTATTCTTTGACTAAATCATGCACAAATTATTTGGATGATGCCACATATATTAAACTCTTATGTCTCATTGTGCTGAAGCACATAATGTGTGTGTATAATTAATTAATTAATTAATTAATTAACACTATGGCAAACATATGTTTGTCCTTGTTAAAGTATGTTGGTAGAAAAGGCCCACCTTATTGAATTATAATAGACATGCCCATGATGTTTAATTCTGAAGCTAAGATTAATTAAGCACTGCACTGATGAATTCAAATATTGACAGAGAAGAAGCTGCTAAGTGCTTAGCTAGCACGAGTTCATCATAAACAACAACAAGCATGCTGAAGCTTAATACGTCATCTGGATTTTCTTTGGTCACCAACAAAAAAAGCTGAGAGGTTTACGAGACGGTTGTACTTAAAAAGAGTTGTTAATTAAAAACGATGGCTCTTGCGCAGGTTTGCCCATACGTACACCTGCTGCTATTTCTTTCTATGTGATGAATCCTGAACGTGACAGATTAAATTAGAGGGCTACACCTGCTTAGCTAAGCTGATTGACCGAGCCCTAAGAGATGCATCTTCACAACTGTAAGAGATTATAAAGGGAAAGCTAAAAGGAAGAGACAAGTTTGATGGAGTAGCTAGATGATGATGAGCTATGGTTAAGGATATGTTTCTGCAAGTTGGATCACATGATGCCACTAAATGAAGGTCGGAAACAAATCAAAACTGCTCCGAATCAATCAGAAACCATATTCGATTCTACATTTTCTTATATATAATGCAATAAATGGCAGCATCGAAGCAGTTTCTCTCTCTCTCTCTCTCTCTCTCTCTCTGTATGCCCCACAAATGCATTCTTGAATCCTTACATGCCTCAGTATCACCCATGATTCACAACCATAAATGGTCCCCAACCAAGATGGTCCAATACGGCTTGCTAGTTTATAGTTTACTTTCACTACACCAGTTGTCCACTTTGACTTGTGTGAAAATATGCCTCTATTTCTTTGTGGAAACTAAGGATTACACAAGGAACTTGATTTCACCTGAAAGAGACTCATGATGATGGATTCTTAACCAAGCTTGCTATCATTTTCTACTTTGCGATCTAAAGGCATACACTCTATATATAGACTCTTTAGATAAACTCATGCATATATAAATGAAGCCTTTATACATATATGTAGTCTCTGTGTGTATGATGCTATAAATTAATCAAAGTGATGGCTGAAAAAATAAAATAAAAAATAATATTTTCAAAGTGTAAGATCAAGGATATAAATTTGACATACTCAGCTTTAACATCTATTTTCAAATAATTTTTTACACACATAACATCTCAAATTTAAATCTATTTATTTAAGCTATTAGAGTTTTTTATGCTCAAATCAATTCTACTAGGTAGCTCTAACATCTATTTGCATGGATACGTAGAAGACTGACATTTTTTGACACGAAGTAGAAAATGTTTGTATAATCCCAAATGGGCCCTGTCTTGATTTGGACTTTGACGCAGCATGAAGTCCAAATGGGCTGAGCCACTGCCAGTATCTTCAAATCAACACACAGAAATGTGAAAAAGCCCAAACATGTCATAAAGCATAGATAAGCCCGTTGACTAAAAAAGTGAACGGCCAAGATCACTCTATCCTCGAATTAGATACCCTTGATCTGATAGCGAACAGCTAAAGGAGGTAGGTCGAAGTTGACAACGATATATAAAGGGATGGAAGAGCAGAGTAAGGATTCATATTTAGCTTTGGCAGCCGCTTGAAGTTCATCTTGGATGGGAGGAAATGGAGAGGGAGTAGGATTTTCGGAAGGTTATTGGGTGGGTGAGCGGGGAAGATGACTAAGTTGCATGATGTTATGCTTGTTATTTTCCCTACTCCACCCATCCCATAGGTTTCCGATTATTCCTCCCTCTCCTCATCACCTGTCACCACCCTCTGCTCTTCAGATTTGGTTTCTGTGCTACTTTACCTGCTTATATGTATATAGATACACATACAGAGTAGGATCTCTTTGTATTTATGAATTATTTATAGATGGATCTTGCGTACTGGGTTCTGGATCTGGTTTATTTCATATACTAGTAAATAGTTCTGAATCTTCCTTGACTACTTCTCATCTTCATGTTGTATAAAAATCAAATTTTGAACTATAAACTTGGTTTAATTTAGAACTCAAATAAATAAAAGAAAAAGATCAGTTCAATTTCTAATTTTTTTGTTGCAATTTTGATGGTCCATAGAGCGCGCGCGTGTGTGTGGGTGGTTGAGTTTTGAGGTTGTCTTTTTCTTACAACAAGGTGGTTGGGTATTTTTAATGATTTTAAGACTTAATGTTTACAATATGTTTTGATGAAATGGGTTAAAGATATTTTTGTTAAATTGATGAATTGTTTTAAAGAGATTTATAGTGTTAAATTGGAAACATTCAAATTCGATCATTTTATGACGAATTTTGGCCAGGTAAGAAGATGCATATTGAAGAATGGAAGCTTGAAGACTCAAGAAGAATCAAATGAACTTTTGCTGTGTGCATTAAGACTTAATGTCTTGCATTTATTGCATTTGAGTTTTGTATTTATTGCATTTAGAATGTGATGCATGGTCTATAATGCTCTTTTCTATTTAGTTCTAGAGAGAGAGAGGAGGATGGACTTGTAGTTCTGAAAAAGAAAAATTGTTCATTTTGAAATGCAAGGACTGACCTGAATCCTTTTGAACACATAACTGAATAAAAGGAAAATCCTAGGGGAGGCTGCATCCCTCCCCTCCCTCCATTAAAGGATCCACCCTCGCTGAAACCATAGTCTGAACATCCTTAGCTCTGGACCAGGGGACTGCTTGAACCCAACTAGGCTTGAAAATGGTAACCAAAAAAGTAGTGGTTTCATGATAACAAAGTTTTCTATGTTGTATTCAAGGATTTGAGTGCCCAAGGTTAAAGCAGTGCAATCGAGGAAGTCAATGATTTTTACTAACTAGCATATAGGTTGATGGAAGTGGTCTTTAAACGGTGATTTGCTTTGACAAATTTCAACGCCTGGATTAAACAGCTCTCCGTGAAGAAAGTATTGAACATATCTGCATTCTTGATATATTTCCAGAACTGGAATGATCTTCCTTATGAGATTGAATTTCTAATTTCTTGTCAAACAATTTGTCACCAATAATCCTTGCAAGGAACACAAACTTTCTAAAATCTTGTTAAAACAATTCATCACCAATAATCTTTGCAAGGAACACAAACCATTATTAAACCAGTGAAACTGTTTGATCTCTCTTACAATAATCTGTGTTAAAAAAAACTCTGAATCAAACTTCATAACCCAAGTCGTCCAACTTTCTCAGCATTTCATAAATCTCATCTGTCCTTGGATGTGATCTTTCATTGCCTGTAAACACAAAGGTTGAGTTCTTGACATCAACCCAACTACATGCAGCATCCTTTTTGACCCCTTTGATCCCCATCAATCTTCTAATTTTATCAGCGTCTCTTAACATTCCATTACGTGCATGAGTGTTAGAAAGCATAACATGGTTTCCTGCACGATCTGGTCCCATCTCAAAAAGCCTCTCTGCAACTTCTCTGCCTATGTCAAGATTGCCATAATGTGCACAAGCCTCAACCAAAGCTCCCAAAACTGTTGAGTCGGGTTTGAGTGGCATTGATTCAACAAACTTCTTAGCTTCGTCCAGACGACCAGCACGACCAAGTAGGTCAACCATGCAAGCATGGTTTTCAATCCCAGGGCTGATACCGTGCGCCTTTTTCATGGAATTGAAGTAATCATATCTCCTTTCAACATGCCCTGTATGGCCACAAGCTGAAATAACGCAAACAAATGTGATGTGATCAGGTTTTACACCCTCTCCCAGCATTTCATCAAATAGTTCAACGACACGATTCGCACGACCATGTTGCTGGTAAGTTGCAATCATGGCTGTCCAAATAACTACATTTTTATTCTTGATCTCTTGAAATACCTGACAAGCATCAGGCAGGCTTCTGCACTTTGCATACATTGCAATCAAAGAACTAGAAACATGGACAGTCTTCATTATAACCAGATTTTATTACGTGATTGTGTATCTAAGTGCCTTGATTTAGTGTTGCAATGCTTGCAGAACAGAAGAACATGTTTTCTCATCTGTTGATATTTCCTCTCCCTTCATTTTCCAAAAACAATTGCAAGCTTCTTCAAAGTTGCCATAATGGACACACCCCCAAGATCATAACGTTCCAAGCAACGGCATATCTCTCTCCCATAATTTCAAACAGTGTCGCAGCCTCCACATTTACTGTACATGTCCATTAATGAATTCCTCACATAAGCTAAAGTTACCAAACCATGCTTAATGGCAACCCCATGAACTTGTCTCCCACATTCCAATGTCCCAACAGTAGCACAAGCACTCAACACACTTGAAAAACTCACTTGATTAGGACTAATAGATGCCTCCCCCATTACCTCCTTGAAAATCCCAATTGCCATATCACATAACTTGTTTTGCAAGAACCCAACAATCACAGAATTCCAAGAAACAAGGTTTCTTTCAGGCATATCATCAAGAACCCTATCTGCTGACCCCATATAACCTCATTGTGCATACAAATCAATCAATGCACTCCCAACAAACAAATCAGTCTCAAACCCATGATTCCGAATCAAACAATGCATCCGTTCCCCATGAACAACAATCATACCCTCTCCACAAGCAGGCAATACTGCAGAGAAAGTATAATCATTTGGGCGCACACCAGTACACCACCTCATTTGACTAAAAAAAGATCAGAGCTTTAAAGGGTTTCTAGAAATGGGAAAGTTGAGTGATAAGTGAGGTCCAATGGAGAACATTTTTGCAGACCTTGCGTATAGTTGAGAACAAGACGAGGGTTTGGTTAATGTGACCACATTTGGAGTACAGGTTAACGAGGTTGTTGAAGATAACAGGAAGGGAAATGAAGCTGTTGATGACGATTTGGGCGTGTACTTGTGCGACATGTTTAAGGATTCTGGTTATTTTGGTGGTTTTTACGAGGTTGTTGATATGGTAGATGTGGGCTTATTTGAGGTTTGCCAACGGCCAATCAAGCTAGTTGGGCTGGTAATTGAACACTTTCTATTGGGCTTATTTGAGTTTTGCCAACGGCCCATCAGGATGTTGGGCTAGTAATTGAAGACTTTCTATTGAGTGGTATGAAATGTGAATAAGCCACAACAATGCTATTAGATCGCAAAACTCAACACCCAACAGAACCATTCGAAAGCTTTAATAAGCTAAAATTAGGTCCAACAACAACTACAATTCCATTAGTTTGAAAAAATCTATAAAATGTATTTCTTAGCGTTACTTAAATTATTCAAAAAAAAAAAAACGATAAATATCCAAATTACTCATTTTTCGATAATTTTTTAAAATATCTTTCTTAGTAGATGCTGCTTTGCAAAAAGAAATGGGACGGCAGAATTAAAGTTGATGATGCCTCCGGTGTCGGTGAGGCAGGGTTATTTGGCAGATAAAAGAGAATGCTTCTGGCAAACCTTACCTGTAAAATCACAGACCATATCTTTATGGATAAACTTTATGTTAATTCAAACATCTGCTTAAACGATAGATATATGGATCCTCTCCCGGTCCCATCCACTACAATGGTGCCATCATAAGAATGAAGACAAGAACAATAAAGGAAGATGATTCACACGGCCCCCATTGTTGTTACTTAGCTTCGGCTGGATAGATTTTCTTTTTCTTTTTCCTGAAAAGCTACTTTCCAGCCCGATTGATGTGAGAAAAAAGAATTGCATTCAAATAGGTGTCTGTGTTTCCAGATACGCAAGGATATCATCAGATTTAAAGCTTAAACTACTAAGTTATTGATTAACTTTACATATAATTTTTTAAAAAAAATATTCCAACAAATTTAAAAATAAAAATAAAATCCTTAAGGAATAAGATTAATTAGGCATGCAGCGTGTAAATCCAGTAAAACTAAAGAAAAAGCGTGCAGTACTAGTGAAAGTTGGGGATAGTTGAAATGAAATGAAATGAAATGAAAGTCCACCTGCTAGAGATATCATGGAAGTTGGAATATTAAGCTTTATCCCTCCAGTTGTTAGAAGCTAGTGGAAGCAAAATTGATGATGTCGGTTTCCGATAGATTAAATTATAAATTAGTCTTTTTATATAGTTTTGATAAATGAATTAATTTATAAAAAAAAACTAATTATTTAATCTTTATATTTTTAAATTTCTTGTAGCTACATTATTTTTATTCTTGTTCAATTTTTTTTAAGAAATAGAAAAGGAGAAAATTAATTAAAAATATAAAAAAGATTGATAAGATAAAAAGATATTTTTTAAAAAATAAATTAATATTAAATTAAATATGATCATTGCTGATTAAATATTAAATTTTTAATTTTTAAAACAAAAAGATTAATTAATTTGTTTTTTAAAATTAGACGTATTAAGACTCTATTTATTTGACGGAAAACAACTTTTATTCAAAAATCAATTTCTGATTAAGCTATTTTTTAAAAAAATATTTTCTCACTGTTTGGAAATTACATGAAAAAATTGATGAAAAAAATATTTTAGTATTTATTTGATACGTAAAATTGAAATACAAAAACGAGTATCCGATTGTTACATCAATGAGTTATGAGAAAACTCTAAAATTTAATAAATTTTCATAAATACTAACTCTAAAATTTAAATTCAAAAAATAAAATATATTTTTTAACAATCAAATCAATTCATCAAAATTACTTGGGACAAAATCAAGTCAATATCCTAGTATTATTATTTTGATACCTTAATTAAGAATTTGAATTAAAACGTGATTAAAGCTGCATTGTCAAACCAATGATTTTTAAGAATATTTAATGTATTTATAAATCAAAAAATAAAACGTTAGTAGAAATAGAGAAAAAAATAATTAAATAATTAATAATAATTGATAAGGAATAATTAATAATTAATTTGATATATTTTAAATAAAAAAAAGTAAAGAAATTTTTTTTTAAAATATATCGAGAGAGAGAGAGAGAAGTAATTTGAGAGCGAGATAGCTCGTAAAAAAAAATTCTTTTTTTTAACTTAGAAAATATTTTTTCAAAAATACTATCTTATTTTTCTTTGACATTTTTACTAAACGCGAAACAAATACGAAAAAATGAAGAAAACAAAGGTTTTCTTCCGAACAAACATTGCCTAATTTATACTTCCTTGGTTCTAATTTTTTTTTCCTATTTATATATGTTTCTAAATGCTTATTTGGTATTAAAAAAAAATTAATTAATTCTATATTTAAAAAAAATACTCATGTTTTGTAAAACAAGATTAAATTAAATAGATTTTCTTCTTAAAAAAATAAGAAAGCAATATTGAAAAATATTAATATGGTATTATAACTAATAAATTATTTAAACCATTTGAGAAGTTAAATGAGACTATCACTTTGAAACACGTAGAATAATTTATTTGTTGGAGGGCAAGTCATTCAGAGAGACCAAGCCATCTGCCCACGTGGGGCCGCGATGGCTTAATTGATAAGGAAAGAAAGAAAAAACGAAAAACATGTTTGAGAAGGACGGTTGCTTCACATGGATAACCACTACCTATGGGTGTCTGTTCCATGCAAAATTTTGAGCCTCCGTCGCCGCCGTTGTTCCTCCTCTACGCGGCAACCTAGCAATCCTCAGATTTTTATTTTCTTTAGGGTCAAAAATCAGACAAGGATGAAATAAATTATCCCCAACAGTCAATGGTTTTTACGTGATTTAACAACGGCCGACTTCTTGTGCATGCATGTCTTGACAAATTATGCACATTAGACAATAAAATCAAGAAGAGAAAAGAAAAGAAAAATCTGGAAGGAAGCTAGGTTATAGAAAAAGGAATCAAGTTCCCCCTTGATTTTATGTAGTTTCCCTTTCAGTCCTTATAGTTTTCACCCTTTTCCTTTAAGTCCAAAGAAAAGTTTGCAGCAACTGCCCCATATAATTTTCCTATTTCTTGCCCGTTAAAAAAAAACTACGTCCCGCCTTCATCGATTTTCTATACTGCTATGTACCATGAATTATATATTTGTGCCTGGTGGTAGTTATTTGGTTTTTTTATTCGGTTTTTAACAGTTTTAGTTTGGTTTTCAGTTAACTAAACCTAAAAAAAAAAAAAAAAAAAAAAAAAAAAAAAACCCCAATATATTACATGTATGATTAATCCTTACACTTGATTTATAATATTTATCAAAAAGTAATTGATGACAAATTCAAGCAATTAATTTGATCAAATATACCTAGCTATAATCTAATCTGATAGAAATTAAAATTTTGGATCTCAAAACAATTAATCTAGTCACACTTTTGATCCATGCTATATATATATATATCAAGAATGAATTATTTTAATATGTACTTTAAAAATCACTCCCTCAAAACAATTTTGATCCATGCTATATATATATATATCAAGATAAAAACGCGAGAACATGACATATCAATTAATGACATTTTTAATATGTATGAAAAGTTTAACAATTTCTTTAAGACATAGAAAACGATTTATGCTAGAGGTAAATATATTAGTTATATACCACATGCATTATTGATAGAAGAGGTAATTAATCTCATATTCTCATAATTATTAATTAATTAATGAACCGTAAAATTATATAATTACAAGAATAATTAATGGTGAATATATATATATATATATATATATATATATATATGATTAAATTATAAATCAATCCCTTTATTTTTTAGAAACAAATTAATTAGTCTCTTTTATTTCAAAAATTAATTAATTGGTTCTTTCACCAACAGACCGTGCTTCATTTATTTTATTTTATTTCAAAAAATATCATCTTTTTTTATCCATTCTTTCATATTTTTTATTTATCTATTTTTTATTCCTTAAAACGAAAAATGAAATTATGTTACAAAAAAATTTAAATATATATATATATATATTAGATAATTATTTTTTAAAAAAAAGATTAATTAATTTGTTTTTCAAAAATAAAATACTAACTTATAATTTACTCAGATACACACACACATACAGAGGGATGCGTAGAGGAGGGATTAGGTGGAGTGGTGGTCCAACATATACAGCTAGACAGCCAGATAAGAAAGCGAAATCACATGGCAAAGCAACATCTTGCACGTTCCATGCAATTTAATTATGAGCGTTCTTATCTGTAACAGTATTTATATGGATATGAATAATTGCCACCCAAAGCCGTGTCATCTCTATACCCTTTGATGTTAAGCTTTCTGATTTGATTTCTACTCCAAAACAAATCTTTAATTGATAAAACTTCAACAATAGATCATAATAATTGTAGGAAAGCATGACGGTCAAGAGTTTAATTAAACAACATATATATATATATATATACACTTTATTTTTAAAATTGTTTGACAAATAAATTCATCTTGAATTACATACAAAAGTTTAAAAATACTTTTTATCCCCTATTAAATTAGATATAAACTTAATTCTTGTAACGAGCACTGAATTCTTAATTTCATGTTTTCATATTATTTTTTGCATTTATTCAATATAAGATAATTTTTTTAATATTTTGTTCGATAATTAAGATTAAATTTTATTTAAATTAAAAATTTAGAATAGATGATTAATTTTTTTTTTAGTTTTACTTAAGTATTTTTATGTCACATTAAAGATAACATTAATCATATTTAAAATAAAAATAATAAAATTTAACTTATATATTAATAAAAAATTTATTTCGATATCAATTTGTTTATTATTAAACTAATAACTCATGGACATTAATAACTCATGGACATAAATAGTCGATACTTAATCTTATATTTCTATATTATTTATTATATTTATTTGGTATGGGATATAGCGTCTCAAACTTCATAATAAATGTCAAAAAAAAAAAAAAAAAAAGGGGGGGTAAATCATGTTACCTTTCTTAAGGAAGTATTAATTAAAAGCGTACACTACGTGTAGAACATGGGTACACGTGGAGGTTATTTAGAGAGCTGGGGGCTATATATAACCAACCACAATTCTAGAGCTTCTCTCATAGAATTAGCAACAAACTCAAGCAAGCAGTTTCTCAGAAGAAAAGCATTCAACAGATTTCATAGAAGAATCAGCACAAGATGTCAGACGAGGGTACAACAAATTGCATCGACATCTTGTTGGCCATTATCTTGCCTCCTCTTGGTGTCTTCCTCAAGTTTGGTTGCGGGGTAAGTAATCTGAGTGTTTGTGTGTCTATATATATATATATATATCAGTTCCTACTCTCTATTTTACTAAAATATTGATTGATGTGATTATGCATGGTTCAGGCGGAGTTTTGGATCTGTTTGCTTCTTACCATTTTAGGGTACCTCCCTGGGATTATCTATGCTGTCTATGTCATCACCAAGTGATCATCTTCATCCTCATCTTCATCCTTCTTGTAAGTCCTTGCACCCCCTTCGAAAAATTCTTTCTTTCTCCTTAATTTCTACTCCACACAAATTCAAAGATGTGTACAGTTTATCCACTACTTAAGACGTAGGGTATTATTGATTAATGACTGAAAATGATGGGTTAGCAACCAAGAGCCGTATTGGCTTCACTTTTCTCTCTCGTGATTCGTGGGGTCCCTTCTAAAGATTAATTAAAGTTTTAGAGAAGTTTAAGCCTTGATTATGATCAGTTTGAATTAACATATCTGTTGTCTTCTTTTTTGGAGACAGGAGGAGTCACATAACCGTTTGATTCAATGAACAGTTCCTGATTTCATGTAGAGTTGGATCATTTTTCTTCTTTTTCATAATTGTGTTATCTTATTTCAATTATGTATTATTTGATTTGTAGTAAAGGAGGTTAGCAATTGTTGTTGGTGGGGTTGCTTTTGTGATTATGATATAATGAGAATGTAAGAACATCTATATGGATCGTTAATTCTCTTGTTAATTAGTCTCTGTCCCTTGTCTTTTGTGAAAAATCAAAATTAAATTTGTCTACCAATTATTTGTGGATGCAATCATGACTGTATTTTAGGTGATAGCTCTTCTGCTTTTTCTTGAATGGTTGTTTGTTACGTATCAAACAAGAAATGATAATGCATGCTCGATAAAAAGACAGTTTTCTCCTTGCGCAAAACCAGAACAAAACAAGAAGGGAAGATGCAGTTACCCCGGAAAAAAAAGAAAAAGAAAACCAGAACAAAACAAGAGGGGAAGGTCCGGTTACCCAAAAAAAAAAAAAAAGAAAAAGCTTTACAGCTACGCTATACAACCGTCATTATATAACGATTTTAGGATTTCTCGTTATTTTTATTTTAATGTTGTAAGAAGCTGCCATTTTGTAATGACGATCCTGTAACTAAACCGTGCTTACAGCCTGTTTTTTTGTAAAAGAATTATTGGTCAATAACAGAGACCGATTTGTCTTATAGCCAAGAACTATCCACTGAAGACGAGTCAGATTGTCCCACCACAATAATGCACCGAACAAGCTATGGTTACATTAGCCATGAGCTCATCACAGAACTGTTTCTCGTCTAGAAGGTCGAGCTTCTCCCCATTTGTTCATCCAGGCAATTCTGGCGGTCAAACTTAAGGTGGAAATTCGGTTGATCATCTTGAAGGTAGAGCCTCCGCCACTTGGTATTTAATCAAGGTGATTGCGTGTCGTCACTGTCAACTACAGATTTGAGCAGGGAAACAATATCCGATTAGTATCAATAAAGAATCAGAACCTCACGTTAGTTTATTCAAGATTTTGGCGTCTTATGAATTGACCTGGTCTTCCCATATCCAATATTAATGTTTAAAGACAAAAAAAATTAAAAGAATTAAAGCTGAGATCTTTCGGTGCATCGCTGTCATGGAGAAGTAAAAAAAGATAAAGAGGAAGGGAGAAAAATTATGAACTATCCATTTCTCCATTTTGTACGCAAACAAAAGATTTTAGACCTCAATCGGATCAATTTCCAAGATTTTAGATATTTTCCAATTGGGTGCTTTAATTTGTTCATGTTTGTTTGCCGTATAAAATATGAACATCAAACAAATAATATTTGATTGATGGACTCGGTCGAGAAATATTTAAAACATCAGGGATTGATAAAATGCGTTCTTCGGAATGAATTTGAGAATTTGGCAACAGGTCACAGAGAAAATGAAAGTTTCTCTGATCAATATAAGCATGTGATTGATCATTGATGTGACGTATATATTTTTTAAAAAGTTATTCGATCTGTTTTTTTTTTTGGGTATTTTTTAATTGTTTTGATATATATATATTTTTAAAATACCTTTTGAAGATGTAAAAAATATCGAAAATCATCTAAAAAAATTATTTAATGCAAATGTTCTGAAAAACACTTTATTTTCATACATTGAGTCTTCCAGCCAGCCATAAAAATCATAATTGAACTTTGCGACGAAGGTGAGCTTATGCAATTTGCCTCTGTTTAAAGATTATCTGGTAAAAAATTTCGTTCAGAACAAAATAATTTCGACTAGCTATTAGTGGCCATCACGATCGAATAAGATTCGATCAATCAGTATAGACAGATAGTCAAATAAAAAAAATACATTTCAATCTATTTGATTAAAAAGAAAAAAATTATTTAGTAAATGTATAGTTTTTTTTAAATATTTCTATCATATCATCACAAACTATACCGATGTACATATCATCAAATAAATTATAATTTAAAAAAAATTAAATCATCAAATTCATATAAAAAACTATTAAATGCAAAGAGAAATACCAAGAATCTTATCAAATCGATATCAAAAACTATTGAATGCAAAGAGAAAGATCATCGTCTTATCATGCAAAGTCTACGAATCTACACATTCCAACATGCAAATTAAAATTCACCTCAAATTGCGGAAAATGGATGATGGGACAAATTGAAATAAAAACTCTGCTAATATTCTTTCTTCATTACTGCAAGAAATATTTGATTAAAGAGATCGTAAAACTCATTGTAAAGTTCGACTACCTGACTTCAAAAACAAATTGATTCTTGACTTCACGTTTGAACACGAGACCACCCTGCTGACAGGGAACCATAAAAAAATAATTATTTCATACAATTCATTGACTGTACAGATAATTTATTTATTTATTATTTTTTATAATAATGTATGTCCATTCTTGCCTGACTGGCCTAATCTTCCACATGACAGGATGAATGCAGCTGGATGCACGAAACGGGCACCAAATAAGCATATAATATATATAGGAGGCCTCTATATATTATAATTTTTTTAGTGAGGCAAATCAATATTCAAAAATAGGGCACCTGCCCCCCAACCCATACCATTTGTCTCACTCATCTCTCCACAATTTAATCCTTTTTTTTTTTTCAAGAGATGTATAAGATATTTTAATTTGAGCTACATAATGGAAGTTTTTTTTTTTTTTGTGTCATATAATGACCAAATAAATATTAGATTCAAATTTGATTTTTTTAAAAAACAATTATCAAATACGCAACAACAGTTAATTTATAGTTTTAATAATATATGTCCTTTTACTCAAGTAATTTAATTTTATAGAAGTTTCAATTTATTTAAAAAAAAAAAACTATTCGGATTGAAATGAAATTCCTTACGCGGCAAAAGAATGTTTCATTACCTTTGCGTCCTTTAAGTAAAAACGACAATCATGAAGTCAGTCGAGTCTATCTAATATCAACGTCCAATTTGAACAGCTGGCTATACATGACAATGTAAAAGTCTAGCGTACGTCATCCCCCATACTTCTTATATTGGTCAAATCAAACCCTCTACTTATATTTTTCATTCAATCAAGTGAAGAGAGGATGTTTTGGACTTCAATTGGGGCCGGGTTTATGTTTCTTTCAACATCAGACAATTGGGCCTGTGGACTATAACTACTAAGTCGTCTTTTTGTCTCTCTCTAGGTCCTAAGAGTTGAAGGCTTAATTTTATGAGGGAAACCCATTCAACTTTAAATCATTTAAAAAATAGTCTCTTAATTCTTAATTTTAGATTAAATCTTTTTCAATTATTTTTTATTTTAAATTGAGTTATTCTTGTTATATTTTCATCAATTTTTAAGTATAAATGCAATTATTTAATAATTAAAAAAAAACCAAAATTTATAAATGCTTTGATTTCCCCTCTAAATTTTGTTGTTCCTTCTAAGTGTTAAAAAGTTACAATTAAACATATTTTTTAGAAGAAAAGAAACAAAATTTGGAAAAAAATATTCATAAATTTTTTAAAAATCTAATTAAGAACCAATCATATACAATTTATGCTGTGTACTTGTCTTATTAGAATGGATGGAAATCTAATAGACTAATCAATTTCAAATTAAAAAAAAAAAGTTGGAGGAATGTTTAATTTCAAATTATAAATTGAAAAACTAATTCTCAAATAACTTAAAGTTAATGAGAAGTTTGAGTATTTAGCCTTTTATGCATAATGCTAGACTAATCAAAACTAAAAAGTATTGATTTGATTTGTATTAAAAAAAAAAACAAGAATTTACAAGGAATTCATAAATATGAAATCGGAACAATTGGAAAAATTTTCTCATACCACTGTCTTTTTTTTTTTTTTTTTCCCAAGGACACCTTTTCAAGGTTTAATTGAAGAATTTTTTCTATCATTTTGAGGAATTTCATCATATTAGGAACCAGTTAATTTTATAATTGAAACAATTAATTATATTAATACCGCAGTCTCTCTCTCTCTCTCTCTCTCTCTCTCTCTCTCTCTCTCTCTCTCTCTATATATATATATATATATATATAGACACACACACATATATAGAATTTATCCATAATAAAATCTGAACAAAAAATGTATGTACAGCGAATAGATTAGTACAAAATTATCTCATACAACTGTCTAAAAATTTTCATATCTTTTTATATCAAACTTATAAAAACTTAAATGTGATATTCTCAAATAATAAAATCCGAACAAAAAGACAATCTCATGACATCACACTCGCAACATTTATACGAGATTTATGAATAATAAACACTAAAGAAAAATGTATGTAGAATGAAAATATATTAATTTAAAGATATTTCGCACCATTATCTAAAATTGTATCTTTCTTTATAGCAAAATAACATAAACTTGCATGGTATCTATAAATGATGAAATCTGAACAAAAGAGGATCCCATTACATCGGACTTACAAACTAAACAGTAGGATTCACAGATAATGGAATCTGAACAAAAAACGTTATACCATGAATAAATTAATTTAAAATTATTTCATACCATTTTCTAAAAGCATCAAACTTACAATAAATAAATTAATTAAATAAGATCCATATAAAATCTGAACAAAAAAAAATACAGTAAATTTCAGAGTGTTATAAATAATGAAATTTTGTACAAAAAAATGTATGCATTGTGAATATATTAATTTTAAAGTT